GGAATAATGGATTCCCTTTCCAATACCCTTTATTAATTGCATGTTATTTTTACTCTTTTCGTAAAGCTGAAAACCATTTTTGAAAAAACAATTTTTGGCGTGAAAAATTCAAACCACTCCTTCTTCTTCCAATACCTCTTTTAGACTCCGCATTCTGCTGATGGTGTAAATGTCTTCTCCTGGCTAGTTACAAGCCTTTGTAATAAAGTCACCATTAAATAATAATGTCTCCCAAACTGTGACTTTGGGCGCAACACAAACTGTTTATCCAATCAGCAGCTCTGCTGTTTTCTCTTAAGGCTTCTTTCTCAGAAAGACAATCTCTCTCTAAATTCACAGATGCTAATTAGTCACAGGGCTGAAAAGCTATGGAGAGATTTCAAGCCACGCGGTTTTTCCAATCTGAAAATAGGAATGGATTTTTAATTCAATTTAAGGCATGCCTATTGCCACGTGGCACGTTCGATTTGAACCAGCTGACCTCAGAAGTGAATGCAATAAAGGAGGTAACAACAGCTGCCCAACCCATAATGGCAATTCATTAACTTTGCCACTCCTGGATCGGCTTCCCACGCCTTCACCTTCTACTTACCGTCCTCGCCCAGCTGTTCTTGAATCTTTTCGAAGTCTGAGCCCCCTACTACGCCGACTTTCACCTTTTGCCGCAAAGCCTGTAGGAAATCTGCCATCTCGGAAGTGATTTTCTGGATCGGTTGAGAAGAGAGAAATCCGTGTGTCAATCCGATCAAGCAGGGATTATACTCACAAGCTCTTGGTGATCTCCCTTATTATTTTCAGACCATTCATTCATAATGTGGATTTCTTTCCATCTTGTTCTTAAAATGGTGCTGTGAGGTAGGAGGGGAGGCCATGAAGTGATCCAACAGGGTTGAATGAGCACACCTTAAGCCCAACTTCCAAACTCTCTTAACAAAATAACAGAGTTAGGAGGGACCTCAGAGGTCTTTAACAAGGTAAGGCAGTGCATTTATATCAGTGTTTCTCAACCTTGACAATTTTAAGGCATGTGGACTTCAACTCCCAGAATTCCACAGCCAGAAATGCTGGCTGTGGAATTCTGGGAGTTGAAGTCCACATGCCTTAAAATTGTCAAGGTTGAGAAACACTGATTTATATAATGAAAGCGAATCAATCAATCAAATTCTCACAGCCTATATAACTGCAGGTGAAGAAATGGAGAAATAACTTTAATAACCTTTTCTACCATTGCCACAAGGAAATAAAATGTCTAGCTCTAGCTTTATCAAATCAGGAAGTGGTCTTGAATTAGAGACAATTTTGTCATCATAACTATATTTTTATTGTACTCTAATCATGGTCCTTTATCATTAATTCCTTTTTAAAATTGTAACTTTGATCTGTGATGAAAGTAACGTGAAGAGTTACGAAATCAGAACTGCTCACAAAAACCAAGGTGCTAGTGATCAAATGCCCCCAAACTTTAAAGTTCAACAAACTCACAACTAAGTTGGCATAAATCACTCCAAGGAAGGAACCATCAAGAGTTAAACAAGAAATGGAGCTCCTTCTACGCTGCCACGACTGAGGATGCTGTTTATTCATTCCCAACCAGGTTTACTTGCTCTCATTACAAAGAGAGTATCAACCATTAATTGCAACTATGTATTAAAACTGTGATAAAGATTAAAATCTGAAGAGGACCAACCCAAGATGTAATGGAATACTATGTAATGCATTAAAAGCCTGGCCAGCAGGCAGCTTTCAGCTATTAATCGGAGAATAATTAATAAATAATACAGGTCAGTCCTTGACTTACAACAATTTGTTTAGTGACGGTTCGAAGTTGCAACGTCACTGAAAAAAGTGATGGCCGTTGCAGCATCCCCATGGTCATGTGATCAACATTCAGATACTTGGCAACCAGTTCATATTTAGGACGGTCGCATAGTGTCCTGGAGTCACGTAATTCCCTTTGGCAACTTTTTTTTTTTTTAAAAATATTTTTATTCATAATACAATTAAAACAACAATGGACAAACATGACATTCCAGAATGAATTTTCCTATCAGTTCCTATCATGGTACAAAAGCTTAATACATCGTTCTTAACCTCTATATAAGCCTCATCTTCTATACAATACAATTATATATACAATTATATGTACAGTTATATATATCTTTTTAATTCTACCATTAACTTGAAGTCCGAGCAGTTCTCCTTAATTTGCCCCAGATTTCGAAGTACTCGTGTTCTGTCTTGTCTTTCATAATCATTGTAAGCCTGTCCATCTCAGCACATGATAAAATTTTATGCAGGATCTCTTCTTCCATTGGAGTTCCCTTATTCCTCCAATTTTGAGCAAAAACCAGTCTGGAAGCCGTTAAAATGTGTAGCATTAAATAAAGTACGCCTTTGTCATGCTTTTGCGTAGTTCAGTGGTTCTCAACCTTTTTAATGCCACGACCCCCCCCAACCGGTCGTAAGTCGAGGACTACTCAACCAGTCGTAAGTCGAGGACTACTCAACTGGTGCAGCACCGTTTGCAGAATGGGACTTTTGGCGGGGTCAGCAGGGCAGAGACAGCCTGGACAATTCCTATTGGCTTTTGAAAGCAATAGAATTAGACTCTATTCAAGAGAGTCTATTCTATTGGCTTTCAAAAGCCAACAGAATAAAAGGGAGTAGCACAGCTAAGGAAAAAGAGGAAAAAAAATGGCAGACTGCGTTGTTTGGCGACCCCGTGAAATGGTCATTCGACCCCAAATGGGGTCCCGACCCACAGGTTGAGAACCACTGGCGTAGTTAAACCTAATAGAAAGAGTTCTGGTTTTGGTTCTACCACTCGCTCTAATATTTCTTCCAACCATACTTTAATCCTGTTCCAAAAATCACGAGCTCGTGTGCATTCCCACCACATATGATAGTAAGTTCCACTTGTCAAATTACATTTCCAACATTTAGGGGAGTCATTGGTACACATTTTAGCCAATCTTGTGGGTGGGAGATGCCACCTCTAAAACATTTTGTAAAGGTTCTCTTTGTAAGAGGTGGCCAAAGTAAGCGTCTTGTTTCTTGCCCATAGTTCTTGCCAGATGTGCAGATCAAAATTAAGACTAAAGTCCTTGCTCCAATTCAACATAGTCCCTTTTACTTGTTCCTCGGACATTGCCTTTTGGCGACTTTCTGCCAAGCCAAGTCAACGGGGAAGCCAGATCCACTTAGCAACTGTGCTATTAAAAAAAAATGGGGCAAAACTCACTTAACGGCAGTCTCGCTTAGCAACAGAAATGTAGTCGCAAGTCGAGGACCACCTGTAACTGCCGCCACCTAATTGCCAGGGAGTTGGGTAAACGGCCAAGGCAGCTGCACTACTCGCTGGGAGCAGTTTTTAGGCGAGGAATTGACTGCACAGCCCTCTTCCGTAACAGGCTGGTCCCGGACTTAAAGCACTCTGCCCATGCTCAGAGGCACCCTTCTGCTCGCCATCCCCCGAGTCCTACCTGCCGAGGCGCGGTCAGGGTGCCGTCCACGTCGAAGAGGCAGAGAACCGAGCCGCCACCCTCGCCCTCCATGGCTCTGCCCGAATGCCTGCTCAGCGCCGCGGCTCCTTCGAACAGGATGCGCCCGAGCAAAAACTACAGGCCCCAGCATGCCTCCCGGCCGAGGTGACGTCTACGCATGCGCGCGCCTCCCCTGCCAGCACGGCGGAGGCCTACGCAGAGCGCGTAGAGGTGGGAGGCGCGGGCGGCGCTCGTCGCTTTCGGTTTTCCTTCGGCTGCCGCCCAATGCGGGGCGGAAGAGTAGTGCGGGAAGCTTACGTGGCTCGCCGGGATTTGTTTAGGTCCGGTTAGGGCAGAGTTTCTCCATCCTCTGCAGCTTCAGGAAGGGTGGGCTTCAACGGCCAGGATCCACGAGCCCCCGTGATTTCCACCCCCCCTCCATTGAAGCCTCCCCCATCTTTTTTTTTATTGAAAATTTTTATTTTTTAACATACATTATAAAAATACAATAAAATGTTAAAGTAAAATAAATTCATAAGCAACCATTGTCTATACTACCTTTACCCCCCCTTACCCTCCCTCCCACCCCCAACCCCCCTCCCTTCACTTCCCAGAGCAGAATACAGGGTTAAGAATAACAAAATTTATAATAATAAAAAGCTAGAGCAGGGGTAGTCAACCTTGGCTCTTTTATGACTCGTGGACTTCAACTCCCAGAATTCCTGAGCCAGCATGGCTCAGCTTGGAAACCTCTCTCTTTCCCCTCAGCATGGCTGGCTCGGGAATTCTGGGAGTTGAAGTCCATGAGTCATAAAAGAGCCAAGGTTGAGCTAGAGGTTGAGAAACGCCGATTTAACTCAAAAGGCCACCTTGGCTCTTTTATGACTTGTGGACTTCAACTCCCAGAATTCCTGAGCCAGCCATGCTGAGGGGAAAGGGAGAGGTTTCCAAGCTGAGCCAGGCTGGCTCGGGAATTCTGGGAGTTGAAGTCCATGAGTCATGAAGGGGCCATAGTTTCCCCATGCTGGCTGAGGAATTCTGGGAGTTGAAGTCCACCAGTCATGAAAGGGCCGTAGTTCCCCCATGCTGGCTCAGGAATTCTGGGAGTTGAAGTCCACGAGTCATAAAAGAGCCAAGGTTGAGCTAGAGGTTGAGAAACGCCGATTTAACTCAAAAGAGCACCTGCAAGTTTAGCTCCTGGCAGTCGAGGAGAGGATCCGATGGGCTTGCCCATCCGAACGAAAACAGAAAGAGCCCCCCGCATTCTTCCTCCAGATATTCCCCCCCGCTAAGAACAGCGCCCACCTTTGCATTTGTTTGCATTACAAAAAAAGAGAGGAAAAAAACCTCCTGCTGCCCAGCATGGACGGTGGAGTCTTGCTCCCACCTCGCCTTTTCCCCTCGCGGACCAGACTCCGAGCACCAAGAAGAGCGGCAAACCCCGGGAGTTTCCCCCCCCCCACCCCACGCCGGCGTGTCTTTGCTGCCACCTGGTGGCTGCGCGAGGTCCGGCAGCCCCGGGAATCCCAGCCCGCCGCCCGTAGGTGACGTCAGCCGCCTCCACGCGCGGGTACCACAAGTCCCATCAGGCACCGCGCCGGGCCGCCTCCCGGGGTGTCTGCACCAGCTCCCGGCGCCTTCGGAGCCTCCGCGGGGAAGGTGATGGGTTTCTGGGCGCCTTGGACTGCAGGGCCCATCTTCCCCAACGAGAGGGGGTGGGCTTTATGGGATTGCATTGCACGGGCGGGTTGGGGACGGGGGGGGGGCGGCGGCCACGCGTGCAAAGCGAGGCTTCTTGCACGGTGCATGGGGCGTGGGGTTGACTCCTTGCGGATTGGAGACCACCCAGCGAGACCACCAGGGTGCGGGGAGGGCGGTCCTGGCTGATCTCCAAACAGGCTAAGCCAGGTTGGGTCTTGGGGGTCACTTTGGAAAGGAGACCACCAGGAATAGTGGGCACCTTGACCTCTTTATCGCAGCATGTCGTTTTCTGTTACAATACGGGTAGTCCTCGACTTACGCCACAGTGATGCCCAACATTTCTGTGGCTAAGCGAGACATTTGTTAAGTGAGTTTTGCCCCATTTTACGACCTTTCTTGTCCCAGTTGTGAAGTAAATCACTGCAGTTGTTAAATTAGCACAGTTGTTAAGTGACTCTGGCTTCCCCATGGACTTGGCTTGTCAGCCGGTCCCAAAAGGGGATCACGTGACCCCCGGGGACACTGTGACCGTCGTAACTATGAACAGGTTGCCAAGCAATTTGGATCAGATTGGTCATGGGAATAATGGAAAGGCTGGAACTGTGAAAAACAGTTATAAGTCACTTTTTTCAGGGCCGTTGTAACTTTGAACGGTCACTAAACTGACCCGAATTGTTGTAAGTCGAGGGCTGTCTGTGTGCTTCCATCAGGCATTGAATTGTAAGCTCTGTGTCTGGTTTTGTAAGGTGTGCGTGGGGCCTCCTAGTCTGGCTGGCACCCCTGGCATTTCTTGGTGGTCTCCTGTCCACAGGCTCACTTGATCTGAGCCTGCTAAGGCCGGCCTCGGCAGAACAAATGAACTCTCTTTTGACATGGAAACAATTTTCTTGTCCATATAACAGTTATAATTTGCCTCGGTTTCCTCCCAAAATGTTCCAGGTTTTGCAGTCTTGCCTAAGCTCTGGCAGTTGCTAATGGACTCTCATCCAGGTCCTAACTGGGTTTGAGTTTGCTCACTTTCCAAATCCAAGCTTGCTGCTGAGAGGCTGTTAAAATGGCACCTTCCATCGTCCCGTGGGAATGATGGTGGTTGTAGTACTACACATTAGAGAAGACCAACCTCAAGACCTACGGAAGAGGTTGCTTTGGATCCAGAGGGCTGGAAAAAATCCCATAATATTACTGAGTCATTTTGGCTAGGAAGCCATTTCTTATCTTGGACAGACCAGCAGCATGTTGGGGGACCTGAGAGTCAACCCCCACTGGTCACCTTGGCCCACCTCACATGGTTGTTGTGAAGACAAAAGCTAGGAATGTCCATGGAGATTCTCAATCGTCCAGGTGATGCTTGTTGCAAAGATCTTTTTTTTTCCAAAAGGCAACTGAACTTTCTTGCTTGTTTTCTTTGAAGAAGTTTCGCTTCTTATCCAAGAAGCTTCTTGTTCTGAAGAACTGAACTGAAGAAGCTTCTTGGGCAAAGAGGGAAACGTTTTCAAAGAAAACAACCAAGAAAGCTCAGTTGCCTTTTGGAAAAAACAACTTAGGGACAAAAACTAGAAATGGGGAATATAAAGAATCAAATCCTTATAGCTACCTGGAGGAAAAACAAAATAAGATAGCCTAGCCTTGAATTAAATTATAGCTTCTATTTTTTTAATTTACAAGCCTGATCACAAATGAAAAGACACACAATTGCTGTGAAAGTTCTACTCCACTGTACGACTGGGTGAAAACCTGATCTGTTTCATTCCAGATGAAGACCCTTGTTGGCTGTGCCCGTCGGTATTTGGTCCTCTTCAGGCCCTGTTGTGCTCCTCAGTTGTGGAAAAGAGGCCACCAGGTGCTCCATTCTTTTCAAAGGCCTACAGTTCTGCAACAGGGAGGTAGCCGGATGCCCATCCTTCGCCGGGTGCAGCCCCGCTGGCTGGGTAGCCTTGACTTGTCTCAGCACGATCCGAAGCCACAATCTAGCCTTGGAAACACAGAGAAATTTACTTTGATTTACCGATTCCCCAGCATCAGGTTGTTGAAACTCTTCTCGAGGTTGAAGGTGCTGCAGACGGGCCTCGCTCTGGTGGTCCTCCCCCCGCTCTGGTATCTCCACGGGATAAACCAGGTTACTTTTGCTCAGGGCTTTTACGCCACAGGCCTCTTCTCCTTCACCCTGGTCTTTCTGTACACCATCAGCTTCTTTCTGCAACGGGTCATCGGCTTCATGTATCTGAGCGAAAGCGGGACTCTCTTGAAGATCTCCCACTTGACCTTTTGGGGGAAGAGGCGAGATTTCTGCTGTCCGGTCGAGTCTGTGGAGCCCTTGGAAGACGAAGACGGACAGAGCAACAGGCACCTCCTGAAGTTCAGACGGCAGGACCAGAAAAAAGTCTTGTATTTTTCACTTCTTTGGGGGCAGGTTGTGAATCAAGAAGCCTTTGGCAAAGTCTTCGGTGTTATTCCTAAGTGTGTGTGAGAGGGGGAGGGGGGGAAAAGAAATTTTAACATCCACAATGTCCCAAAGATGCTTTTTCAGGAGGCAACTGGGCTTTCTTGTTTTTCTTTTGAAGACGTTTCGCTTTTCATCCAAGAAGCTTCTTCAGTTCTGACTGTGTGGTGGGGAATGGAAGGATCCAACATTCACTCAGAGCTGAAGAAGCTTCTTGGATGAGAAGAGAAACGTCTTCAAAGGAAAAAATAAGGAAGTCCAATTGCCTGGTGACAAAAGCACCTTTGGGATCACCATGATCTGGAAGATGAGGACAAGAGATCACGCTCATCCAAAGTGGAACACAATTCCTTTCTAAAATCTAATCAGTCAGGTATGAAACTCCCTTGTATTTTTTGGCAATGCACTCTCAACAGACTGCTTACCCAAGTACTAAATTTCACATAGTGTAATTTACGCCCTGCCGCTTCCTGATGCATCATAAAATCTTTTGGATACCTGAGAATTTGGTACTTGCGTGACATCAAGACCTTGAAAAGCAATCAAAATCTTAAGGATGAATAAAATATGCTGTTAAGCACACTCAAAAGTTCAGTTTTTGCATGTACTTCTGCCCCTACAAGCTATTTCACTTTCATCATTGTTGATGTCATTGTTTCGTACATATAGATGTCTTGAGGTTATCAAACCAGATTTATTTTGATAACCACCGTGGCGTTGCCCTTGTCTGCTGCTGGTAGGATTATTATGCTGGTGTCTTCTTTCAGGTTAAGTAGTGCTGTCTGTTCCTCTTTGGGTAAGTTGCTTTTGGGTGGCTTGCTGGTGCAGAGGATGTTGGTGATTTCTAGTCTGATTCTGTTAGTGTCGTCAGGGTTGATTTTGGTCAGGCTGGTTTCAACTCCGCATATAATGGTTTCAGTGGGGATGTGTTTGGGAGCGACTGCAAAGTTGAATCCTCTGGAAAGGACATTGGTTTCGGCTTTGGTGAGGATCCTATCTGAGATGTTATGCACTGTTTGTTTCATGTGTGGCTGTGAGGGAGGAGGGGTGTAAGGACCCACCCCACTTTGCATCTTAAGAAGACAGAACTCTTGGAATAATTCTTCCAACAGGCATCCTTTATTAAGAGAAAATGGTTGCAGGCGTTCTAGACAGGACTTGGGATCCAAGCTCTCCCATTCACGGTTTTAAGGGGTTCCCCAGTAGCCCCACCCAATCACCCCCTTCTTCCAGCGACAGTCTCAGGCATTACACTCCCACCCCCTTTTCCTTACTGCCGGCTAGATGGAGACTTCAGAGAAGATTACATGAAAAGTAATAGCCCCATTGTTATGGTTAGTCCTTTTGGCGATACACACATGCAGTTCCTTTGAAGTGTACCGAAGGAAGTGAGGGCCATAAAGCCCCTTTGTTCACCCCCTTCCCTTCATCAGTGAGGGCCATAAAGCCCCTTTGTTCACCCCCTTCCCTTCATCGTATGACAGAATCCATAGAAGGCAGAAATGGGGTTTTCTATAATTGATAACTAGAGATGAAATATAATTGGATTCTGACAAGGGGTTTGTTTCTGGCGTTCTTGTAGTCTTCGGAGTTTGCCAGCATAATAATCCTACCAGCAGACAAGGGCAACGCCACAGTGATTATGAACACATCTGACTACCAAACCAAATTGACCAACCTACTCCAAGACTCCACATACAAACCCCTAAACACAGATCCCACCACCTACTTGGAAAAAACCCACCAGATCCAAAATAAAAGCCTCTCCCATTAGCGAAGAGATCCAGCAAAGAATCATTCCCAGAAAGAAATCATCCAGATGCCCCAAACTCTATGGTCTGCCCAAGATACACAAAGAAGGAACCCCACTTAGACCCATAGTCAGCTCCATAGGCTCACCTCTACAAAACCTAGCCAATTTTTTCGCCAAACAACTACAGCCCTATGCAGAATCCAGCAATGCTGGCTGGGGTATTCTGGGAGTTGAAGTCCATACATCTTAAAATGGCTAAGGTTGGGAAACACTGGCTTAGGGAATGCTTGTGTAAGAAGCCACTTTTACATCATCTGCTGATATTTAAAGGAAGTGACATGGAATAGAACCCTTCACTCAGAAAGCGGCATGCAGACGTCCCGAAGCTACCAAAACAAACTTAATTACCAGTCTGTTTCTTTCTGTGAAAACTCGCACGAGAATCACACTGTTGAGATGCATATATTTATTGTTATATAGCTCCTCCTGCAACAGCCAAAGGAAAAAGGATGGCATCCAGAGGCCTGCAAAACTCAGACAGGCTATTTTCCAGGCAGTCTTTGCGTAGGACATCCAGTCTGGTAAACATACACTTAAAGTAGGCTTATGGGTGCCTCGAGAAGAAAACGGACCCCAAGAGAACCAGCAGAGCCCAGGGACAGAGCGGGCTGTGTGCAGAGGCCCCTCGCTCTGTTCAGAATAATAAATAGCAACACACGTGTTGGTCTTTTTTAAACATTGTGAAAAACATGTCATTACTTACAAAGTACTCTGTAAACAATACAGTCTGCAGAATAGAATAGTAGAATAGAATACAGAATAAGAACAGAACAGAATAGAATAATAGAATAGAACAGAGCAGAATAGAGCTGGAAGGGACCTTGGAGATCTTCTAGTCCAGCCCCCTGCTCAAGCAGGACAACCTATGCCCTCTCAGACAAGTGACTGTCCAGTCTCTTCTTAAAAACCTCCAGTGATGGAGCGCCCACGATTTCTGGTGGCAAGCTGTTCCACTGGTTCATTGTCCTCTCTGTTAGGAACTTTCTCCTTAATTCCAGGTTGCTTCTTTCTTTGGTCAGTTTCCATCCATTGTTTCTTGTCACAGATCCTCTGCTGAACATGAGGGAACTACCATCCTTTCTGGTGCTGCCCGCAGAAATGTGGTGGAGGAGAAGTCCTTGGGGTTTCTTAGCCTCCCTCCCGTAGCTTCGTTTTTTCCAGTTAAAGATCCAGCTTCTCCCGCACGTTCCTAAGTGACATTTTTATCAGAGCTAATACTGTTTGTCATCAGCATGACATCCTTCCCCTGACAAAATGCCTTTGGATTAAAACACACGTGAACAGTAAGCAAATGAAGTGATGTTTGGACCTCCTTGTGACCAAGAGCCTCAAAGCCGGGGGCGCTGCCAGACTCGTTGGACCAAGGAAAGCTGCTGTTCTCAACACTGTTTTGCACTTAGCCACAAACCATGGTTTGTGTGTCTGGATTTGGAAAGCCCAAATTAATCACACTCTATTGGGCCTGGCCCCGATGATCATTGCAACCATGCTACAATGAACATGTGGGTTTACAGCAGTCCAGTCCAGTAGCTGAAAGGACTGAGGTCCATAAATATGGAATGGGATTTCCTGCCCAGGGTGGGACCTTCAGCTGGCCGGCTCTGGGAGAGGGTCTTAGGTCACTGAACTGTAGAGACTCCTGCAGGCCAATGTGGTGGCAGCTGAGTGCTGGGGGATACTCTGCCCAACGGAGCAAGGGGTCTTCATGTCAATTGCACCAGCCCAGCAAAATGTCCTCGGGATATAGTTACACCTACAAATCCCTTTCCTTTGGGGTTTTGAGATTCCTCAAAGTGTCCTCAGAGAAGATGTCCATGAAGAGAACTGGCCTAAGGAACAGATCCCAACTTGACACTGCAGCAATGTTATCCTCCATATTAGAGGGTGGTGAGGAGTGGCTTGCAACTTTTCCTTGCTCCTACACAATAGGCAGCCTCTGAAGACCCACCAAGTGGCAAAACAGTAGACACAGAGCTTTGAAACAGAGTTTCAAAATCCATCACTAAGCCTGTGTTACTATAAGGAAAAACTTAGCAACAACACTGGTGTTCTTAAAATAGCGTTCTGCCGTCAAGCCAACTTGCAGAAGAATTTTGCATGCAAGTCCATCCAGGTCTGATTTTATCAAATATTTTTCCGTATTCCAAGAAGACAAAGGCGAGTTGACTAAAATACCCTGCTGCTGTACACCAATGTTGTTGTTTTTTTGGTCTGAGCTTCATAAATCCTGGAATGCTCTGTTTATGATTCTGGTCCAAGAGCATCCATGGTGGAATAAAACAGTCAAAAGTGCAAAGTCCTGCTTCCCCCCCCCATATGTGCTGAATCTGCAACGTTTATAACAAAGGGCTTCAGTTTTCCTTTGCTACCCTGCTCCAGCCATAGCTGAATTCTTCACATAATTCTACCATTTTTTCCTATGGAATACAAAAAATATATAACGTGCTGGATCGTCATGTCATCTTATCTTTGATGTTCTTCGTTCTGGATGGCACCCCCAGGTGTGGAAGCACAGAGGCAATAAGAGTGCAATGGCTGGCCTGGTCCAATGCTATGCAAAGTAGGCCCAGAGGAAGACCCCAGCGCTCATGCACAAGACCAGGTTGATGTTGAGGATGTGCTTCACCAGAGGTGGTTCATCAAGTGAAGTCAAGGCCGTGACTCCGGCTTTGGGTTCAGCAGGCATCTCAGGTGAGTCCTTATTTCTGCTCTCCATCCCACAGAGCCACAAAAACAGGCTCATTAATTTAGACTTCTTCTCCTTCTTCTTTGTGTCCAAGGGACCTGCAGGCAAGACAATCAGTGGTAAGAACGCCACGAGGCACTCAAAATCTCTCCCATTTGGACCTCTGGAATTGGCTGGCATGTTCTGGGACCAATCCAGACAGTCGCTAGGAGTCAACGCTGACTCAAAGGCACCGAAACCAACAGCAGATTAGCTGCTGGTCCCAGAATTTGCCTTTATACATCTTGAATCTCAGATGAGTAGATTTATTTTCCTAATTTGACTTTTACAAATTTGCAAAGGGTGTCCCTCAACGTTTGCAAGGGATCTCCTGAACTTTGCCAAGGCTCGACTCTAGGGGTCACTACAAGACGTTGAAAGCCCCTTCCCCCCTTGGGAGAGAAAGGCAGCCTGGGATTCTCCCTCTGGGTATCCTAGATCAGGCATAGGCAACCTTGGCTCTTTTATGACTCGTGGACATCAACTCCCAGAATTCCTGAGCCAGCTGTGCTCTGCTGGCTCAGGAATTCTGGGAGTTGAAGTCCACGAGTCATAAAAGAGCCAAGGTTGCCTACCCGTGTCCTAGATATTGGGGCTTCTAACATCAGTACAATTTTCCAACCTCTTTGATGCTGGGAAGGGCTGGAGCACCCAGGATTTTGTAGCCCGGATGTGGGATGCCCAGAATTGCTTTGGAGCCAAGTAATTGCTTCGTCCCCAGAAAAGTGCATCTCAGCCTCCCTTAAAGCAATGGAAATGCCCCCCCCCCCCGTCTAAGGATTTGGAGACCTGTTGCACAACTGAGCAAACTGAAGAGTCTTCTTGGACGAGAAGCAAAATGTTTTCAAGGGAAAACCCAAGACTTTTCCAAAAGTCCAGTTGCCTTTTGGAAAAAGCACCTTTGGGATAACCACGACCTGGATGGATCTCCGTAGACAACTGAGCAAACCAGCTCTGGTGGCCACAGACGATTCTGCTCCTGCCCAGCCTCCGTTCACAAGTCCTCCTGGCTTCCTGATTCACATGCAAGAAACCTCCCCCCCATCAGAATTTGGGAGATAGACACTCAGCTGATCAAGGCTACCTGGGGTTGGGAAGGAGGAGACACGTTTGAATCCTCCCCTTTTCACTGTATGTTAGGATCAATGGTTTTTCTCTTCCCTTTCATTGTGGACAATGAGGGGGACACAGTGCTAACCCCCCCCTCGGAGATTAGAATAGCCCCAATCCTGATGACTTTTTGTAAGGCTTTAAAAACTTCTGTGGAGCCCCATATAGTCTCCGCATGTGTTGTATGGGCCCCGTTGCTTGGACTTAGTTTTAATTAGTTAATTATCTCGGCTGCTGTGTATATTTATTTTAGATGGTTTGGCATTTTAAATGTTTTTTATAGTTTTAGAATTGCCAGCTAGAGTCATTGGTTAAGATGGGCAGCTACAGAAATTGAATGAATGATAGATAGGTAGATAGAGAGAGAGAGAGATAAAAAGATGATAGATGATGGATGGATAGATAGATGATAGATAAATAGATAGATAGAGATAGATGATAGATAGATAGATAGATAGATAGATAGATAGATAGATAGATAGATAGATAGATAGATAGATGATAGACATAAATGATGGATGGATAGATGATAGATAGATAGATAGACAGACAGACATAAATGATGGATGGATAGAGATAGATAGATAGATAGATGATAGATAGATAGATAGATAGATAGATAGATGAGACAGACAGACAGAGACTTGATAGATATAGTTGATAGAGATGGATGAGAGAGAGAGAGAGAGAGAGATGATAGATAGATAGATAAATAGATAGATAGATAGATAGATAGATAGATAGATAGATAGATGAGACAGACAGACAGAGACTTGATAGATATAGTTGATAGAGATGGATGAGAGAGAGAGAGAGAGAGAGATGATAGATAGATAGATAGATAAATAGATAGATAGATAGATAGATAGATAGATAGATATGATAGACAGACAGACAGACAGTAACTTGGGATTGTTATTTCTATCAGTCAGTTTGCTGCCCTGAATCAAAACGGTGGCTCCACCTGATCAGTACAAAGACTGGAGCCCACTTTAGACGGGGGGCTCAGGCCAACTGGCCCTCTGCTCTGTCCCTTTGGAGAAGGAGGTCAAGGCACAACCTCTCACAGCCCCAACCTGTGGTCTCCATCAGGGGAAAGATTCTGTTCCTCTCCCCGATGGGCTGCTTACCTGAATGGTTTTTGCAAATGTTTTCTGGGCCATCCATGATTTCCAGTTGCCCCAGAGGAGAAGGACCAGCCTCGCGGTTTCCTTTGACTGGAACGGACAACGATGCAGTTGGAGCATCATTTTTTCTCGGAACATCCTTGCGGGTGAACCAGGTGAGGCGGCTAATCTGTTTGGACAAAAAAACAGCGTTCAACAGAACGGCTTCCTTTCTTTCGGAGACCCAAAGACGTTCCACACGCGAAGGGCACCACAATCGGAGTTCGGTGCCATTCTTAAGTAAGCTTGACAAGTCCATCATCAGCACAACTCCTGCTCCGAAAGACCTGCTCCACCAAGAGTTTTATAGGAGCAACCAGGGAAGGTAGCTTCTCATTGCCAGCAACCGGGACTGGTGCTCCACTATCGGCATTCCAAGCACCGGGCCTTCCTGGACTACCCAGGGGTAGGCAACCCAAAACACTCAAAGAGCCACTTGGACCCGTTTCCCACCAAAAGCAAAACACTGGGAGCCACAAAACCCTGTTGATATCTAAAATGAAGAGAATACTGCATACCATATATTCCGGCGTATAAGGCGACCTGGCGTATAAGACGACCCCCGTCTTCGGCGCCGAGTCGCATGCCTAGAAAGTCGTCTTATACGCCGGAAAGTACGGTATATCCTTTTTTACCTTTAATATGTATGTATGTATGTATATGTGTTTGTGTATGTATATATAAAATAAAGGTAAAACAAGATATATGCAGTGTTATCTTCATTTTAGATGTCAAAAGGGTCTCTCTCTCTGTGTGTGTGTGTCTCTCTCCTCTCCCTCTCCCTTTCTCTCCCTCTCTCTCTTTTTCTCCCCCCCCTCTTCCTCTCTCCGATCTTGTGCTCACCTGGCAAGCTGACTTCAAGCTGTTCTCCAACAAGCTCAGGGGTAGGCAACCTCGGCTCTTTTATGACTCATGGACTTCAACTCCCAGAAATCTTGAGTCAGCATAGCTGGGCTAGCTAGCTCTCTCCTGCCCTTCCTGCTTCCTGCAGAGATGCAGCAAAGGGAAGAGCCCCGCCCAAAAAGCTTTTCAGCTTGTCAGAGAACACCGTGAGTCCACTCTCTTTTACACACAGAGAGACAGAGACAGAGAGAGAAGCAGGGAAGTGCAAGTTCCTCTCTCTGTCTCTGTCTCTCTCTGCAAATGGCAGAGGAGGCTGGGAGCCACGGGAAGGCTCAAAGAGCCGCATGCAGCTCCGGAGCCACAGGTTGCCGACCTGTGTCTTAGGCCAATCCCTTCTGACTGCTTTTACTCCAGGTAGCCAGGTCACCCTAAGCAGGTCATGAGAGTGAAGACAGCCAGCGCCCCTCTCAATGCGCACATACCATTTCCTCTGGGGGGGGCTCCGTCAAGAGGCTGACAGCCACCACCACGATGAGCGTGATCACCCCCAGGATCATGGAGAAGTAGAGGTAATGCACGTATTTCACCACAGCCGGACGGTCATCTGACTCCCCACAGCCCGGCTGCAGGTAGACGAAATCCAAAACCATCCGGATTAGGCCGATCACCATGCCAACCAAAAGACCACAAAATGCCCCCTGGAGGAAAATCAAGAAAAGAAATCAGGTTAGTTCCCTGCCCCAAAACCAGCTGCCCTCTTTTTAGAACCACAAGAGTTTGCGGGACACCTGTCAGCTGCCACCTTACGTTTGCGTGTGTGCTTCGCTACCAGGCAGTGAGAGTCTGCCATGAACTCTGGGGAAGGTGGATGGGAGGGGGGAATGCTTGGGGGAAAGCGAAAGCAACCATTGTATCTCCTCAAGATGCTGCTTCAAGGTCAGCCGGCTGGGAGAAGAAGGCAGCTGCATAACAACGCTTGAACTGTCCGTTCTGAAAACATCTTGTCATGGTTCCAAAAGAAGAAGCTCTTCAAAGAACTTTGAGGCATTGTTTACCTTAAAGAATCTTTAATTTGCAACATAGCTTCTGCACGTACATAGAAAAGCCAAAATCTGAATTCTCCTCCCCCAGACACACAATAACAAAGCATAACTCACGCCTTCATTTAACAGTCATTAATTACATTCTCCAATTAGTTTGAAGTGTGAACTTTCCCTCCTGTTATCTCCTCTTATTACAACTAACCTTGAAAAATACTCTACTGAGGTATTGTTATGGCTAACTAGTCCCCAAGCACATTCTTCCCCCCCCCTCCCTTCTAGCACCATCTAATTTTAACTCTAAAAGTAATACATAGGTTAAATAGAAAATGTCTGCATCTTCATATATTGTCAAGCAAGAACATCCGATGTTAGCAGCATTGACACATCTTGCTTGAATCTGATTAGTCATGGGGGGGCGGTCAGTGATGGAAGGCAGTGAAAGAAGAGAAAAGCTGAACTTTGGGGATTTGTGTTGCTGCAATGCAATTAACTTCTAATAAAATTATACCTGTGTCATCAAACGGAGCCAAGGATTGTTTCTATTTAGAGGTTTAAGTGGTGGCAGGTCTGACACCCCCCAAAAGTGCTCGGAGTTACCTTCTCGTTTGTCCGCTTCCAGAAGCATCCGAGGATAAACACGATGGCCACGGGAGGTTGCAGGTAAGAGCTGATGGTCTGGATGTAGATGAAGAGCTGCCCACCCTGGCTGGCTTGCACCAGGGGGATCCACAGAATGGAAATGATCACAAGGAGCAGAACAAACACCCTGTGTGCAGAAGAAAGGCCGGGTCATTTGGATTTCACGCTCTTCAAATGGGGGGGGGGGTGAACAGATCCTGGTAGTGAATCCACATCTTAAGAAAGCAGAACTCTTGGAAACGGTCTCTTCCAACAGGAACTTTTATTAAAAGAAACTGATAACGGGCATGATAGACAGGGTCTGAGGGATTCCCTTACAATTTGATGTTTTAAAATGTCCCGAAGCAGCCCCACCCCGCAGTTCTTCCGGGCAATTCAAACAGGCAGATTTCTAGGTCTCAACTCCAGGAGAGAGAACATCGATCTGGCTCCGTTGGCATGATCATTCAACATCTCCTCACACAGATCCCAGATGCTGCATCTCCCTCCCCCCCCCTGCTTTCTCTCGCTGCCCAGTAAAGGAGGAAACGTTCAGAGGAGTGTAGGATGAAAGGCAAATGGCTACACTGTGATGGTTAGCACATCCGAAGCGAATCAACAAAAAGGTTACTTTGTAGTGAATAGAGGAGGTGAAAGTCATAAAACCCCCATGCATGCCCCCCCTCCCCCTTAGTAGCATGACAGGGTCCAGGAGAGAGTAAATTTGGTTTTATATCAGAGAAGATAGATAGAAATGAAATATAACTGGATTCTGACACCCTCCCCATTGGGAGCTTTGGAACGGCGGATTTGAGCTGAGCTCGGTTGGGACAAGTGCTCTGGCCTTCCGGAAGCAAAGCCCTTCTCTGCCGTTCATTAAAGGATCCTGAGCTTTTTCAGGTTTCTGGGTGAGCGTGAGGGAAAGGTATGTCAGGCCTGCCATCTTCAGCATACCTTGCCTCGCTGGCATCCTACCATAAAAGTGAAGGGAAGGGGAGAGGAGGGTGGGGACATAGGGAATGGGCGAAAGGAGAAAGGAAGGGGATGACAGGATTGACAGAGGTGTCGGTCTGGACCCAGCCAACCGAGCAAGGACGAAAAATGAAAGTGGAATGCAAAACTAAGGTAAAGAGGCACCCAATCTATTACTAACTGTATCAATTATATTTTTCTCATAATTAATTACATTTGGGTAACTAAAGCTTCCCTTATACCGACCCCCTTAGTATTTTCATATTTCCCATCTTATAGAAATCTCAGGGGCTGCCACAAAGAAGAGGGAGTCAAGCTATTCTCCAAAGCGCCTGAAGGCAGGACAAGAAGCAACGGGTGGAAACTAATCAAGGAGAGAAGCAACCTAGAACTAAGGAGAAACTTCCTGACAGTGAGAACAATTAATCAGTGGAACAGCTTGCCTCCAGAAGCAGTAACTGCTCCAACACTGGAAGTTTTTAAGAAGAGACTGGACAGCCATTTGTCCGAAATGGTGTAGGGTTTCCTGCCCGAGCAGGGGGTTGGACTAGATGACCTCCAAGGTCCCTTCCAACTTTACTACCATTACTATTACTAATCTCAAAGCCAGTCCCCAAACACCTAAAATGAATACGATTGGACACTGATGGACTGGTCAAGGGAGAGGGAACTAGAGATGGGAGAAAACACAGACTTTGCATGGGATTATTCAGATCCAGCTTTGCTTATCCTGTAATCACTTCACCTTAGTAAAGTGAACCTTTCCCTTCAATCATGGAGTCAAAGGTCTATCCTTCCTAAGGACCAAATTAGGACAGTTGTGAGAAATTGCTTTTATAGAACCCACTCATGAACATTGAGATGCAAGTTGAATCCCTCAAAAAGGGTCAGGCTCCTTGAATGACCATCAGAGAGGTGCTGTGCGCACATACAAAGTCCAAAGCATTTCTTTCAAATGATCTTCAGAATAAGCTCAGCCCTTAAAGGTCTTCTTTGGTCATTTGTTTGGCTATTGCTTGCCTCTTAAGAGTAGAGTACTCCTGGGACTCTTTGTAAGGACTCACCCCACTTTGCATCTTAACTTAAGAAGACAGAACTCTTGGAATCTTTCTTCCAACAGGCATCCTTTATTAAGAGAAAATGGTTGCAGGCGTTCTAGACAGGACTTGGGGTCCAAGCTCTCCCCTTCAAGGTTTTAAGGGATTCTCCAGCAGCCCCACCCAATCACCTCCTTCTTCCAGAGACAGTCTCAGGCATTACATTCCCACCCCCTTTCTCTCACTGCCGACAGGAGGGAGACTTCAGAGAGGAGTACATGAAAGGTAATAGCCCCATTGTTATGGTTAGTCCTTTTGGTAGTATCCACATCCAGACTCTTTGAAGTGTACTGAAGGAAGTGAGGGCCATAAAGCCCCTTTGTTCACCCGCTTCCCTTCATCGTATGACAGAATCCAGAGAAGGCAGGAATGGGGTTATCCATAGTCGATAACTAGAGATGAAACATAATTGGATTCTGACACTCTTGCTAGATGTGTCCCATGGGCTTACCTGCCAACTATCATGAGCTCCCATTCAGAAGACAGAGGTCGAAGATGTCGCCAAAGGTCCATGGTGAAAATGGTGCTTGCGCTGTTGAAGATTGAAGTCAAAGAGGACATCAGCGCTGCGATCATGACCGACATCATAAGCCCTCTTAGTCCTAGAAGCAAAAAGTCTGGATGAGAATTTTTGCTTACCAGCGTCCTCCTCAGGAATCACAAGAAGTTTGCAGTTTACTCAGAAAGTTCTCACTATTTGCTTACTCATAGCTTGCATCCAGCTTCAGAAAAAAAGAAATAAAATCAGGAATTGTTTCCTTTGACAAAGAGAAAAATAATCTAATTTACTTTTCACAGATGTATAGAATCACAGAATAAAATGGAACAGAACAGAAAAGGACAGGACAGGACACAATACTTTATTGGCCAAGTGTAATTGGACACACAAGGAATTTGTCTCCGGTGCAGAAGCTCTCAGTGTACTACAAACAATAAAGTGATAAGTCATAGATCATGAATCATAAGTTATAATCATAAATCATAAGATTCAATCATAAATCGTAAGATACAATTGATAAATCATAATATACCAATAGGAGAAGGTAGTAGGAAAGATGACAAATGAGAAAGATGAAAAGATGCTATTCCATCTAGTTTTACGTTATCTGCAAATGTAATTATTTCCTCCAACATTAATATAAGTAATTAATGAAAAAAATAGCATACCGGACCCGCCTAAAGCAGCTCATTCACTATAGTGCAGAGGTAGGCAACCTTGGCTCTTTTATGACTCGTGGACTTCAACTCCCAGAATTCCTGAGCCAGCTATACTAGCTCAGGAATTCTGAGAGTTGAAGTCCACGAGTCATAAAAGAGCCAACGTTGCCTACCCCTGCTCTAGTGAGATAAGGAACTTTTGGACACCACTCTTAGTACCCATTACAAGCCAGCTAAGTATCCATGTAATAGATAGGTAATCCAGCCCACATTTCAGCTTGCTAACTAGATTGTCATGTGGTACTTTATTAAATGCATTACTAAAATCAAGATACCGTATATGCCGGCGTATAAGGCAACTTCCTTATATAAATGGGGGTCGTCTTATACGCCGGAAATACTGGTAGTTTCCGGCGTATAAGACGACGTTCTAGGAATGCGGCTCAGCGACAAAGATGGGGGTCGTCTTATACGCCGGGTCGCCTTGTACGCCGGTATATACGGTATATTATAACCACAGCATCCCCCCAATCTATTAAAGAGTTTTCCACATCAAAAAAATGAAATAAGATTTCACAGTTCATAAAATAGTGAAGGTCAGAAACCAATTTCCTATGAGGAACAGTTAAAGGATTTGTTTGCATACAAAAAATTATCTAAGGGGAAAGAAGGTTGTAGTCTGAAAAGATAGCCAAAAACAGGAATTAGTCTTGTTTTCTATTGCCCAGAGAGGACAGGACCAGAATCAATGGGTTAAAACTACAATGAAAGAGATTCTCAGTTAGGCATCAGGAGGATCGCTCTGACTATATGAACTGTCTTCCATAACTGGCAGGCTGGAATGAACAACTCTTCTATAGAGCAGTGGTTCTCAACCTGTGGGTCGGGACCCCATTTGGGGTCGAACGACCATTTCACGGGGGTCGCCAAACAACGCAGTCCGCCATTTTTTCCCCCTTTTCCTTAGCTGTGCTACTCCCTTTTATTCTATTGGCTTTTGAAAGCCAATAGAATAGACTCTCTTGAATAGAGTCTAATTCTATTGGCTTTCAAAAGCCAATAGGAATTGTCCAGGCTGTCTCTGCCCTGCTGAGCCCGCCAAAAGTCCCATTCTGCAAACGGTGCTGCACCAGTTGAGTAGTCCTCGACTTACGACCGGTTGGGGGTCGCGGCATTAAAAAAGTTGAGAACCACTGCTATAGAGAAAGAGAAGTTCTGCCTTTTCCATGCTTGTTATTCTTTAGCTATATTTTCCTAGCATGTGTATCATATTTTATCTACCCTTTTATTCTGAAGATAACAAAGGAGCCCCTTTCGCTGTTCTTAGCATCCTTTGTAAACTCCAACTCGTTCTGAGTAGCCAGCAAAGCAATGACTAGAAGCCAACTTGACTTTGTCCAAAACAGATCATGCCAAACAAATCTTATTGCATTCTTTGACAAAGTAACTAAATTAGTGGTCCAGCGCAATGCTGTGGATATAATTTACTTGGACTTCAGTAAGGCATTTGATAAAGTAGATTGTAACCTACTACTTGGTAAGATAGGAAAAAAATGGGATAAACAGCATCACCCCCAGATGGATCTCTAACTGGCTGAACACCCGCACTCGACGTGTGGTCCTCAGTGGAACTATATCTACATGGAGAAAAGCAAAGTGGGGTACTCCACATTTCTGTCTTAGGCCCAGTACTCTTCAACAACTTCATAAACAATTTAGATAAGGGAATAGAAGGAGAACTCATCACATTTGCAGATGACACCAAGAAGGTAGGCTCAAGATCCAGAAGATAGACTTGAACACTGGATCCAATACAACAAAATGCAACTCAGTTGTGAGAAAAGTAAGGTATTAGTCTGCTCCTGAAGGCTCCCAAGAGTCCTATTGCAATTCTGCCTGTCGACCATGCCCCTCTTCGCATTAATGAGAAGCCCCTTACCCAGTGGCAGAAGCTCTATGACGAGTTTGGGGTACGCAATATCTGAACATCCAGATGGATTGCCACAGATCTCTTTACAGGATTTGGGATCAGCACAGGCCACTAGATCTGCAACAAAATAGAACCAAAAGACGTTATGAAGGGTGAGAGAAAGGCTGAACAATTGGAAAAAGTAAAAAAAAAAAAAAAGGATTAGAAATCAGATTCAGGACTGCCATTTTGAAATCAGAATAAGGCCTGCAAGATGAAAGGCTGGGGGTCCCAACTTTGGCTTCTGGAAGCCCTCAGGGTCTTCCCAGCCTTGCCCCCTCCCGGAATAGCTAACACACCTATCTTCCCAGAAGAATCTCACCTGAATTCTAATCTCTTGCCCCAGTGTGGATGAAAATCAAGGTATTTACACCCCAAACTGCTTGTCAGTTGGTTAAAAGATCAAAATGCAAATGCTGAAATAATTTCTTTTTAGCTAATTCTTGGCTACTTGGGATATATTTTTTAAAAAATCATGTAGAAAAGAAGAAGCATTTGATTCTTGATTTTTTTTTTTAAGAATTACACTTCTCTTTGTATCCTCATTTGGTTTGGTTTTAGCCCAGTCTCGGTGAACTGAGAAAGAAAGAGTCTGAGAAGACAGCCTTATTATGTATTATTAAATAAAATATGAAATATTAGAAATGGTTTAATAATTTATTAAATAATAAATACTATACTAATAATTATTAAATAATAATAAATAATAAGGCTGTCTTCTCAGACTCTTTCTTTCTCAGTTCTTCCAGACTAGGCCAGAACCAAACTGAAGGGAAGCGTTGTTGTTGTTGTTAGTTGCGAAGTCGTGTCCGACCCATCGTGACCCCATGGACAACGTTCCTCCAGGCCTTCCTGTCCTCTGCCATTTTCTGGAGTCCATTGAAGCTCACGCCTACTGCTTCAGGACTCCATCCAGCTACCTCCTTCTCTGTCCTCCCGTTCTTCTCTTGCCCTCCACCTTTCCCAGCATCAGGCTCTTCTCCAGTGAGTCCTTCCTTCTCATTAGATGGCCAAAGTACTTGAGTTTCAACTTCAGGATCTGGCCTTCTAAAGAGCAGTCAGGGCTGATCTCCTCTAGGACTGACCAGTTGGATCGCCTTGCAGTCCAGGGGACTTGCAGGAGTCTTCTCCAGCACCAGAGTTCAAAGGCCTCCATCCTTTGGCGCTCAGCCTTTCTTATGGTTCAACTTTCACAGCCATACATTGCAACTGGGAAAACCATGGCCTGGACTATACGCACTTTTGTTGGCAGGGTGATGTCTCTGCTTTTTAGAATGCTGTTTAGATTTGCCATAGCTTTCCTCCCCAGGAGCAAGCGTCTTCTAATTTCTTGGCTGCAGTCCCCATCTGAGGTGATCTTGGAGCCCAGGAAGATAAAATCTGTCACTACCTCCATTTCTTCCCCATCTATTTGCCAGGAATTGAGAGGGCCGGATGCCAAGGGAAGCGTAATGCCCCCCCCCCCCCAATAAAAAGAACATGCTTCTTTTCTAAATGATTTTTAGGCCACCGCTCCCACTCTTACCTGGAAAGAGGATACGGCTGATCATGCCAGGCAAGACCATCATGAAGAGAGGCAGGATCTTCAAGTAGGAGGCCAGCAGGGCCCCGCCCTTGGCATGAGAGAGAGACTTTGCCGCCAGAGACCTTTGGACAATGACCTTCAAAGGAAAAGGAGATGGACAGGGTTCATTTTCCCTTCTTCGCCTAGAACAGCCTCCCACATCACCCCAGCTTCAAAGTCCAGGCAGGGCGTAGTCCAAAAAGTCAAGATGATGGTCACAATAGTCCAGTCAACGTTTCAACCAATTTTTTTTAATGTGCTTTGGCTTCCTTGTCCACACCTCGCAGATGCTTCCAAGTTCAGAACCATGAAGATGTACCCAAATGTCAACCTGACAAAGTAGACCAGACTGAAAAAAAACCCAAGACCAAGTAGGATACTTTTATGGTAAAGCTCTAGGACAGTGTTTCTCAACCTTGACAATTTTAAGGCATGTGGACTTCAACTCCCAGAATTCCACAGCCAGCAATGCTGGCTGTGGAATTCTGAGAATTGAAGTCCACATGCCTTAAAATTGTCAAGGTTGAGGAACACTGCTCTAGGAACAGAAGCTTGCAAGTCTCAATGTCCTTGTCCCTCCCTCCCTTTATCTTTGTGTGAATTGGGGGGGGGAGAGGGGAGAGGTTGTCTGAGAATTTTTTTCACATTGTTTTCTCTGGGGGGGAACTCAAGGCTGGCTTATCTGTTGCCTTGGAAGCAGCTCTTCCTTCTGTCTGCCAAGGCCATTTGCTCTGTTCTCTACTCCAAATAGACAGTGGCTGTTGAGACGCTGGCGTGTGGCGCATTCTGAAGGCAGACGGTGCTGGCCTTGAATGTGGGAAGCCTGGATTGACAACTTTGCATAGTCAGGAGAAGGAAGGGGGTGTCCTCTCTATCCAAATGCTGCTCATTCAGAACATCCACTAATGGTGGATCGTAGTGAGGAGCCAACCATATGAGTATTTATTTATTTACCAGATTTATTTTCCAAAGCACCAGAAGGCAAGACAAGAAGCAAGGGATGGAAACTAACCAAGGAGAGAAGCAACCTCGAAATAAGGAGGGATTTCCTAACAGTGGGAACAATTAACCAGTGGAACAGCTTGCCTCCAGAAGTTGTGGGTGCTCCATCACTGTAGGTTTTTAAGATGAGATTGGACAGCTATTTGTCTAAAATGGTATAGGGTAGTGGTTCTCAACCTTTTTAATGCCGTGACCCCCAACCGGTCGTAAGTCGAGGACTACTCAACCGGTCGTAAGTCAAGGACTACTCAACTGGGGCAGCACCGTTTGCAGACTGGGACTTTTGGCGGGCTCAGCAAGGCAGAGATAGCCTGGATAATTCCTATTGGCTTTTGAAAGCCAATAGAATTAGACTCTATTCAAGAGAGTCTATTCTATTTGGCGACCCCCGTGAAATGGTCGTTCGACCCCAAATGGGGTCCCGACCCACAGGTTGAGAACCACTGGTATAGGGTCTCCAGCTTGAGCAGGAGATTGAATTAGAAGACCAGATCCCTTCCAACTCTATTATTCTGTGTTTTATGTTCTATATCAGTGTTTCCCAACTGTGACAATTTTAAGGCATGTGGACTTCAACTCTCAGAATTCCACAGCCAGCAATGCTGGCTGTGGAATTCTGGGAGTTGAAGTCCACATGCCTTAAAATTGTCAAGGTTGAGAAACACCGTTCTATATAGTTGCTCATCTCACAAAATGTGACTCTGGGCGCTCCCAAACGTGTCTCATGATTATAAGTAATTCCCAGTTTAAGGATGAGTTCTGTACTCAAGGTCTGTCCTTAAGTCAAATTTGTATGTAAGCCGGAACAGTGTTATATAATACTGTATAAATAACATTGTGTAATGAACTTGAACCATTGTGTATTTAACTTGAATCACTGTGTATTTCAATCACATTTTGCAACAATAGGCTCCATTCTTAACCATGGGTCATCCTTAAATCGGGGCATTCTTAACCCAGGGACTTACTGTGTTACCATGACAGCACATGATGATGTGGGCAGATTTACAGTGTTGTTCTCATAATGCCAGACATTTCAGTTGCCACACTTGAGAAGCGATTCGGAGGAAGTTGTGCAAACTTTCTCAAGCACACAGCCCTGATCCTAATTAAAGTAGCCGCATCTTTTGCCACTCCTGTGTGTGAGCTATGCTGCAAGTTCTCCCTTAAAGCAATGCTATCACTTCCTGGCATATGGTGGCAATTTCTCTTCCTTTAAAGCTCTCCCTCTGTAGAGGACACAATGGCTGAGCGGTTAAAGATGCTGAGCTTGTCAGCTGGAAGCTTACAGCCCGGGTTTGAGACACAAGTGCCATGCGACGAGTTGAGCTCCTGCCCAACTAGCAGTTCGAAAACATGCAACTGTGAGTAGTTAAGTCCTAGAAGAGATCAACCCCGACTGCTCTTTAGAAGGCCAGATCCTGAAGTTGAAACTCAAGTACTTTGGCCACCTAATGAGAAGGAAGGACTCGCTGGAGAAGAGCCTAATGCTGGGAAAGATGGAGGGCAAGAGAAGAAGGGGACGACAGAGACTGAGGTGGCTGGATGGAGTCCCTGAAGCAGGAGGTGTGAGCTTCAATGGACTCCAGAAGATGGTAGAGGACAGGAAGGCCTGGAGGAACGTTGTCCATGGGGTTGTGATGGGTCGGACACGACTTCGCAACTAACGACAACAACAATCATTTCAGTGAGAAGGTTAACAGTATTTTGTGCATTTTGGCTGGCCACATGACCACAGAAAAAGTCTTCGCTGGCTCCCTCAGCTAAGAAATGGAGATGAGCACCACCCCTTAGAATCGGATACAACTGGACAAGGGAAACCTTGACCTTTTAAAACTCTTCCTCAGCCAGAAGACAAACGTAGCGGGTGAGATGAATTACCTGGTCAGTGCACCAGTACCACAAAGATGGGATGGTCATTCCCACTATGATTCCTGGCCAGGGAAAGTCGGACGTGACAGGGTCCCGGAATATGTGGAAGGCATCCTGTCTTGGCAAGCCACAGCTGGTGTTTCCGTGGTGGTTGCTTGCGATGGCTTTGAAGTATCTGTTCTTCAGGTCCTCAAGGCCTCCAACTTTGGCAAAGCCTAGAGAGGTTGAAATGGACCAGTTCAGCTGCCACCCCCAGACAGACATCAGGCTAAGGAATAGCAATTCTGAAAGCCTCCCGCCCAGTACTCACTGAAGCCCATCAGGGTGAGGGCGCCAGCCAGCATGATGACCGTCTGCAGGGTGTCCGTGTAGATGACCGCTGCCAGGCCCCCTGTAGAAAGCAGCAAGAGCTGGATTGGGGTCCAGTTTCCGCCCCAAAATCTGGACTAGCCTCAAAAAAGCCCTTTCTTGATATTGAAAGTTTATTATTACTTTATTTGTTAAATTTGCAAGTCACCCCTCTCCTTATCCAGTGACTCTCGGTAGCTGCACAGTGCTGGAAAAATGAGAATATACCGTCAGAGGAAGAAGTGATAAGAAAAATCCTGGACTGTGCTGAGATGGACAAATTAACAAAAGAGATAAAAGAAAAGGAAGACACAGAGTACTATCTAATATGGAATAAGTGGCATTTATTTATTTATTTATTTATGAGACTTATATATCGCTTTAAGTGCAAAGCACTCTCTAAGCGGTGTACACCAGTAAGCAATGTATATATATATATATTTACATTGCCCCCAACAATCTGGGTCCTCATTTGACCTACCCCAGAAGGATGGAAGGCTGAGTCAACTGGTTGGAGATTAGAAATAATAAATGAGAATAAAAGTGGAGAGGTTAAAAATGGAAAATGTGTGTATAATAATGTATAGTAATAATAATATGTATTATTTTTAGTATGAAGTATAGTATGAAGGAAGAAAAATGCAAACAAGAAACAACGGGACAACAAGGACAAATATATCTAAAGAAGAATAAGGGGGAGAAATGTAAATAATAGAAGACTACTGTTACGAAATTGCTGTTAAAAAAAGGAGGCGTATATACTGTGTGTGTATATGTGCTATGTTTTGTTGTTTTAAAAAATAAAAAAAAACTTTTTTTTTTTTTTAAAAGTGACTTTCGGTAGCTAAAGTTAATTTTATACCTATCAGAAAATTGCTGTTTTAATGCAGGTGTGATTAAATATTGGGACAGTTCTTGGAAGGTTTACTGTTGGCATTTTTAACTAGAAATCCAAATAAAAAATACCATGCACCTGATTATTTGCATCGCAAGTACCTAGCCTACGTTTGGTTTTGCTATTTTTAATATAACAAGACTTTCCCGACGGGAATGATGTGCCAGTTGGAAAGCAGTCGTTTTGGAAAGAGAAGAAACAATTTTATGATGCTGGCTGAGATGGCAAAATTGACCTTTTGATTAGAGAAAAGACACCGATTAATATGAATGCTGGCTGGAAAACCCTTCTCCGGGAAACAGGAAAAAATAAATAAAATTGTGGCAAGTATGTTTGATGATCAGAAAAAAAAAACAGTAGATTAGAGGAAAAATGAAACTGATGTAACTTTAGAGCAAGAGGTCAATTCAAATTCATGCTTCTATCTGTTATAAAAGACAATCAAAAATCATTTTCTGCCTTTTTCTCTTCTTTCTGCACTTTTGGCTTTGCTCTTTCTTTTTTTCTCTTTCCTACCTGAACGGTTAGTTTTTGTTAGTTTTTATATTTCTAGTTTAAACAATCTAGTAAAGTTATCAGACAATTTTATTGCCTTTTGCATAGAGTGGAATATGTGTTTGTGTATGTGTGTGTGTGAGAGAGAGAGAGAGAGAGAGAGAGGGAGGGAGGGAGGGAGAAGGAGGGGGGAGGGAGGGAGAGGGGGAGAGAGAGAGGGAGGGAGGGAAGAGGGGGAGAAGGGGAGAGGGGGGAGGGAGGGAAGAGGAGGAGGAACGAAGAGGGGAGAGAGAGAGAGAAGGAGAGAGGGAGAGAAGAGGGGGAAGGAGGGAGAGGGGGAGAGAGAGGGACGGAGGGAGGGGGGAGGAAGGGAGAGAGAGGGGGAGGGGGAGGGGGAGAGAGAGAGGGAAGGAGGGAGGGAGGGAAGAGGGGGAGGAAGGGAGAGAGAGGGAGAGAGAGGGAGAGGAAGGGAGGGAGAGAGGGAGGAGGGGAGGGAGGGAGGGGGGAGAGAGAGAGGGAGGGAGGGAGGAGAGGAGAGGGAAGAAGGGGGAGAGGGGGATAGATAGAAGGAGAGGGAGGGAGGGAGGAGGGGGAGGGAGAGGGGGAGAGGGGGAGAGAGAGAGGGAGGGAGGGAAGAGGGGCGAGGAAGGGAGAGGTGGGGGCGTGAGAGAGATTTTGCTGGGATCCACATCGGCTTTCAGTGGGGACCTAACTTAACTCTCGCTGTCCTCTTCAAACAACTTTTGGGGTATTGGGGAGCAGATGCAGTAGGCAACCTGGCAAGAAAGGAGCGTCTGCCGTTCCCATCAAGCCAACTGGTGGTCTAGCAATAGATCATGACTGGCTGTTTGCTTGCCTTTCCTCCTGTGGTTTGATTTTCCCTGTTTTTCTCTTCCTTGTTAACAAGTAGTTCCCTGGGCAGTATATAAAAGTCTGCAGCTGAACGCCACGTCTTTTTAACTTTTTTCAAAAGGAGTTAAAAAACGGAAACATTGAGGACATTTTTTAACTGAAGTTCAAAGCAAAGGAAGATGAAAAGGGGTGAGATTTTCTAAAGAAAGCCAGGACATGATAATCTTTGCTTTGGAAATTTCAAGCTGTTCCTTCTCCGTAGGCCAACACATCTAATGTTTTCTTTCTTGCAAAGCACTTCGGTGTACCCAAGTTATTTTTACAAAGCATGCAATGTGAGTAATAGTTTACTTATTTGCAAATGCTGCCCCCTCACTATATTTTTTTCGTTGGCAGTGGGGCAAAATGAAGCCTCAGAAAAAGCAACAAATGTCAGGCAGCACCTTAAACCCCAAGAAGTACTTGGTGGTCACAAAACAGAATTTAACCGATGTTCCAGGTAACTTAGGATGAGTTACCTAACCACATGCTACATATTCATCGCTAAATCTTCTAAGGAAACATGCTTTCTCTCCATACACGTTGGTCAAACCTCAACTGCCTGAAGCTGGATGATAGAACAGCCAAACAATCCCAGCTATTCTCCTAAACTCCTTTCCTGGGGCTCATGGTCGAGAAATAACTGCAAAAAGATCCACTCTTACAGCATTAACATCTACCTGCCACAGTGTAAATTGCAGTGATGACCAGCAAACCGATGACCGCTATGTAGAGGTCCCAGTGCAGGGCCTGTTGGATGAAGAGAGCCCCAGCGTACATGTCAACCTGGAGGAGAGAGAAACATCTAAGATTGCAATCTCAATAACCCTCTTGTCTGGGCTGACTCAAATTAGAAGACAGTTGGCCAAATGTTGGGTTATATCCCCTATACCAGGGGTAGGCAACCTTGGCTCTTTTATGACTCGTGGACTTCAACTCCCAGAATTCCTGAGCCAGCATGGCTCAGGAATTCTGGGAGTTGAAGTCCACGAGTCATAAAAGAGTCAAGGTTGCCTACCCCTGCCCTACACTAATGGTTGCGTTTGGGTGCATAGATAGAGAGTAGTCTCTCTTAGAATCCTAGGGCTGAAAGGACCTTCAAAGTCTTCTAATCCAAACTCCTGCCCAAGGCAGGAAATCTTATTGCTTCCCAAAGAAATGAACGTCCAATCTTTTCTTGAAGACCTCCAGTGATGGAACACCCACAATTCCAGGAGACAAGTTGTTCCATTGATTAACAGTTGTCATTGTCAGGAAATTCCTCCTTATTTCTAGGTTGGATTTCTCTCTCGTGAGCTTCCACCCTTGCTTCTTGTCCTGTCTCAATCCTACCATGAGGACCATGTTGCTGAAAGGTGACGCCCCTGTTTGCTGTATGCAAACTTTAATGGCAATTTTCTCCAATTTTCTCTGGTCATGCCCTAAGACAGTGGTTCTCAACCTGTGGGTCGGGACCTCATTTGGGGTCGAATGACCATTTCACAGGGGTCGCCAAACAATGCAGTCCGCCATTTTTTCCCCCTTTTCCTTAGCTGTGCTACTCCCTTTTATCCTATTGGCTTTTGAAAGCCAATAGAAGAGACTCTCTTGAATAGAGTCTAATTCTATTGGCTTTCAAAAGCCAATAGGAATTGTCCAGGCTGTCTCTGCCCTGCTGAGCCCGCCAAAAGTCCCATTCTGCAAACGGTGCTGCACCAGTTGAGTAGTCCTCGACTTACGACTGGTTGAGTAGTCCTCGACTTACGACCGGTTGGGGGTCGCGGCATTAAAAAGGTTGAGACCCACTGCCCTAAGAGCCAGATTAGGAAGAATTACCTGGCCCAGGCCTTGGGCTTAAAGCCTAACTAATGACTCTTCTCAATTATTGTCTAAAAGGGTATTATGTCTGACCTTTGTTTCAAGCACAGTAATTATTAATTGGCTGGTCAATATTTGAACTATTGATTCAGATAGCCCCCTTCTCTTTTTTTGCTTCGGTCTGGCTGTTGCAAATTACAGGTAGCCCTTGACGTACGACCATAATTGAGCCCAAAATTTCTGAGACATTTGTTAAGCGAGTAGTACTACTGAATTGATGGCTATCGTGACCAAAACTAAAAGATATTTCTGTTGTTGTTGTTGTTAATTGTGAAGTCGTGTCCGACCCATCGCGACCCCATGGACAACGTTCCTCCAGGTCTTCCTGTCCTCTACCATCTTCTGGAGCCCATTTAAGTTCATGCCTACTGCTTCAGTGACTCCATCCAGCCATCTCATTCTCTGTCGTCCCCTTCTTCTATTGGATATTTCTGTACTGATGCATTTAGAAGTGGCTTAAGCATTTGAACTTGTTTTTTTTCCTTTTATATCACAACTAAGATAGATTTACATAGAAAGTTAAAAAAAATTGTTGAGATTCCTTGGTACATGAGTTGCAAACAATAAATTGCAAGAAAAAACTTCCACTTATTCAGTGTCCCATTATTAAGCTGGGACTAAGAATGTGTGTGGGTGCAATTCAATGGTGCAAAACTGGCACAAAACATTGTCATTGTTTGGGTGAACAGAATAAGGCTAGATGTTTTTAGATGTTTCCTTTGCAGCTGATTAGAAATGTCTTAAACTCTTAACTATGGGACTAGAAAAATGTAGTCACAATGCAGCAAAGCCATTGAAGAGAACCATTTAAGGACATGGCAGCTGCCCTTGAGCAATGTACAAACTTGGTCAAACAGAACTGGTAAAAAGCAGTTCAGAACTTTGGCACAGATTTGGGGTGGATGTAACAACCCTGATTTTGTGGGTAAAAATCTTTTGCCGCCCTAGAGTAACACAGCTCTCCTCTTTCAGTGGGTTTGTAGTTATTTACTCTTTTTTATAATGTGGTGACCAGTTTTGGTCACCACATTACAAAAAGGATGTTGAGACTTTGGGGGGAAAAAAAAGTGCAGAGAAGAGCAACTAAGATGATTAAAGGCCTGGAGACTAAAAGATATGAAGAACGACTGCAGGAACTGGGTATGGCCAGTCTAGAGAAAAGAAGAACTAGGGGTGACATGACAGCAGTGTTCTAGTATCTGCAAAGAAGGGGGGGGGGGTCAACTTATTTTCCAAAGCACCAGAAGGCAGGACAAAAAACAATGGATGGAAATTAATCAATGAGAGAAGCAACCTGGAATTTAGGAGAAACTTAATTAGCAATTAACCAGTGGAACAACTTGCTTCCAGAAGTTGTGGGTGCTCCATCACTGGAAGTTTTTAAAAAGAGACTGGACAGCCACTTGTCTGAAACGGTTAGGGTCTCCTGCTGAAGCAGGAGGGTTGGACTAGAAGAGCTCCAAGATCCCTTCCAGCTCTATTCTGAAAAGACTGCATCCTCTTAACTATCAGATTTTAAAACTTGGACAGAAGTTGTAACATTTTGGATAGAAACCAAATGTTGGGATTCATACCCAACCCAGCTGAAGTAGCATCTGTCTCTTGATGGGATTGAGTGTCTTCTGTGGTTAATAAGTGACCGGAGCAAAAGGTTAGCCAGTTACTCATTAAATGTGTGTAGTCAAACACAAAAGTCAATGACTAGACGATAGGACTGGGCATCTTCTGTGCCCGCCTGTCCACACACACAACACGTTCCATTGGTGTGGGCACTTCCTTTACATCTCTATCTGGGAAATAAATTTTCAGTTAAGAACAAAACAAATAGATGGAAACCAGCACTAGAAAACCAGCAACAAACAAATCAGATAAGGAGGGAGATTCTGGACTCAGGCCCACAAATTTGGACATCTCCTTAATATTAAAAGCTTTAACTCCCAACGCTTTGTGGTTCTATTTTAGAGCAACGTTTTTAATCCATTTTTTTCTTGAACGGTTGTACAATGCTACTACACAAGCCAACCAAAGTAATGGTGTGAATATGAGCATTCTTAGAGCTTCTCTCAGTGTCGTCTCCAGAGTCAGTTTTAGAACTCTTGGAAAACAGTTCTTGGCGGAAATGTTATGGGAGGTTCTGCCCGCCCTGCAAACTTTCAGGAATGGATCTGTGGATCCAAATCCTAGATTCCTTTCGCATCCTGAAGCCCCTTGGTCACCAGCGGATGTTTCCTTTACTCACAGGCGCATCCCTGAGGACAGTGAGGCTGTGGAATGAGCCGAGAGAGACATGCGTCTTCAGAAAGAGGCTGCCCACAGATGCGGCTTCCATGCCCACATTGGCCCTGCTCGCCTTTTAGACTTTGGATCCCAAACGCAGCACCTCCCCAGTTGCCTCCTGTATCTGTTGGTTTGCCGCCCTACGGCTGCCACAATGCACGAGAAACATCAAAAGTCACTTATGAAGCCTATGTTGACCTACTCTTTCCAAGCCAGTTCTGTTCTGTCTCCTCTCGTCTCCTTACTTACTGAAATTTTGGTGAATATATAGATAAACAAGTAGAGAATTGCAAGGAAGATCTGAATCCTTTTGCCACCAAACCGTCTCTGCAAATACTCTGGCATGGTTGTAACCTGGGAGAGACGGAAAAGGAGGAAGTCTTTACCAAACAAAAGCCTTGATGTTTTGGCGATGGCTGGAATGTACGCAAAGCCGTCTGGGAGATGAACCATTTCACAGCCCTCACCCTTCACCTCTCAAATCTGCAACTTCCCCAGCAACAGAAGACCCCCTTTAGTAAGGTGACCAACCGTCCTCCTTTAGGGAGGACAGTCCTCCTTTTGTAAGTTCTGTCCTCCCTCAAAAAGTGTCCTCCTTCATGTCCTCCTTTTCGATATTTGAAGACTAATCTGCAGGGCTTTTTTTCCCCTCATAAAACGCTCAAAATGGCGTTCTGGCACCTTTTTTTGACGTTTTTTTTTTCAACTTTTGCATGAGCTGTGCTCCTCCCGCTATTGGCTTTCGAAAGCCAATAGGAATTGCTGCTGAGCGCGCCAAAACACCCGGCCGGCAAACTTTGCACATGCAAGTTGTCTGTATTATTGTTGCAATGAATAAAATGTTTATTTTATTTACGATATTTTTTTCTTCAATTTATTTGTGTCCTCCTTTTCACTGTAAAAAAGTTGGTCACCTTACCTTTAGCCCCTAGTGAGAGCCTGCTAAAGACCTTTTTACCCCCTACTATAGTGATGGCGAACCTTTTAGAGACCGAGTGTCCAAAAAGCACCTCGCCCCTGTCTTGCCCCCCCTCTCCTGCCTGCAGGGCCACCCACCAATTCCATGGCCCGCCACAGCAGATCGCCCAGGCGGCCCAGCAGGGTCATGGCGGCCACACTCTCTGTCTGCACCCCACAGCATCATCTGTATGCGATGGGGCACAAGGGCAGAGTCTTGTCTCCGCTGCCCGGCTGCCATGTCCTTGGCTGCGCTGCTCTGTGCAGGCTGCGCCTGGGGCAAGTCTCTTCCAGGGAGACTGCTGGTGAGTAGGGGGCCACAGGGGGCAGCGAGGCTGGGGCGACAACGTGAGTGCCCACAGAGAGGGCTCTGACACCCGTGCCATAGGTTCGCCACCACTGCCCTACTACAAGCCTACTAAAGACCTCTTTAGCCTCTACTAAGAGCCATGGTGGCGTAGTGGTTAGAATAAAATATTGCAGGCAAACTCTGCCCACTGCCAGTAGTTCAATCCTGACCAGCTCAAGATTGACTCAGCCTTCCAGCCTTTTCTTTACCGAAAAGGAGGACGCAGATTGCTGGCAGCAATAGGCTGACACTGTAAACCACTTTGAGGGGGCTGAAAAGCACTGGCAAGTGGATGGCCAAATAAATTGATTAAAATAATTACAGAAAGCCTTCGACTTGCAACAGTTCCTTTAGGGACCGTTCAAAGTTACAACGGCGCTGAAAAAAGTGACTTTTGACATTTTTTCACATTTATGACTGTTGTCATGGTTCCGAAAAGAAGCAGCTTTTCAAAGAACTTTGAGGCTTATTCACCTTAAAGAATCCTTTATTTTCTGCATAGCTTCGGCACTAACAAAGTTCTCGTTTGAATATTTGCTACTACCACCAAGATCTGCGCCCGCGGTGGTTCCACCCGGGCCCGCGCCCTAGGCTTCAAGGCCCACCGCGGCGGCCCTCCTACTCGTCGTGGCCTAGCCCTCCATTGCCTGCATGAACATTTTGAAATAGGATGTTATGGGATATAAGCCACCTTGGAGGCCTCTAAAGAGGCTAAGACCCAGGGGTGCTTGCAGGTGTGTGCAACAGGGCAAAGAGAGTGAGAGAGACGGCTTTGCTCAAAGCGCTTTAAGAAAGGAAGGAAGGCATTTCTAACCCCTTTGGACGGGGAACAAAATCCCGGAGGCTCTGCCATATTGCCTGGTTCCACGTGGCCCTTCTCAGGTGAAGGTCAAGGTGAAGAAAGCAGGTAAGATCAAGAAGGACTCGGCTCTCTGGAAGAGCAGAGGAGGTGTTCTGGGTGCCGACTTACTCACCTCACTTGCAAGATAGATGGGAACAAACAGCCATGCCAACACCAGGACACAAAACATCCCCTAGGAGAGACCACAGAGCCATTAGAAAAGCGGAAGCCCCCTCCCCTCAAAAACCTGCAGATCTACGGGGCGGTTCACCCACTCTCCGTTGGCAGGGCAGGCCAACAGTTGGCGGCCGAGGGTCTCCACAAGCAAATTCAGCTTCATTTTACGTCTCCAGCTGTAGACTTCTGGCAGCCCCTGCCAATCAATCTGGTGCATTTTAGGAGGATTTGAAAAGGGAGCCAAAGGTAACTCCGGTGACAGTGTCCCAAAAGCTCAATTGGATGCAACTGACCTAGCAAACCAGGCCCTGCTGGGATAGGCCTGTAAGCTCTTCAGGTGTGGCTAAGTCAGAATAACAGAATAACAGAGTTGGAAGGAACCTAGGAGGTCTTCTAGTCCAGCCTTTGACCCAAGCAGGAGACCCTACACCAGGGGTAGGCAACCTTGGCTCTTTTATGACTCTTGGACTTCAACTCCCAGAATTCCTGAGCCAGCCACGCTGAGGGGAAAGGGAGAGGTTTCCAAGCTGAGTCATGCTGGCTCAGGAATTCTGGGAGTTGAAGTCCACGAGTCATAAAAGAGCCAAGGTTGCCTACCCCTGCCCTACACTATTCTGGACAAATAGCTGTCCAGACATAGAACCCAGGACATAGAATAATAGAGTTGGAAGGAACCTTGGAGATCTTCTAGTCCAGTGGTTCTCAACCTTTTTAATGCCGCGACCCCCAACCGGTCATAAGTCGAGGACTACTCAACTGGTGCAGCACCGTTTGCAGACTGGGACTTTTGGCGGGCTCAGCAGGGAGACAGCCTGGACAATTCCTATTGGCTTTGGAAAGCCAATAGAATTAGACTCTATTCAAGAGAGTCTCTTCTATTGGCTTTCAAAAGCCAATGGAAGAAAAGGGAGGAGCACAGCTAAGGAAAAGGGGAAAAAAATGGCGGACTGCGTTGTTTGGCGACCCCCATGAAATGGTCGTTCGACCCCAAATGGGGTCCCGACCCACAGGTTGAGAACCACTGTTCTAGTCCAACCCCCTGCTCGAGCAGAAGCAGTCTCTTCTTGAAAACCTCCAGTGATGGAGCACAGGGTACAACATTCACACCTTCTTCCCCCCTCAGGAGCAGTGCAGTTATAATCCTGCACTGGGACTGCAGAATAAACTGGAGAATAGAACCACTATGGGGCCATGCAAAGCAACTGGTCAGAGGAAGAGGCCTCCCCCCTCTCTGGGACTGCTGCTACTTAACATTCAGTGCTGGCAAGCAAAGCAGATGCCAGCAGGAAAGTGGGCAGCCTGGCATTAATGAAGCCCCAGCAGATGAGCTGATGTGCATGTGGTTCTCCATGGAGATAGCCCACCAGATCACCCCCCCCCAAAAAAAAGTTCCTGCCATTTTCAGTGAGGGATGGGCCCAATCCGTCTCTGTATCACAGTGTTTCTCAACCTTGACCATTTTAAGGCATGTGGACTTCAACTCCCAGAATTCCACAGCCAGCAATTGCTGGCTGTGAAATTCTGGGAGTTGAAGTCCACATGCCTTAAAATGGTCAAGATTGAGAAACACTGCTGTATCAGCTTCAAGGACTTGAACCCAGAGCCCGAGTGGATTAGCAAATACCGATTCCTGCTCTAGCAACATCCTGCTGCTCACTTCTTTCTCTCGCAGGGAGCGAAGTAAAGTGGAGTTTTAATGCAAGAGAAAAAAATTCTCAAGGTGCTGTTTCTGCAGAGATCGTGACATTTAGGGAGTATCCTCCGTGCCTCTCTAATCCTTCCTGTGCTGCTGCAGGGATTTGTAGATCTCTCTCCCAAGGTGTAGGCAGGTGGAGGGGTGGGGAAACCAGGTGGGAGGGCAGCCTTGCTCTGACCCAAACCAAAGAAGCTTTGCTATCCACATTCCCTCCCGCCCTTAAATTGTGTCCTCCTAAGCTTCCAGGTTCAAAAAGACCATTTTAAACCTGGCCCCCCATTTCACCTGGGCTCTTGATTCAGCTATCTGGAAATAGGGATGTCACAAGGCGAGTATATCTTACAAATGAAAAGAAGGGGTCAACATTTTGGTATGCCTCGTTCAGGGGTAGGCAACCTTGGCTCTTTTATGACTCGTGGACTTCAACTCCCAGAATTTCTGAGCCAGCATAGTTGGAAGTCCACGAGTCATAAAAGTGCCAAGGTTGCCTAGCCCTGGTCTAGTTTAATGAAAAGAAGGATTAGGGGCGACATGATAGCAGTCTTCCAATATCTAAGGGGTTGCCGCAAAGAAGAGGGAGTCAAGCTATTCTCTGAAGCCCCTGAAGGCAGGACAAAAAGCAACAGATGGAAGCTGATCAAGGAGAGAAGCAACTTAGAAGGAAGGAGAAATTTCCTGACAGTGAGAACAATTAACCAGTGGAATGGCTTGCTTCCAGAAATTGTGGGCGCTCCATCACTGGAATGGTGTAGACCAGGGGAAGGCAACCTTGGCTCTTTTATGACTCGTGGACTTCACTTCCCAGAATTCCTGAGCCAGCATGACTCAGCTTGGAAACCTCTCTCTTTCCCCTCAGCATGGCTGGCTCAGGAATTCTGGGAGTTGAAGTCCACGAGTCATAAAAGAGCCAAGGTTGCCTACCCCTGGTGTAGACTCTCCTGCTTCAGCAGTGGGTCGGACTAGAAGACCTCCAAGGTCCTTTCCAACTGTTAGTCTGTTATTCTGTTTCAGTGTTCCATTTACTCGGATGTCTTTATATTCCAGGTGTGCAAAAGCTGACTCAATCCAAAAAGCATCCAGCCAGGCCCCAGAGCTGAAGAGAAGGGAGAGTCAGCCCTTTGCACAAAAGACACAACTCTTTTGCTGACCTCTTTAAACAGCCCCTGGAAAAGTCTGCTATTCTTTAATCAGCCGAATCAGGCCCAGGAGATAGAAAGGAGTCCGCAGATTCGAGAAAGACCTTGCCCCTTGCCCTTTGCCAGCCAGCATAAAAAGAACCATAAAAGCGATACTCACATTCCATTCGTAGGCCGTGGCAGCAATTCCAGAGGCTGCACCAGAGCCAGCCAAGCCAATGAAATGCCCGCTGCCAACATTACTGGCAAACAGGGAAGCCCCCACCTGTGAAAAGAAGCCATTGATCAGCTGGGTGGGAATCTCAGGTACCTTCTAAACCTGCCTTGAGTGGATCACTTGTCCTGACCCAAGACCCAGTTTCTCCTTTGGGATGCTTCTTCTTTTTTTTCTTTTTATAATAATTTTTTATTTTTCCAAACTCTCCCCCATACATATACCGTGATATTTATCAGATGTTAACATACATTCTTTTTACATTCATATATAAGATACTTTTAATAAAATGAAATAAATACATACACATGACTTTTGGTGTTGCTCACCCATTTCCCCTTTCACTGTATCCACACTCCTTCTTCTCTACCTTCTTTCTCCCTTTCTTCTCTTCCCTACTTCCCTCTTCTTCCTCTCCTCTTCTCTTTCCTTCACCACTCTCCTCCCCTTTCTCCCCACTTCTCCTCTTCTCCTCCAACCTTTCTACTTCCTTCTCCCCTCCTTTGCTCTTTTCTCTCTCCTCTCCTTTCTTCCCTCTCATCCCTCTTCAGATACAATTCAGGGGTAATGTCCGAGCAACTCCTCTCTCCAAATTTCTCCTTTGGGATGCTTCTCTTGACACTATAGGACCAGGGTCTCCAAACTTGGCAACGTTAAGATGTGTCTATGGAGATTCTCAGTGATCCAGGTCACAGGGGGGTCTTTAAAAAGGCCACAAGCTCAAATTGGCGGAGTCAAATCTGTTTGGTTTTTCTCAAAGAAAAACAACAGAGCCGTGTTCCAGGCCATGTGGGGATCGGTCTACCCCTTTCCCTATCCTCCAGGAGCAATGTCTATGGAGATGACCATCCAGGTCACGGTTGTCCCAAAGGTGCTTTTTCAGGACACAATTAGACTTTCATGTTTTCTTTGAAGACGTTTCACTTCTCATCCAAGAAGCTTCTTCAGCTCTGACTGGATGGTGGGGAATGGAAAGATTTATACTCCTTGCAGACAGCTGGTCATTTGCATGCTTTTAGAAAGTCCTTGAGGCCACTTGAAGGTTTGTCTGTGTCCTCAGGGTCCCCTGAGTGGTGCAAGTGTGTGTGGAGCCTTCTTGGCTGCAGGATTTTTTGTCCTGTGTCCCTTCACTGTTGAAGGCAGGTGCAGGCAAATGGTCCCAATGACTCTCTAAAATAGGGGTTCTCAACCTTGGCAAGTTTAAGACTTGTGGACTTCAACTCCCAGAATTCCTCAGCCAGCTTTGCTGACTGAGGAATTCTGGGAGTTGAAGTCCACAAGTCTTAAACTTGCCAAGGTTGAGAACCCCTGCAGAATGCAAATGACCAGCTATCTGCAAGCGATATAAATCCCTCTACTTCCCCACCATCTAGTAGTCAGAGCTGAAGAAGCTTCTTGGATGAGAAGCGAAACGTCTTCAAAGAAAAACAAGGAAGTCCACTTGCCTCCTGAAAAAGGGTTTAAGACTTGTGGACTTCAACTCCCAGAATTCAAGACTCAAGTCTTAAAGTTGCCAGGTTTGGAGACCCCTGCTAGAGAAGCGGATGCTCTCACTGCTTTTTCTGGTTTGCACAGGTTCAGACAATCTGGCCTTTGGCAACACCTGGTCTATCAACAAGAGAGGCTTGTCCGGCTCCTTCAGACCTAGGTCTGGGTGTGGAAGGAGGTTCTCGGTGGATTGATCCACAAACCATGCTGGCCTTTTCAAAGTAGAGAAAACAGGGAACGAAAGGACATCTCTGTCTTTTGTATGAGGAGTCACTTTGTTGTAGTGGTGAAGGTAGCAGGCTAGAAACTGGGAGATGGTGACTTCTAGTCCTGTCTCAGCTAGGTGACCTTGGACCAGTCCCTCTCTCTCGGCCCTAGGCAGAAGAAGACAATGATAGGCAACCATTTCTGAAAACGTTGCCAAGAAAACGTCAGCAACTAATTGAGGCAGGGGCCTCAGCAAAAGACTGACTGGAAGGCACAAAATCTTTTGTGTAATTCCCCTCCCCAAATCGCTCACCAAGCAAAACATTTTAGACAAGCTGAAATTGGAGATAGCTTACCGGCCACCAGACCATCTCACCCCCAGCTAGGAAGTAACCCTTAACGGTGCTTCGTTTTGTCTTCCACATTGACTGAAATATTAAAAGACAATGAGTTTATTTGCTGAGAATATGAAAGGTTCCATAAAGTACAGTTCCCCCACCCATAAAAAACAGGCAAGTAGGAGTGAATATGGAAAGGGTCCCATTTCACTCTGCGGTAATTCCTGGGGTTTCCTGTTTTGGGATCTTGAAAGAGACACAAAGGAGGAAGAAAGCCTTCCCCCAATCAAGGGAAGAACCTGTTTTAGACCTTCAACTTGCTGCTTGAGTATTTCCAATATAATAGAATAGAATAAGGAGAGGATAGACAAATAGAAAATTGGCATAGAATAGAATAGAATAGAATAGAAATGGAATGGAATAAATGGAATGGAATGGAATAGAATACCGTACTTTCCAGCATATAAGATGACTTTTGAGAGCGTTGAAATCGGCGCTGAAGTCAGGGGTTGTCTTATACGCCGAGTCGTCTTATACACCAGAAATAACGGTAGTTTCCGGCGTATTAGACAACTTTCTAGGCATGCGACTCGGCGTCGAAGTCAGGGGTCGCCTTATACGCCGGAATATACGGTAGAATAGAATAGAATAGAATAGAATAGAATAGAATAGAATAGAATAGAATAGAATAGAATAGAATAGAATAGAATAGAATAGAATGGAATGAATGGAATGAATAGAATAGAATAGAATAGAATAGAATAGAATAGAATAGAATAGAATAGAATAGAATAGAATAGAATAGAATAGAGAATGGGAATGGGAATAGAATAGAATAGAATAGAATAGAATAGAATAGAATAGAATAGAATAGAATAGAATAGAATAGAATAGAATAATTGGAAGGGACATTGGAGGTCTTCTAGTCCAACCCCAGACAAATGGCAGTCCAGTCTCTTCTTAAAACCTTCCAGTGTTGGAGCATTCACAACTTCTGGAGGCAAGTTATTCCAATGATTAATTTTTCTGTCAGGAAATTTCTCCTTAGTTCCACGTTGCTTCTCTCCTTGATTAGTTTCCATGTCAAGCACAGTAGCCAGGATTGAGACAGGTGATTATCATTCATGGGAAAGTGCCCATCAAAGAACCAGCTTGCCTCAGATGTTGGGCCAAGATGGGCCACAGAGCCACAGCTGAGAGGACGCTTCGGATAGGGAGGGGGGCCTGGCATTCTGCAGGTTTCCTTGCAGAGAGACAGGCAGAGTTCTTTGGAAGGGGAATCCCTTAGAATACCCTTGAAGCAGGATGCAGCCCACTTGGTAGGCCAGCTGTGTACCAAAATGCCATGAAGTTGGCAGCCTAGCAGAGCCTGAAGAGAGTAACCTTGACTTGGCCTGTTGTGCAAACAAGTGAGCCGGGAGCCATGAAACGATGTGATAATCCGACCGTTGGCTTTGCACAGGCTCCAGGCCAAGGGGGTGGCGCTCTGACCTGGCAGAGGGTGCCAGGAGAAAAGAAAGCGTTCCTGGATTCCATTGATCAAGGGCAAGGATCCTATCTCACATAACTCGGCCCATTCACAGTTGACTACAAGGCTCGTCAGACGATGAACAATGCCACAAGAATGACAAAGCCTGCCTTTCATAGCAGGAATTGTGACATGTTTAGAAAACATTAATCTCTGCAAACCATGTGGGATGGGAAAAGACTTTGCTTGACCCAGGATCTGGCCGCAAAACATTTACCAAAGGTATTTTGCTTTAATGGGATAGATTTTTGTGGAATTTGGTAATTCTAGTCACAGGTTAAGCCACTCTTTATTCTTGTCCTTATCCAGAAGAACAGCAGCTGTTATGATGTGCCCTCCAGAACAGGAACCAACCACAGATCTAATCCCTGAGTTGGTGCCAGCTTCTACAGCAGTGGTTCTCAACCTTTTTAATGCCACGACCCCCAACCGGTCGTAAGTCGAGGACTACTCAACCGGTTGTAAATCGAGGACTACTCAACTGGTGCAGCATCGTTTGCAGAATGGGACTTTTGACGGGCTCAGCAGGGCAGAGACAGCCTGGACAATTCCTATTGGCTTTGGAAAGCCAATAGAATGAGACTCTATTCAAGAGAGTCTATTCTATTGGCTTTCAAAAGCCAATAGAATAAAAGGGAGGAGCACAGCTAAGGAGGAAAAAATGGCGGACTGCGTTGTTTGGCGACCCCCGTGAAATGGTTGTTCGACCCCAAATGGGGTCCCGACCCACAGGTTGGGAACTGCTGTTCTACAGGAAGTTTGTCCACCATCATCTGCTCCAGAAAAAGAGCCACCTCAGATGAGCATCTAGAAGAGGGAGGGACACCCCAGGATGCACAGCTCTCCTGCAGACCTAGATGGCCCCAGAGGACTTTGGCCCCAGCGCTGGCACTAAAAGGGACCGAAGAGGAAGACCGCTAAGCACATCGAGAGCAATCCAATGCATTACACTCCGTTTATTTGACTGAGAATCGAGATCAATTAATTTTCACTTCAATTGTGTCCTGCCTTGGCCCATCTCTGTGTCCGGAACGTTGCCTCTGCTCAATGTGAACAACAGCTCCAAAGCAAAGCTAGATTTGTTCCCCCAATTGAGGAGTAGGAACTGAGGCTTCTCTGGGGAGGTCAAAGAAGTCAAGCTGGCAGCCACAGTTGCAGCTACCATCCACAAAAGCCCTGAGTTGGGCAAAAAAAAAAAAAAGGCCTCCAGAACTGGCCTTTAATAAAAGGATGTGTTTGGAGCTCTACTGAGGTCCAGGCAGTTACCAGGAGTTAACACTGACTCAAAACCACACACACACAGATACACAGACACACAGCCCTTAAAGATGAGTGGTTTCTAGCTGCTGGATCCTCCTTCACGTCCCAGGCGATTTGCTAGCAAAGATTTAGCAGCAAAAAGCAAAAGAAGGCAATTTGTTCAATCTACAGCCGCTCAATAACCTTTAAAACAGTGTTTCTCAACCTTGACAATTTTAAGGCACGTGGACTTCAATTCCCAGAATTCCACAGCCAGCATTGCTGGCTGTGGAATTCTGGGAGTTGAAGTCCACGTGCCTTAAAATTGTCAAGGTTGAGAAACACTGCTTTAAAACAACAGCCTCCCCAAACACAGTCATTCACTGGAAAATCCCCGGCTTAGGTGATCTGACGATGCCACTGCCTCCCACCCACTGCAGGGCTGCACAGCTGAGGAAGGGCAAAGAAACAGTTGCAGGATTTGGGCACTGCCAGTTGAGAGAAAAGAAAGACCAGGGGTGACATGATAGAAGTACTACAGTATTTGAGGAGCTGCCATAAAGAAGAATTGGGGGGAGGGGGTTGTCAACCTATTTTCCAAAGCACCAGAAGACAAGAAACTAATCAAGGAGAGAAGCAACCTAGAATTAAGAAGGAGTTTCCTGGCAGTGAGAACAATGAATCAGCTTGCCTCCAGAAGTTGTGAATGTTCCAGCACTGGAGGGTTTTTAAGAAGAGATTGGACAACCATTTGTTTGAAATGGTATAGGGTTTCTGCCTTGAGCAGAGGGTTGGACTAGAAGACCTCCAAGGTCCCTTCCAACTCCTCTATTCTATTCTATTCTATTCTATTCTATTCTATTCTAGTCTAGTCTAGTCTAGTCTAGTCTAGTCTAGTCTAGTCTAGTCTATTCTTCTATTATATTCCACTTCATTCTATTCTATTCTATTATTCTATTATATTCCACTCCACTCCACTCCATTCCATTCCACTCCATTCCATTCTATTCTATTCCACTCCACTCCACTCCACTCCATTATTCTGTTATATTCCATTCCATTACCTTCTATTATTCTATTCTATTCTATTCCACTCCATTCCATTATTCTATTATATTCCATTCCATTACCTTCTATTATTCTATTCTATTCTATTCCACTCCACTCCATTATTCTATTATATTCCATTCCATTACCTTCTATTCTATTCTATTCCACTCCACTCCACTCCATTCCATTATTCTATTATATTCCATTCCATTACCTTCATTATTCTATTCTATTCTATTCCACTCCACTCCACTCCATTCCATTATTCTATTATATTCCATTCCATTACCTTCTATTATTCTATTCTATTCTATTCCACTCCACTCCACTCCATTCCATTATTCTATTATATTCCATTCCATTACCTTCTATTATTCTATTCTATTCTATTCCACTCCACTCCACTCCATTCCATTATTCTATTATATTCCATTCCATTACATTACATTATTCTATTCTATTCTATTCCACTCCACTCCACTCCATTCCATTATTCTATTATATTCCATTCCATTCCATTCCATTATTCTATTCTATTCTATTCCACTCCACTCCACTCCATTCCATTATTCTATTATATTCCATTCCATTACCTTCTATTATTCTTTTCTATTCTATTCCACTCCACTCCACTCCATTCCATTCCATTCTATTCCCATGAAAAAGTTGCTCTGTCCTTAAAAGACACAGCTGGCTCAGGTCTTAGACAGGAGTGTTTGCTTTTGGATATCAGCTGAATTTATGAATAATAAAAACAGACAGAAATATCAGATGCTGTGTCGCCAGAAAGACCCTCAACCCCCCCCCTCTCCCCCGCCATGGCTCCTAAGGAGAACTAATGATTACATTTGGAAGCTCTCCCTAAAAAACACTTGCACAGTCCAGTGGAGCCTTCAGCTTCACTTGCCCAGCCAATGCCCGAGGGGCAGCCCTCCTTTCCTTACCCACAGGCCCACAGCCAAAACAAAGACGAAGTACAAAACCAGGACAACAATATCAACGGCCTCCAGGGTCTGCTGGGGGAAGGCAGTCCAGCTGTTGGAGGGGGGAGACGTTGGGCTGGTACTGCTAGGCTCCATCGCTGCTGCTCGCCCTGGCTGCCAGCTGCCTCGTCTGCCCAGCGCGTGGATCTGCGGGACAAAAAGGAGAGCGAAGTCAGGTCCTTCCTTGGGGAGAGCCAGCTCTGCCCATTAGCCCGGCACTCTCGCTCTGGGTTTGCTCCAGCAGCAGTTCTGTTTATTCACGACGGCAGGTGAAAAAAAGTTATTGTGACAGATTCTAAATTAGACCGACTGGCTAACATGATGCAAAGGTCAATTTATTTGCTTTTGGCCAACTTTATTTGCTTTTCAATTCGGCAAGAGAAAGGGGGGGGAGAGAGAGAGAGAGAGAGAGAGAGAGAGAGAGGAAAAAAATAACAACACCGGGAGAATGGGCCATTTGTTGGCATGTTGAGACAGAATGCCTCAGTTCTCATGTTCATACTCAGTTGCACTATATCAAATGCAATCTGTAGATTGAGCTATGTGGCAGGTAGCCGAGGCTACCATATTTGCAGGAAGCCACAGAAACCTCTCTGCTCTATCTTGACCGACAACCCAAAAACAGTTAATCTTCGGAGTTAGTCAAGTCTTCGGAGTTGGCTTTTTAGATGCAATGGTCAGCTGGAACCTAGAACCCTCACGTTGGATGGGGGTCTAGAGTCCATCAGGTGCAACCGCTTCTCAGGGCAGGAATTTAAACACCCCCAACCACCAGCTGAATCCCTCCAATTCAAGGGACTTCATCCATTCACCCCTCTGGGCTATTGGTCCCTCTCTTGAACTGCTGTGTAACTAATAAGAAAGTAGGCAATACTGGATTAACAAACCCAAGTCTGTTTCTCAGGGATGACATCATACAAAGGAGTCCCAGGGCTTCAGTGCAGAGTCAGCCCCCAAACATTTGAAGCAATAACAAAAACTTCCTCCAAACATTTAACAAATGTCTTCCCTCGCTGGCTTACTTTAAATTAGGTGCAGGAAAACAGGGATCCTTTCTCTAAAGTAAATATTTTGCAAAGGTTTGGGGATCCAGTGAGAAGGTCTAGTTGTTGAGATACTTACTGTTCCTTCTTTGTGCCGGAGTCTGGTGAAACTGCAAGGAAGAGAGGTCCCACCACAAGCAGAGGTCTTATCTGCTGAGCCCAAGGCTGGGAACAGAGTCCCAGAAAATAAGTTTTTGAAGGCTGTTCCTGTTCCCGTCACCTTGTGTTGGGTTGGGTTGGGTTGTGTGGGAGTTTTCTGAGAGCAGACGAACAAGTTTCTCTCTGTGGCTTAAGGAGATACTTGAAGGTTCAGGCTGAGAGCCAACTCATCACCTTGCACATTGATACAATTTTCTTTATCTCTCTGTGGCCTGCCTGGAACTGGAAGAAGTGCCAACTCTGTTACTCTGGAAGATCCTGGAGGCTTTGCGCTGCAGGGCTGATGTGGAAATAATCAGGAAGGGGGGCAAGGAACACCAGAGCTTCAGGCACACTGCTGGCTGCTATGACAGGACAGAAAAATAGGTCCCTTTCACTTGGATCCCACTGAGGAAAATTACTGGCACAACCCTTCAGGATGGAGCTTTCCTGGGGCCAGAGACTGGGACCAGCACGGGGTGCCCCAGCTGTTGGGGGAAAAGACAGGCTTTGGGGCTGATCTAGCTGGATCCTTTGAGAGGTTGGAATGGAATAATGCAAGATCATTATTCTGTAAGATCATCTCGTATCCCCCAAAATTTATGCCACGTAACTTCAACAGTAATAGAAAGCATTCTTCCATTCGAAGCTACTTTTGAGAATGAAGTTCTACTATTTCACTGGTTTTCACCTCTATCGATTTTGAAATGCTAGGTCCTTGCCTGCAGCTATTTGGCCATGAAGAGGAAGGGAATGGGGCAGAGTGGAGGCACTCCTGCCTGGGATTCTGATACGAGGAAAAATGGATTTAACTCAGCCTTACAATTTGCAAAGATTAGCCCCGCTTGCCCACACCAACGGCAGCCAATTCCAGGGGAGGGGGGGGGTATTTTTCTGCAGTTGGATGGGAATGTCCAAATCCCAGGGCCCAGATGAAATACCTAGGCAAGTCGGAGGGCGAGTGGCAATGCCTGGCCCCACACCTGCCCTCTTGAAGAACATCTGGGCATCCTCCCTGTCCTTTGACTCTGGCAAAGAGGAAGTTGAGGACGGCCACCAAGTTTGATCAGCACTTTCTTCTCCCATCTGCTGCCCAGACTGAGTCGCAGAGGGACACGCTGCGCTAGGGGCAACCAGGCACTGAATCCCCTGGCCTGGATGGAGAGAGCCAGCAACCCCATGCGGCTTTGCCAGGGCTGCTGTTCTTGCCACTCCGTTTATGCTTTTCCCAGGCCTGGCACCGAGCCTCCACGGGCCTTTTGAGAGGCACCCCGAGTGTTCAAGTGCTCCCGCAGATCTGAGCCAGGAGCGGAGACTTACCATGCTCCTTGGGGCTCGCTCCCGCCTCGTGCTCCGGGCGACCAGCCTTCTGCCAGTCCGCAGGGTGGCTTCCAGATTCCAGCGCAGAGGATTCAATAAGGCTCTTTCACCAGTTCACAGGCGTGAAAAGGGGGAATTTATATGCAGGGCTCTTGGATTCATTGGTCCTGCCTTTGATGCTGCTCAGGAGTCAGGCTGAGCTGCTTCCTTATCAGCCTTTCAGGGGTCAAACTCCAAAGTATCTTATCCCCCCCCCTCCAAATAATCATGACCGGAGAGAAAGACAGAGACAGAGACCCAGAGGGAGTGAGTAAATGAAAAACAAAGACAGAGAAACACACACAGGGAGAGTGGAAGTGTTGCAGAAACTGCAAAGACAAAGGGAGGAACTTTCTCCCAACAGATGTCTGCGTGATCTCAAGGAGGAAGGGAACTCCTACGGTTTGAGAGGATCACTTGTCCAGATCTCTGCACTTAAAAGCAGCAGAGAGTAAACTTGATTTCTGTTTGCAAGTCACTCAACCTCGAACTTCATTATGTCATGCAAAAAAAAGGGGGGGAGGGGAAAGGAAGTTGTTACAGATCTCTATTCCATCATTGCTAGCAAACTAGCAAGGACGTAACAGCAGCTTGATCTCGGGTTGCTTAAATGTTGCTTATACAATGATTTGTATAAGAAGAAGTTTGGTAATTGTATCTGGGCATTACGTAAGCTGCTCCTGCACTGAATGGCAGCTGGTTCCACCTTTTTGTAGACATCAATCTAGTGCAAAGTCACGTTCACATGGCCCAGTCCTTGATTGCACTCAGATGGCTTGCACAACTCACCATGTTGGTGTCTAAAGAATGGTGTGTTGGCCTCTTGCCCAGCCATGCCCGGGCCTCAACTTTGAAGATTATTTTGCTCTAGACCCAGTTTTAAGTATGGAGGGGGTGTTATCAAGAATGACCCACCTTTTACATCTCCCTTCAGGAAGTTCCAGCATGGAACCTGGTCTCAAAGGGGGATCCCCATCCTGGGCACCCACAGAACATGGTCAGAAAAGCCAAGATAGCAAAATCAAAACCTGGACTGGTTTTTATGCGGATCGTGTATGTGGCATTCATAAAAACCATGGCTCTTTGACCACACCATTGCATCTTGACCTCATGAATTTTGACCATACTCATCCCAAAACGAGGAGAAAATGTGGCAAAAATACTTTCTGCACCAAAAATGGATACTCTGATTCCCACAATGGATGAATAGCTGCAAAGGTTGATGGCATTGGCAGAGACAGCAAAACTGACTGCTTTGATTAAAGAACAGAACACAATTAATCTCGTTTCGACTTGGAAACCGCTTCTGGACTTTGTGCTTGAGGTGGGGGGAAAAATGAAACTTTGATTTGAGGTTTTGTTCAATAGGTAGGCTTGTTGTTGTCAAAACGCCAGTACGTAGGATCATTTAAAGTAAAAAGTTGAAGTTTTATGTTACTACCTTCTTCTACTGCACCAAGAGCCGGAGGTCAACGCTTTTATTTTTCTTTTCTCTTTTATCCTACACTTTTTCCTCTTCCCCTCTTCCTCCCCTATTTTCCCATTATTTTCATTTTTCTTTGTATTTCTGTATTTTATATTTCGGTAAACTGATAAAATATTTGACCCAGAAAATGCCGCTCTCCCGCCATAGTCTTGTTTTCTGGATGCAGCTCTAGGGCACTTAGCTCAACAGCAAGGAACTAAATGGAGGCAGCTTCTAGGTAGCCACTGCTGCTGAGGTGGCGCAGCAGTTAGAGTGCAGTACTGCAGGCCACTTTAGCTGACTGTGTTCAGCAGGTCAGCGGTTCAAATCTCACCGGCTCAAGGTTGACTCAGCCTTCAATCCTTCCGGGGTAGGTAAAATGAGGACCCAGATTGTTGGGGGCAATGTAAATATATATATATATATATATATATATATATACATTGCTTACTGGTGTACACCGCTTAGAGAGTGCTTGCACTTAAAGCGGTATATAAGTCTCATAAATAAACGGCCCTTGAACATGTTGCAGAAGAAAGCGGCCCAGGGCAGCATTCCTTGGCAACGTGCAGGGCTTCCTGTCATTCTGTTTGCCTTGCTTATTTTAAGCATCAACTGGTAAGTGATGGAAAAAGACCAATAGGGAACCCTGCCATCCTTTCAATCATAAGATTTCGGCAAACATTGGCCGACCTTTCAGACATGCACTCACGGAGATAAACCCGGGCTTTGCCAGATGTTGAAAGTTTCAACATCTGCCTTTTGCACACTGCCAACTGGGTCACCTTCGCAGATAGGTGGATTGTAACAAACATGTGAGTTACAACACTACCCTGAGCCCTCGTACAGCCTGACCATGGGCCACCTGAACAATAAGCCATGGATGCTGGTTAAGGCAAGACAAATGCGTTCTCACTTCACGCTCAAGCTGTAAAGTGTGCTTTGCAAAGTGCAATGGCAGGGGATGTGTGAAAGGCAAACAAATCACATTATACTTTAGCAAGAGGGGCAAACACAGCCCACGTTTGTGCCACAACCTTCTTTATAGATAGGGGTGTCCAACCTTGGCAACTTGATGGCTGGCTGGGAAATTGTGGGAGTGGAAGTCCAGAGGTCTTAAAGTTGCCCAAGTTGGTACCCATGTTTTAGATCAAACTTTCCACAGACACAGACACACACAGCAAAAGAGAAGGCTCTTTGCCTGATCAAAAACTGTTTCACTGAGAAAAAGAATATTCCAGGAACATGGAGAGCTCTCTAGTTGGAGCTTCTCTGATGCTTATTTCAAACCAGCCTTTTCTGGGGTGTGGGGGGCTGTTTGTCAAGAATATTAAAAATCCATTTTTCCCCCGTTTCACAAGTGCCTCCATCTTAGAGGTAGTTGGGATTACTTCAGGTTCAAACCTAAATATCTGAGTCCCACCTTCAATTATCTGAGCATCTTCTAAATGCATTTTTAGCATTGTTTCATGATCTACAACGTACAGTAAATAATAATATTAAAGCTAAATAAATAATAAATAAGCCCTGATCTCCTAACACACACACCCCCATCGGCACATTTTTAAAAAGCTGATAAGTGGTTGGTTTTCCCACCAGTAGCTGTTACTGGGTGGCCTGGGAAAAGGTGGATGGGAATCCACCAGCCGGCAGTGCTGTATCTTGTCTGAGGACAGCAACTCTGTCTGCTGATGCTACAGAAGCACATCAAGACTGACTGCAGGGTAGTGCAATTTATGCCACAAGGATAGGAGAAAAGCACAACTATGGCTAGAAGCAAGAGCCCATAAACCATCTTCTTATTCTATAGATGGCTGGCTTGGATCAGGTGTAAAAAGACACGATTGCCAAAAGGGATGTCATTTTCATCTTACAGCTGTGGCTACCGAGAGAGTATCTCTTTATTACATGACAGAACCATAAAGATTTGTACAGAGACACGGTTCTCACATCTATACACAATTCTCGGGGGCAATCTCCAACCTTGGAAAAACATCACAAGAAAATAGTGCCTGGAAATGAACAGCTTTGCCCCTCCGCAGGGCCTAGCAAAGTTGCTAAGAAGAGCAGAAGGGGGATAATAATCACCATCACTGTCATAAAATAATTTTTAAAATTACAGTTCTTTGAGACTATGAGCCGAGTTCCCTACGGACCCCCCAGAACAAGGCGGGCCAACGGGAGAGAGGCATCAAAATAAACTGCAAAGGAAGAGCCCTTATATCTATCTACCTGTTCACGGAAGGAAGGGGCTACCTGAACAGCATGCTGCAAGAAATGGCTGGGTTGGGATTTTTCTTTGATCAAGAAGAGTGGTGGGTCAGAGGCCACTAAGGCCCAGCATTATTGAGGGTCTCAGTTTTGCCCATGCCAGGATGAAGTTTGCTGCTAAAATTACAAGGGGAGGCAAGGGGGTCTGGACATGGGGCTTCTGCCATGGTGGACAAGCAAGGAGATGCTGGACTTATATCTGAGGAGGCTTTTTCTTCATTTCCAGTTCCAAGCGTCTCCACTAAGGGGCTAAGGGAAAGATTAGGCTGGGCACCCCTGGGGGAACCAAATGGACTGGAGCAGGGGTAGGCAACCTTGGCTCTTTTGTGACTCGTGGACTTCAACTCCCAGAATTCCTGAGCCAGCTTGGCTGGCTCAGGAATTCTGGGAGTTGAAGTCCACGAGTCATAAAAGAGCCAAGGTTGTCTACCCCTGGACTGGAGCATCTCACTGGCTTGATGGTTTCCTAGCGCAACGAGCTTGCTCTCTGCTAGGGAAGCTTGCCACAATGCAGATCTGATGGGCTCGGGTAGGACTGGGGAGATGCTGGGTCAAGTCCACCCTTTATCCATGAAAACTCAGGGGCTTCTTGGAATCTGTCACTCTTCTACTCCACATCCATCTCAGGGTCACTGCCTGAGGATAAGAAGAATGGGGTTCCCCTTGCCTCAAACTCAAGGCATTCTGAGAGAGCCACCTAACGAATCAAGTAACCAGAACATAAATACAAGCTACTCTGCTCCCACATATCTGACCAAGAGACAGCAGAGCAGAAGCTGAGGTAGAACGGGCGCCAGAGCTTCTGCTGAGCAGGGTGAAGAGGAGACTTCTCTGCTTTTGCGGCCATTCAGCTCTAGAGAGAAGGCTTCAACCACCCTCCTGCCTGCGCGGATCACTTCTTTTAGGAATCTGTTTTCCCAAGAGAACGGGGAACTGGAACGAAAGACTACCGGAAAGGACGCCTGGAGACCCGGAGGCGGAAGAGGGAGCAAATCAGCTCCTTTTGGGGCAAAAGGACCTTGTCACACCACCTTTCCTTTGGGGCACCAGGCAGCCCCTGAGCCACCTGCAGACTTGGTAACACCTCCCTGAAATAAAGGACTTCTCGGAAAGGCCATAAAAAGTGGGGAAAGCCAGGGCAGTTGCTGCGTGCCTCCTCACCCCTCGGATTCTAGCACTCAGGTTTAGCAACCACGGAGTATCCCTGTGGAAAAAAAAGAAATGTCTCTGATGCGGAGAAGTCTGTAGAAATCTGCAGCGAGCCCCCCTCTTTTTCTGAAGGCAGTTTCCATAGAAATGGGCACCGACGTGTCCTCTGCAATGCCTCTTCCATGCCGAGAGACTTGGACCCGAAGCAGCCAAACTGTGGGCAAGAAAGCACCAGGCTGCAGTCTTCCTTGAGCTCTCCGGTCACCAGGCAAGTGGGGGGATCATCTTCGGGCTGTACAGGGGCTCACTGGCCTGCACATCGTTGAAGGCCCGCTATGGGGAGAAGAGTGTCATAGAATCATTAGGGCTGGAAGGGACCTTGGAGGTCTTCTAGCCCAGGGCTTTTCAACCTTCTCACCCATTGTACCACTTTTAGGATATGGCAACATCCCAGGACCACCCGTCGCCTAAGCAAGGTGTCAAAAACTTGATGACCAAAAAAAAAAAAGGGAAAAAGTGATGAAGTACAGGTAGTCCTCGACTTACAACAGTTCACTTAGTGACTGTTTGAAGTTACAATGGCACTGAAAAAAGTGCCCCCCAAGCCACAGCCGAGCAAGACATCTGCCTGCCCGCCCGGTGGTGCTCTTCCTCCTGTCCGAGGTTTCCATTGTTGTGAGCATTTCTGTTGAGGATTGGCAGCGGAGGTGGGGTGGGGGGCCCCCACAAAAAGCAGAAATGTCAAACGCCCAGAAATGTGAGAAGGGGCTTCAGAAAAGGCCGTCAGTCTGCGGGTTCTAGGACTGACTCGCTCAGAGCCTAGATCCCAATAACGCTCACTGCCGTGTTCCTTAAACTGCTCCCGTGCCATGTTTTCAGCAGCACGCTGCTTGAACTTCACCTCGCCAAAGCTCCGCTCCTGACCTCTCCCACTTTTTGAATTAAAGAGGAGGGGTGCTCTGAAGGGACAATTGTACAGAGCACCCACAGTTCAGTTCCTGAAGGTGTTTCTCTGTCCTGTCGCTAAGGGGGCATAATAAAAACCAGGACTTTCTTAGTGACGCTGGGAATCACCAAACGCCTCAGTTAGACCATACCATAAATACTACTCGCCTCCCAAACCAGGGAACATTTGTTGGGTTTTTTTTCACAGATTCCTCCTCATCTGCAAGAAAAATAAACTGCTTAGGTTGTAAGAATGGGGAAACAACTGAAGATGGATGTGTCTGTGCAAAAGTACACTCGAGATCGGTCAGATCGGAAACATCCTTTATTCATACAGAAGGTGAGAATTCTGCCCTTCCTTTAGAAAAGGCAGGATACAGACCTCTGCAAGCTCAGCAGCTCATGAAAAGAAGCGAACCTTTGGCGACAGTAAAGGACCAGTTCACGAAGCCATCCACGTTGGGCTCGCCCCTTTCTAGGTCATTTGATTACTTTAAAACTTTCTTACCATCTCCTTTCTGCTCATCCCATTTTATTCGGTGTAACGTGAGCCGCTTAAATTTCTCCTGTGCTTTGGGACCTTGGAAAGAAAGCAGAAAAGATACAACTGACAAACAGCATCGCGACAAGCGACGAAGCACAACTTCGCAAACACAATAACTGGGAGGAGGTCCCAACCATAAACCCAGAGCCACTCTCAAAGGAAAAGCCAGAGAGACGAGTTCCCTGTGCTGCTTGTCAAAGCCCACGTTTCTGAAGACTTGGCCTACCCTGACACAATGGCCTGAAACCGGTTTTCTTTACTCCAGGTTGCGCCAAGGGATGCTATTTCTGCCACATCCGTTCTGCAAATGGGCAGATGTGTTCTGCATTCTCCCCCCAACCCTCCGCCCCACAAAAAGCAGGCTGAACCGTCGGTGCCTCGGGACAAGTGCACCCTTCCTGAACCGCCACGTTTCCACAAACTTGCCGCCTACCCTGACACAATGGCCTGAAACCGGTTTTCTTTACTCCAGGTTGCGCCAAGGGATGATATTTCTGCCACATCCGTTCTGCAAATGGGCAGATGTGTTCTGCATTCTCCCCCCAACCCTCCGCCCCACAAAAAGCAGGCCGGAAGAACCGTCGGTGCCTCGGGACAAGTGCACCCTTCCTGAACCAACAACCCTGCATTTCCTCCCCCCCCCTCCTCACATTGCCTGAGCCTGCTGGAAGTTACAGCCCCTTGCAAAGGCAGAGTGTGATACAACCCGGCCCGCTCGCCCATCTCCTTACCTCCTTCCACCACCACCACGACGGGAAAGGTCGTTTTTCAAAGGCCCCGGTGGACGGCGGATTTGATCGGACGGAAAGTCCGACATGCAGAGAAGGTCTTCTGTGTAAGGAAATTGGGGGAACGATTAAGAACGAAGGGCCGGAAGTCGGCCATCTTGGAAAGGTGCTTTTCTCACAGGACCCGGGGAACCGCCGAGAACGAGGGACAGAAAGCCCCCAATTGCCGAGAAGGCCTCTGGGAGATTGCTGGATTGCTGGTGAAGAACCAGCCGGCGGACATGCGCCGAAGGCCGAGGGAAGCGGCCCGTCCCTTTGGCAGGAGCATAGAGTGGAGACGCTCTGCGCTTTGCGGCTTAGCTTCTCGGTGTCCCGATGCTGGGCAAAAGGCCTCAACGTTAATGCTACGGGACGGAAAGCTCTGCCCTCCTGTGGTCAAAAACGGGTATTGCCGCCACCAAAAGAAATAAACGCTTTTAATGGCATTTTAAAATTACGATATTCTCTGTCTTTATTAACGGTATTAACACCTTATTAACAGGGCCAGGGGAGGCCCGATTGCTGCAAGGCACAGGCGCGGAAGAAGAAATCTGCTTCAAAAGCCTTCAACCTAGTTAAGGAGGACTATGATGCCCTATTAATATTAATAAGGTTTTAATAAGAAAGAGTAGCCTTAAAATGCCATTGACAAGTTTTGTAATGGCTGCTGGGCCTGCTTCAACCACGGGATGGATGGCACTGTTTTTTGACCCTTAATAGCACGCAATAGCTTCAATAGATAAATAAAAAATAATAATCATCTTAAAATCATGTTAAAAGGGTTTATTTCCTTTTCTGGCTGCTATGCCTTCTTTAACCGTAGGACTCAATTCTTCTCAATAAATGACTTCCCCTCTCCCAGGAAACAGGCGATGGGAGCCTAAGCGGGCCTCCTGTGCACTTTCCTCGCTGTTTTTAAATATCCCTCGGCTACGACCAACCCAAGCAAAGCGGCTACCAACGGAATAAGAGACGTGGAGCTCCAGCTAGAGCTTAACCGAATGTCTCTCTGCAGCAACAAAAAGGATTAAATGGGGTGTGTGGGGACCAGCAAGGTATCTGAAAGACCTGAGCTTTCCTAAGAGTAGAATAGCATTTTTTAGAGCCAGACATTTTAATATCCTCTCCTTGGCACTCCTGCAGGGCAGGAATGATAAAACCCCAAGACTGACTGAAGGTGTACTGTGGCAGTGGGGAAGCTGAAGATCTCTCTCACACGCGTGTCCTGTTAGTCCAAAGCCAAACATTAAAACCAAAAGCCGTTCTTTGGATCTGAAAAATATTTCCTTTAATTGTGTGCATTGTACGGGGAGGAATTTGTGGGAATGAGGGGGGCGCGGGGGCGGGGCTTAGAGTCTTAATGTTTCTGCTCACTTCTTGCCCTTTATGTCAAACGCCCAGAAATGTGAGAAGGGGCTTCAGAAAAGGCCGTCAGTCTGCGGGTTCTAGGACTGACTCGCTCAGAGCCTAGATCCCAATAACGCTCACTGCCGTGTTTCTTAAAATGCTCCCGTGCCATGTTTTCAGCAGCACGCTGCTTGAACTTCACCTCGCCAAAGCTCCGCTCCTGACCTCTCCCACTTTTTGAATTAAAGAGGAGGGGTGCTCTGAAGGGACAATTGTACAGAGCACCCACAGTTCAGTTCCTGAAGGTGTTTCTCTGTCCTGTCGCTAAGGGGGCATAATAAAAACCAGGACTTTCTTAGTGACGCTGGGAATCACCAAACGCCTCAGTTAGACCATACCATAAATACTACTCGCCTCCCAAACCAGGGAACATTTGTTGGGTTTTTTTTCACAGATTCCTCCTCATCTGCAAGAAAAATAAACTGCTTAGGGTGTAAGAATGGGGAAACAACTGAAGATGGATGTGTCTGTTCAAAAGTACACTCGAGATCGGTCAGATCGGAAACATCCTTTATTCATACAGAAGGTGAGAATTCTGCCCTTCCTTTAGAAAAGGCAGGATACAGACCTCTGCAAGCTCAGTAGCTCATGAAAAGAAGCGAACCTTTGGCGACAGTAAAGGACCAGTTCACGAAGCCATCCACGTTGGGCTCGCCCCTTTCTAGGTCATTTGATTACTTTAAAACTTTCTTACCATCTCCTTTCTGCTCATCCCATTTTATTCGGTGTAACGTGAGCCGCTTAAATTTCTCCTGTGCTTTGGGACCTTGGAAAGAAAGCAGAAAAGATACAACTGACAAACAGCATCGCGACAAGCGACGAAGCACAGCTTCGCAAACACAATAACTGGGAGGAGGTCCCAACCATAAACCCAGAGCCACTCTCAAAGGAAAAGCCAGAGAGACGAGTTCCCTGTGCTGCTTGTCAAAGCCCACGTTTCTGAAGACTTGGCCTACCCTGACACAATGGCCTGAAACCGGTTTTCTTTACTCCAGGTTGCGCCAAGGGATGCTATTTCTGCCACATCCGTTCTGCAAATGGGCAGATGTGTTCTGCATTCTCCCTCCAACCCTCCGCCCCACAAAAAGCAGGCCGGAAGAACCGTCGGTGCCTCGGGACAAGTGCACCCTTCCTGAACCGCCAACCCTGCATTTCCTCCCCCCCCCCTCCTCACATTGCCTGAGCCTGCTGGAAGTTACAGCCCCTTGCAAAGGCAGAGTGTGATACAACCCGGCCCGCTCGCCCATCTCCTTACCTCCTTCCACCACCACCACGACGGGAAAGGTCGTTTTTTAAAGGCCCCGGTGGACGGCGGATTTGATCGGACGGAAAGTCCGACATGCAGAGAAGGTCTTCTGTGAAAGGAAATTGGGGGAACGATTAAGAGCGAAGGGCCGGAAGTCGGCCATCTTGGAAAGGTGCTTTTCTCACAGGACCCGGGGAACCGCCGAGAACGAGGGACAGAAAGCCCCCAATTGCCGAGAAGGCCTCTGGGAGATTGCTGGATGGCTGGTGAAGAACCAGCCGGCGGACATGCGCCGAAGGCCGAGGGAAGCGGCCCGTCCCTTTGGCAGGAGCATAGAGTGGAGACGCTCTGCGCTTTGCGGCTTAGCTTCTCGGTGTCCCGATGCTGGGCAAAAGGCCTCAACGTTAATGCTACGGGACGGAAAGCTCTGCCCTCCTGTGGTCAAAAACGGGTATTGCGGACACCAAAAGAAATAAACGCTTTTAATGGCATTTTAAAATTACGATATTCTCTGTCTTTATTAACGGTATTAACACCTTATTAACAGGGCCAGGGGAGGCCCGATTGCTGCAACGCACAGGCGCGGAAGAAGAAATCTGCTTCAAAAGCCTTCAACCTAGTTAAGGAGGACTATGATGCCCTATTAATATTAATAAGGTTTTAATAAGAAAGAGTAGCCTTAAAATGCCATTGACAAGTTTTGTAATGGCTGCTGGGCCTGCTTCAACCACGGGATGGATGGCACTGTTTTTTGACCCTTAATAGCACGCAATAGCTTCAATAGATAAATAAAAAATAATAATCATCTTAAAATCATGTTAAAAGGGTTTATTTCCTTTTCTGGCTGCTATGCCTTCTTTAACCGTAGGACTCAATTCTTCTCAATAAATGACTTCCCCTCTCCCAGGAAACAGGCGATGGGAGCCTAAGCGGGCCTCCTGTGCACTTTCCTCGCTGTTTTTAAATATCCCTCGGCTACGACCAACCCAAGCAAAGCGGCTACCGACGGAATAAGAGACGTGGAGCTCCAGCTAGAGCTTAACCGAATGTCTCTCTGCAGCAACAAAAAGGATTAAATGGGGTGTGTGGGGACCAGCAAGGTATCTGAAAGACCTGAGCTTTCCTAAGAGTAGAATGGCATTTTTTAGAGCCAGACATTTTAATATCCTCTCCTTGGCACTCCTGCAGGGCAGGAATGATAAAACCCCAAGACTGACTGAAGGTGTACTTGTGGCAGCGGGGAAGCTGAAGATCTCTCTCACACGCGTGTCCTGTTAGTCCAAAGCCAAACATTAAAACCAAAAGCCGTTCTTTGGATCTGAAAAATATTTCCTTTAATTGTGTGCATTGTACGGGGAGGAATTTGTGGGAATGAGGGGGGCGTGGGGGCGGGGCTTAGAGTCTTAATGTTTCTGCTCACTTCTTGCCCTTTATGTCAAACGCCCAGAAATGTGAGAAGGGGCTTCAGAAAAGGCCGTCAGTCAGGGCTTCCTGTCATTCTGTTTGCCTTGCTTATTTTAAGCATCAACTGGTAAGTGATGGAAAAAGACCAATAGGGAACCCTGCCATCCTTTCAATCATAAGATTTCGGCAAACATTGGCCGACCTTTCAGACATGCACTCACGGAGATAAACCCGGGCTTTGCCAGATGTTGAAAGTTTCAACATCTGCCTTTTGCACACTGCCAACTGGGTCACCTTCGTAGATAGGTGGATTGTAACAAACATGTGAGTTACAACACTACCCTGAGCCCTCGTACAGCCTGACCATGGGCCACCTGAACAATAGGCCATGGATGCTGGTTAAGGCAAGACAAATGCGTTCTCACTTCACGCTCAAGCTGTAAAGTGTGCTTTGCCAAGTGCAATGGCAAGGGATGTGTGAAAGGCAAACAAATCACATTATACTTTAGCAAGAGGGGCAAACACAGCCCATGTTTGTGCCACAACCTTCTTTATAGATAGGGGTGTCCAACCTTGGCAACTTGATGGCTGGCTGGGAAATTGTGGGAGTGGAAGTCCAGAGGTCTTAAAAGTTGCCCAAGTTGGTACCCATGTTTTAGATCAAACTTTCCATGTGAGGCGTAGGGCTGTCCACACAGCCTGCCTCCTAAGGCACAAAAGCACCCCACTAACCATTGGCAGAGGATATGACCTCACCTTGCTTCCTCAATGGCTGAAGTGACCCAGGTTACCTGGGGCTACCTGCATGAAAGTGGCATTTTCCCCGTGCCATCAAGTTCGCCTGGAGGACAGTCTCCGGTGACCTAGCTAGGATGGCCATCTCTCTGGTTTCTGTATACCTCGGTGCCCCCAGGGCCCTTTTGCTGCCTTGCAAGAGATCTGAGACGCCTGCCACCCACTGCCCATTTCTTCTGGTAAAGTTGGGAGACTAGAAGATGCTGTAGCTCTTACAGGTAAGGTGGCCAACTTTTTTACAGTGAAAAGGAGGACGCAAATAAATTGAAGAAAAAAATATCGTAAAAACTGGCTCGGCCCAGGAAGGTCAACCGCCTGCCATGCCACCGCCCGCAGCCGCCCCGCCAGCACTGCTGCCCTGCCATGTAGAGCGGGCCCCGCGGCTCCCAAAGCACCAGCCGCATCAGCTCCAGCCCTGGGGGGCAGCCCGCCGTCGACACACCCCGCCTGCAGCCGCCCCGCAAGCACCACCGCCCACCCTGCGCAGCTCCGTGTAGAGAGGGCCCCGTGGCTCCCACAGCACGGTATCTTCGGAACTAACTAGGAGATGGTGTAGTTGGGTAGCAGGCAGGGGTGCTAAGTTCCTGCCAATTCGCCTTCGCTGCAGACAACTTGCATGTGCAAAGTTTTCCGGTTGAGTGTTTTGGCACGCTCCGCAGCAATTCCTATTGGCTTTCAAAAGCCAATAGGGGGAGTAGCACAACTCATGCAAAAGTTGAAAAAAAAACCATCAAAAAAACGCCGTTCTGAGCATTCTATGAGGGGGGGGGAAAAGCCCTGCAGATTAGTCTTCAAATATCAAAAAGGAGGACATGAAGGAGGACACTTTTCGAGGGAGGACAGAACTTACAAAAGGAGGACTGTCCTCCCTAAAGGAGGACAGTTGGTCACCTTATTACAGGAGATCCATATTCTCACTAGTGGAGTTCTGCATTTGGCAGATTGCGGACTAATGTGTGGGACCACCGTGGAATAAGTCTTGCTACCAAGCTTAAAGTTTACCAGGCAGCAGTGCTAACTACCTTGATGTATGCTAGTGAGACCTGGACAGTGTACAGGAGGCACGTTAGACAACTGAACTACTTCCACATGACTTGCCTTCGTAGAATTCTGAGGATCCGGTGGCAGGATAAGATGCCAGACACAGATGTCCTCTCCAGAGCAGGCCTATCATCAGTTTACACTCTGTTGATGAAAGCCCAGATGCGCTGGGCAGGCCATGTTGTAAGGATACCAGATCATCGCATCCCTAAACAGCTCTTCTATGGTGAGCTGTCTCAAGGAAAGCGATCACACGGGGGAAAAAAGAAGCGTTACAAAGACACGTTGAAAGCCTCTCTCAAGTCCCTGGATATTAACACTGGGAACTTCTGGCGCATGATCGACTGACACCTTGGTGTACCAGGGTTGCCAGACATATGAACACAGAAGGTCAGTCTTGGCACAAGAGAAGCAAGCACTCCGCAAAACCAGAGCTGTAAATGCTGAAGTAGCAGTGTCTACATTTCTTTTGTTCAGTATGTGGCAGAACATTCCATGCTAACATCGGTCTTATTAGCCACCTACGGACACATCGTTGATGGCCCATAACCCACAAGATGTCAAGGTCTTCATCGAAATCCATGGACGAACAACAGTGGAGCAGAAGAAACGGAGAAAGAATGAGTGTCTTAAATGGTTCCAGAGGACTGGAATGTGTCAGCAGATCGTAAAGACACACACATGCACAAATATGCATACATACACAGACACACAGACACAGACACACACAGCAAAAGAGAAGGCTCTTTGCCTGATCAAAAACTGTTTCACTGACAAAAAAAATATTCCAGGAACATGGAGAGCTCTCTAGTTGGAGCTCCTCTGATGCTTATTTCAAACCAGCCTTTTCTGGGGTGGGGGGGGTTGTTTGTCAAGAATATTAAAAATCCATTTTTCCCCTATTTCACAAGTGCTTCCATCTAGAGGTAGTTGGGATTACTTCAGGTTCAAACCTAAATATCTGAGTCCCACCTTCAATTATCTGAGCATCTTCTAAATGCATTTTTAGCATTATTTCATGATCTCCAGCATACGGTAAATAATAATATTAAAGCTAAATAAATAATAAATAAGCCTTGATCTCCTAACATCCCCACCGGCACATTTTTAGAAAGCTGATAAGCGGTTGGTTTTCCCACCAGTAGCTGTTACTGGATGCCTTGGGAAAAGGTGGATGGGAATCCACCAGCTGGCAGCGCTGTATCTTGTCTGAGGACAGCAACTCTGTCTGCTGATGCTACAGAAGCACATCAAGACTGACTGCAGGGTAGTGCAATTTATGCCACAAGGACAGGAGAAAAGCACAACTGTGGCTAGAAGCAAGAGCCGATAAACCATCCTCTTATTCTATAGATGGCTGGCTTGGATCAGGTGTAAAAGGACACGATTGCCAAAAGGGATGTCATTTTCATCTTACAGCTGTGGCTACCGAGAGAGTATCTCTTTATTACATGACAGAACCATAAAGATTTGTACAGAGACATGGTTCTCACATCTATACACAATTCTCGGGGGCAATCTCCACCCTTGGAAAAACATCACAAGAAAATAGTGCCCGGAAATGAACAGCTTTGCCCCCCCGCAGGGCCTAGCAAAGTTGCTAAGAAGAGCAGAAGGGGGATAATAATCACCATCACTGTCATAAAATAATTTTTAAAATTACAGCTCTTTGAGAATATGAGCCGAGCTCCCTACGGATCCCCCAGAACAAGGTGGGCCAACGGGAGAGAGGCATCAAAATAAACTGCAAAGGAAGAGCCCTTATATCTATCTACCTGTTCACGGAAGGAAGGGGCTACCTGAACAGCACGCTGCAAGAAATGGCTGGGTTGGGATTTTTCTTTGATCAAGAAGAGTGGTGGGTCAGAGGCCACTAAGGCCCAGCATTATTGAGGGTCTCAGTTTTGCCCATGCCAGGATGAAGTTGCTGCTACCGATCACAAGGGAGGCAAGGGGGGCTGGACATGGGGCTTCTGCCATGGTGGACAGGCAAGGAGATGCTGGACTTATATCTGAGGAGGCTTTTTCTTCATTTCCAGTTCCAAGCGTCTCCACTAAGGGGCTAAGGGAAAGATTAGGCTGGGCACCCCTGGGGGAACCAAATGGACTGGAGCAGGGGTAGGCAACCTTGGCTCTTTTGTGACTCGTGGACTTCAACTCCCAGAATTCCTGAGCCAGCTTGGCTGGCTCAGGAATTCTGGGAGTTGAAGTCCACGAGTCATAAAAGAGCCAAGGTTGTCTACCCCTGGACTGGAGCATCTCACTGGCTTGATGGTTTCCTAGCGCAACGAGCTTGCTCTCTGCTAGGGAAGCTTGCCACAATGCAGATCTGATGGGCTCGGGTAGGACTGGGGAGATGCTGGGTCAAGTCCACCCTTTATCCATGAAAACTCAGGGGCTTCTTGGAATCTGTCACTCTTCTACTCCACATCCATCTCAGGGTCACTGCCTGAGGATAAGAAGAATGGGGTTCCCCTTGCCTCAAACTCAAGGCATTCTGAGAGAGCCACCTAACGAATCAAGTAACCAGAACATAAATACAAGCTACTCTGCTCCCACATATCTGACCAAGAGACAGCAGAGCAGAAGCTGAGGTAGAACGGGCGCCAGAGCTTCTGCTGAGCAGGGTGAAGAGGAGACTTCTCTGCTTTTGCGGCCATTCAGCTCTAGAGAGAAGGCTTCAACCACCCTCCTGCCTGCGCGGATCACTTCTTTTAGGAATCTGTTTTCCCAAGAGAACGGGGAACTGGAACGAAAGACTACCGGAAAGGACGCCTGGAGACCCGGAGGCGGAAGAGGGAGCAAATCAGCTCCTTTTGGGGCAAAAGGACCTTGTCACACCACCTTTCCTTTGGGGCACCAGGCAGCCCCTGAGCCACCTGCAGACTTGGTAACACCTCCCTGAAATAAAGGACTTCTCGGAAAGGCCATAAAAAGTGGGGAAAGCCAGGGCAGTTGCTGCGTGCCTCCTCACCCCTCGGATTCTAGCACTCAGGTTTAGCAACCACGGAGTATCCCTGTGGAAAAAAAAGAAATGTCTCTGATGCGGAGAAGTCTGTAGAAATCTGCAGCGAGCCCCCCTCTCTTTTTCTGAAGGCAGTTTCCATAGAAATGGGCACCGACGTGTCCTCTGCAACGCCTCTTCCATGCCGAGAGACTTGGACCCAAAGCAGCCAAACTGGGGGCAAGAAAGCACCACGCCGCAGTCTTCCTTGAGCTCTCCGGTCACCAGGCAAGTGGGGGGATCATCTTCGGGCTGTACAGGGGCTCACTGGCCTGCACATCGTTGAAGGCCCGCTATGGGGAGAAGAGTGTCATAGAATCATTAGGGCTGGAAGGGACCTTTGGAGGTCTTCTAGCCCAGGGCTTTTCAACCTTTTCACCCATTGTACCACTTTTAGGATATGGCAACATCCCAGGACCACCCGTCGCCTAAGCAAGGTGTCAAAAACTTGATGACCAAAAAAAAAAGGGAAAAAGTGATGAAGTACAGGTAGTCCTCGACTTACAACACTTCTCTTAGTGACTGTTCGAAGTTACAATGGCACTGAAAAAAGGGCCCCCCAAGCCACAGCCGAGCAAGACATCTGCCTGCCCGCCTGGTGGTGCTCTTCCTCCTGTCCGAGGTTTCCATTGTTGTGAGCATTTCTGTTGAGGATTGGCAGTGGGGGTGGGGTGGGGGGGTGTTTGGTTTTTATCCCCCCCTCCGTCTGCTGGGTGGTTGCAGCAGGTTTTGGTCACTTCACATGACCCTGGGACACTGTGACCGTCATAAATATGAATCAGTTGCCAAGCATCTGAATGTAAATCACAAGACCCTGGAGAGGCTGCAACATTCCAGCTGATCGGCGCTTCTTCTGGGCTCAGCAGAAGCGCCAGAATCAGTGCTGCTTTCCAGCTGATTGATGCTTCTTCAGGGCTCAGCAGAAGCGCCAGGATTTGTGCCGAGCTCCAGCTGGAGCCTGGCGCTGATCCTGGCACTTCCACTGAGCCCTGACAGCTCCGAAGAAGCGCCGATCAGCTGGAAAGCGGCACTGATCCTGGCACTTCCGTTGAGCCCTGACAGCCCTGCAGCTCCAGCCGTCTCTCGCTCAGGCTTGTGCGGTGCTGCCCCCGGTTCAGCTCATTCCCCTCCCCCGCTACCCCTTTTCTAGGATGGCCGTGTACCACCTGCCAGGTGCCAATGTACCACAGGTGGTACCCGTACCACTGGTTGAAAAGCCCTGCTCTAGCCCATCCCCTGCCCAAGATAGACAGCCATCAAGCACAAGGGCATTCTAGGCCATTAATTTAAAATCTCAACATCACATTTCCATGTCTTAAGGATGGGGAGGCTGAGAAGGAGGCAACTCAACACACCCCAGTTCACTGCACAGCAGGTGTGTACAGAGAAAACAGAGGCAATTTTTATGAACAGCTTGAGTCACAGACAGCCCTCTGCTTTTAGGTTCTCCAGCCTGATGCTTGTGGAGGTGGTTGTGCCAGGTTCTTGCTGCCTTCTGCCACCTGCCACAGTTTGCACAAAATAGTGTGGAAGCTGCAGTTACGAATGTGACAGTTTATAGGACATGAGGAGAGAGAGCTGAAGTGCAAGCAGACCAGAACAGCTTCACACCAGTTCAAATTTCTTTGCTCGCTTGACTGGGTCAACCAGCCCACTGTTCGTTTTTCATACAATATGCTTCCCTCCACACACAAGGACACTGCAAATATTTGGGGACTTGTGATTTTATGATCAGAGAAGTTGAATGTGTGGCTGGCTTAGAGATTTGATGCTCTCATCCTGTCTGGTCTGGGCGATTAGGCATCTTCATTGGGGGGCAGAACCATTTCCCCCCCAATCCTTTAGTACAGGGGTCTCCAAACTTAGCAACTTTGAGTTTTGTGGACTTAAAGACTGGCTTGGTTGAGCAATTCTGGAAGTTGAAATCTTCAACTTGCCGAGTTTAGAGACCCTTGCTCTAGTCCCCTATCCTCCAGGAGCAACGTCTATGGAGACTCTCTGTCATCCAGGTCATGGTTGTCCTAAAGGAGGCAACTGGACTTTCTTGTTTTCTTTGAAGACGTTTCACTTCTCATCCAAGAAGCTTCTTCAGCTCTGACTGGACAATGGGGAGTGGAAGGATTTATACTGCGAGAGTAGGAATGGATTTCCAGAAAACATTGCAGACTACAGGAACCATTTGAGCTTCAGTTTGAGATGCAGACTACCCAGACTCATCCCCAACAGCCTGCGCCGGTCTTCAACGGTGAAGGGACCCAGGGCAGAAAACATCCTGCAGCCAAGAAGGCTCCACACCCATTTGCACCGCTCAGGTGACCCTGAGGACACAGGTAAACCTCCAGGTGGCCTCAACGACTGTCTTAAAAGGATGCAAATGACCAGCTGTCTGCAAGGAGTATAAATATCCCGCCATTCCCCCCCAACCAGCCAGAGCTGAAGAAGCTTCTTGGATGAGAAGCGAAACGACTTCAAAGAAAAACAAGAAAGTCCTGAAAAAGCACCTTTGGGAGTCCAGGAGCAATGCAAACAACAAAACAAAATCCACACGGTCGACCAGTGCTACAAAGCCCCAACCACGATGTAACCAAAGAAGAATAAATGCCCAATATTCACCTCAAATTTGCTCATGAACTCGGCAAAAATACCAAAGAAATCCTCAGAGGTTGTGACTTTGGAGTCTTCCCCAAAGAAGGACAAGACCTTCCTGAACTCTTCCATGGCTTTATGCTGGAGATCATCCAGGGATTGGACAGTGGGATCTGCGCTCTCCAGGAAGGCCTGCAGCAGAGGGCTAAGGATGGACAAACAACGCCTGCTTGCTTTTTCCACCAAGAAAAAAACGACTCTAAAAATGCACGGCGGCCCACACCTTCTTACATTCTCAACTATCCAGGCAGAAAAAGAGAGGCGGTTTGATACAGTGATTATAAGGCCCCTGGCTAGAAACTGGGAGACTTTGAGCTCCAGTCCACCTGGGGCATAAAGCCAGCCAGTCACTCTTTCACAGCCCCAAAAAGGAGGCAATGGCAAAGCACTTCCGTAAAACGCCTTGCCAAGAAAACTGTAGGGATTAATCCGGGCAACTCAAAACTGACTTGAAGACATACACACAAAGTTAAACAAAGCACCCAGCTCCAAAGCTGTGCTTCTTTAGAGAGACCTGTCTGATACTACACAAATGTACATGGGGACTCATTTAGCTCCAATCCACAGCTTCGAGCCACGGGTCACTCCGTTGTCTGATGTGGGGGCAGCTCTTGGGGTGAGAGAGGGACAAGCAAATGCACCAGTCTCTCCCGGGGGGAGATAAGTAGGAAAGAGCAGAGGCTCTAACCCAGGGGGAGGCAACCTTGGCTCTTTTATGACTCCTGGACTTCAACTCCCAGAATTCCTGAGCCAGCCACGCTGAGGGGAAAGGGAGAGGTTTCCAAGCTGAGCCATGCTGGCTCAGGAATTCTAGGAGTTGAAGTCCACGAGTCATAAAAGAGCCAAGGTGGCCTACCTCTGGCCTAGGCCTAGGTGGCTTTATGACTCGTGGACTTCAACTCCCGGAATTCCTGAGCCAGCATGGGGAATTATGGCCCCCATCATGACTGGTGGACTTCAACTCCCAGAATTCCTGAGCCAGCATGGCTCAGCTTGGAAACCTCTCCCTTTCCCCTCAGCATGGCTGGCTCATGAATTCTGGGAGTTGAAGTCCACGAGTCTTACAGTCGCCAAGATTGGAGACCTCTGTCCCAAAGAATTTAGATATTGGTCCAAGATTGTGATTTGGATGGTTTTGGCCTAGTGCAGGGGTAGGCAACCTTGGCTCTTTTATGACTCGTGGACTTCAACTCCCAGAATTCCTGAGCCAGCCATGCTGAGGGGAAAGGGAGAGTTTTCCAAGCTGAGCCATGCTGGCTCAGGAATTCTGGGAGTTGAAGTCCACGAGTCATAAAAGAGCCAAGGTTGCCCACCCCTGGCTTAGAGCATTATGCAGAAAATCAAGAACTATTTAGGCAGAGTATGAAAAGACAATCATGTAAAGCGTAGACCTAGCCCAGGAGTAGGCAACCTTGGCTTTTTTATGACCCGTGGACTTCAACTCCCAGAATCCTTCAGCCAGCATGGCTCAGCTCGGAAACCTCTCCCTTTCCCCTCAGCATGGCTGGCTCAGGAATTCTAGGAGTTGAAGTCCACGAGTCATAAAAGAGCCAAGGCTGCCCACCCCTGGTCTAGCTGCTTTTTCTTTTTCAGGGTTGGGGGGCTTCATTTATGGAATCCATGCTAGAAGGCCGCCCTTTTCAAGGAAAAGATACATCCATCACTGGCACAAATCTGTCCTCGGGTGATGAAGGCACCATATTCTGGCAGGCGACTGCGATCTCGTGGACAGTGCGGTGAAGGTCACTGAGGTCAGCTGTTAATGTTCTCTGATTCACTGAGGGAAGAGAAACGGGAGAAGCACAGAATTTCAACAGCTTCCTGAAGCAAAGAAAGGGCTCCCTGCACTGACTCACCCATCTTGCATTATGCAAAAAGGGACAAACCCAAAGGCAGTGGTGGCGAACCTACGGCACGTGTGCCAGAGGCGGCACTCAGAGCCCTCTCTGTGGGCACGTGCGCCGTCGCCCCAGTCCTAGGCCTTCAGCTGGGTTTTATAAATCTTTTTCGCTTTAGGCCTCCACTGCCCTGTGCAAAAAAAAAAAAAAAAGGTTCAATCAATTACAACTTCTTACTGGAAAAAAAAAAAGATCTCGCAAAGTTGGAATTGATTGATTGAACTTTTTAGTCCCACCCAGTCTGCCATTACCACCGCAGCCACGCCCACCCAATGGGCCACGCCCACCCAATAGGCCACACCCATCCAATGGGCCACGCCCATCCAATGGGCCACACCCACCCAATGGGCCACACCCACCCAGCACCCAACGATGCATAAGGGGGTTTTGGGTTGCAGTTTGGGCACTCGGTCTCTAAAAGGTTCGCCATCACTGCCCAGCTTCCTTTCCTAGCCCAGGCAGTCCTCGACTTACAACAGTTCACTTAGCAACCGTTCAGTGTTACGACAGCACTGAAAAAAGTGACTTAGGGCTATGTTTCCCACCTACGACTGTGGCAGCCTCCCCATGGTCACGTGATCAAAATTCAGACGGTTGGCAACTGATTCACATTTATGACGGTCGCAGTGTCCCGGATTATGTAATCTCCTTTAGGGACTTTCGGTCAAGCAAAGTCAATGGGTTACTAGCTGAACAACTGCAGTGATTCGTAAAACGGAGCAAAGCTCACTTAACAACTGTCTTGCTTAGCTCAATTGAGGGCTATCTGTATCCACGTTGAGGGCTATCTGTATCCACTTTGCCCTTGGCAGAGACTCCTAGATTCTCTCTGCCCATCAGGGGCTGATGGTGAGTGCCCATCCCTGGGTAGGGGCAGGCAGAGTCCCATACTGGAGAGGACAGCAAATGATCTGCTCAATTAAGGGTTGTGGGAACAAGTGTAAATGGGCAGACTGGGAGGCCCACTGATTCTTTCCATCCCCGTTTCCCTAAAAACCAAGTAATGTCAGAAAATAAGCCCCATCCTTTGTGATTTACCTTTGGCAGCATGTGGCACCGTGGGCAAATCCGTGGCAAAGCCCAGGAGCTCTGGGAAATGTTGGCTAAGCGATTTGGCAAGAATATGCAGAAAGGTGGATTTCCCATCCACTGTTTTCGTTGTGTTCAGCTAGAACAAGGCCGAAAGAGAAGAGGAACATTTATCAGTGACAGAGTAAATATAGTCCCTGAAGTGCTCATGGCTGGCCAGCCCCAAAATGTGTTCCGTTATGGTAGCCTGGAGAACTTTTTTGCTACCATAACGGAACACATTTTGGGGCTGGCCTGCCACGAGCACTTCAATATGATTGTTCACAATTGCTGGGGTCACACAACAAAACTGAACCAGCCACATTATTTTCATCGCCCACCTAAATTAGTTGTTACCCTGGTCAACTTTCTCCATCAGGCTAACTGAGAAGGCTAACAGGGATCCAAACCCCGATGACCCCCTCCTCCTGCCATGATGGCTACTATGGGGAGCAGCACTTTTGGTGCTTTCCAAGGCAGCCGGACCCAATGTTCAAACAGGGACAGACACATCTCCAAGATGACCCCTTGAGGGCAAATCTCCCTATAGGCAGTTTGCCAGACATTGGCCCAAGAAGAAAGATCTTTTCGATGCAGAGACCTGGAAAATTAAAGTTTTCCTCACTCACTGACAGATTCCTTTTCCTTGAATAAAAAAAAATAATCAAGGTTTTCTTCAAGCTGCTAAGAACATGCATTCAGTTTCCACACACCATTTTGCAAATCCAAAGAGGAACATTGTCTATAACAGTGGTGCCGAACCTATGGCACGGGTGCCAGAGGCGGCACTCAGAGCCCTCTCTGTGGGCACGCGCACCGTCGCCCCAGTCCTAGGCCTTCAGCTGGGTTTTATAAAACCTTTTCGCTTTAGGCCTCCGCCGCTGTGTGCAAAAAAAAAAGGTTCAATCAGTCAATTTCAACTTCTCGCGGGAAAAAAAAGATCTTGCAAAGTTGGAATTGATTGATTGAACTTTTTAGTCCCACCCAGTCTGCCGTTACCATTGCAGCCACGCCCACCCAATGGGCCACGCCCATCCAATGGGCCACACCCACCCGGCACTCGACGATGCATGTGGGTTTTGGGTTGCAGTTTGGGCACTCAGTCTCTAAAAGGTTCGCCATCACTGGTCTATAATGTAAATCACCAGGCAGTAATCCAGCAATTTGGAAATGATTTGGAAAACGTGCTTTGGACCTGCTGAGAACCCAACGCCTGCCTAGATCATTCCTTAAAGCCGCCTCGATTTTCTTTAGGCTGAAGGAGGCTAAAACAGGATGCAGAGCTTCAAGAGCTGCATTCACATGTGTAGTATTTGAAGCTACGAGATTAACTCAGAAAGTCAAGCAGCAGCCGTCACTCCTAATCAAAGGTAGCATCTTGGTGTTTTCAACAGGCGCCCCTCTGCTGGAGTCCCCCTTGAATCCTACAGGATGGTTGAACTTGTGGTAGTTTCCCAGATTGGTTAATTCTTGCTAACCAATCTGGGAAACTACCACAAATTCAATCATCCTGTAGGATAGCATTTTTTTTTTATTGAAATTTTTATAAACATTTTACAATAAAATCCCCACCTCTCTCCCTCCCCCCTCCCCTTGACCCTCCCCCCCTTCCCAGAGCTGAATACAGAGCTAAAAACAACAAAAGAAAAACATAAAAAATTAAATAAACATCAAACAATTATACATAAATCGTAAAAAGTTTTTAAACCCCTTTAACTCCATTACAATAAAATCAACAAATCTAAACATAAAAAATTTATACAATAAGTTATTCAAAAGCTAAATAATACTTTCTAATCTCATATTTGTTCTGAACAAAATTTACCCATCTTTTCCATACAGAGTTGTATCTCTCTTGTGAATGGTCTTTCAGATAAGCCGATATTTTTGCCATTTCTGATAAATAAGAAACTTTAAAAAACCATTCCTCCAAGATAGGCAAGGAGTCTTTTCTCCAATATTGCCCAATCAATAACCTTGCTGCCGTAATAAAATTCAACATTAAAATAATCTCTTTGCTATCACAATCTTCAATAATACCTAACAAAAATAATTGTGGTGTAAATTTTATCTTTCTATTAAAAATTTTTTGCATATTCCACCAAATCTTGATCCAAAAAGCCTTTATATTTCTACAAGACCACCAAATATGATAATAAGTTGCATCCATACAGCCACATCTCCAACATTTGGGCTGTAAATTAGAATACATACGAGACATCTTTTGTGGATCAAGGTGCCACCTATAAAACATTTTATAAAAATTTTCTCGTAAATTTTGAGCTTGAGTAAATTTAACATTCCTCACCCAAATTGTCTCCCATGTATCTAATAAAATCGGCTCTTCAAAATTTTGAGCCCACTTAACCATACAATCCTTAACTAATTCTGTTTCTGAGTCCAATTCCACCAAAGCATTATAAACTCTTTTTATGTGGGCTCGATTTTGATCTCTGATTTGTTGCATTTTAAGCTCTATAACTATTAATGACATGGACCAGTAAGTAGCACCCTGGATTTTGCACAGACATCTGGGTCTGGTCCAGGCATCAGAGGAATATAAATATTAATAAAAGCAGAGGGCTTGCGAGAAATTTAACCTGTTCGGTTCAAATTCATTTTGCATCCTTATGCAAAGTCCTTGCTCTCTGGAGAAAGCCCGAAAAGTGGAAGGAAAGAGAAGAGGACAATCAGCAGCAGAGGAGATGGTCTGAATTACAACAGTGATGGACGCGCCACTGAGAGACTTGAAGGATCAGGTTATGGAGGAGATCATCTGGAGAAGACCTATCTGTGTGGTTGCTAAAGGGCTTGATGACACTTAGATCCAAGTTCCCTCTTTAACCAAGCATCCATCTAGCCAAGTTTGCAGGCCACCTACCTCTGTGAGGAAGTTGATTTTAAAGCTGGTTGTTTTGTTGGTTTGGGGTTGCCCGTGGTTTAGGTAGTTGCCCATGGCCAGCACAAACTGCAAAGAGAGTTTCTGGTGAATCACAGGTCAGAGAAAACCACCCCATTCATTATCTCTCTTCCCATGTCTGCCTTATCTGTTGGTGCTGAATGAACGTGTTTCAGTCCTGGTTCACACAACAGGCAGAGATATGGCAGGTAGAGACTTGCCGTACACATTGCACGCACAGGACTTCTGCCCGTCCTAGGGCCCTGCCTACTCAAAGCCCAGCCAGAAGAGGCAATGTCTAGGCTGAGTTTTACACACTAGAAATGAGGCAGCTGGGATGATTCCATGTCCCAGGAAAGCCAGAACTGTAAAGGGACTAGCCTACCCTCTGCCTCTTGCTCACTCCAGACCATGCCGGGCCTTTCCTGTTTGCCTGGCGGCACTGCACGTGTGCAAAGGAAGAAGGAAATACTGTGAATTTTCACAAAATCAGTCAATCATGACCTACGTAATTAAACTGTCAGAGTTTGCACGACACACCAAGCCATAAACACACCATACAAGCTATGTTTGCATAACATGCAGGCTGAAATACAGGTTGGATTATATGAGGCTGAACACATCCACACATCCCCGGAGCGTTTGTTTGAGGACAAGATTGCACAGCGTTACCCTCCCTCACCTACCACTGTAGAAGGAGGCAGGGATAGTGGAGACTATTAATAGACAGAAGAGATAATACCGGTAGCCTAGTCCTCAATTTAAAACCGTTCATTTAGCAACTGTTCGAAATTACGACAGTGCAGAAAAAAAGTGTCTTAAGACTGGCCCTTACACTTAACGACTGTCACAACATCCCTGCAGTCACGCAGTCACAATTTGGGCGTTTGGCAATTGGCAAGCAGTTCAACAGTTGCAACATCTCAACATCTTGTGATCGCCATGTGCAAACTTCCCAGCCAGCTTCCGACAAGCCCAGGCAATGGGGAAGCTGGATTCACTTAACACAGGGGTCTCCACCCTTGGTAACTTTAAGATTTGTGGACTTCAACTCCCAGAATTCCTCAGCCAGCTTGGCTGGCTGAGGAATTCTGGGAGTTGAAGTCTACAAGTCTTAAAGTTGCCACGGTTGGGGGACCTCTGACTTAACAACCATGGCAAAAAAGATTGGAAAGTTGGGCGCAACTCACACAGACTGCCTCCTTAAGGGAAAGTTGGCACAGCTTCCCAGTATTTCTGGTCCCTGCAATGCCACTCTTCCATCTTCACCGGGGGTGCACTGAGTGACACTTAGGGAAGCAAACTGTTTTTTCCAGGACGGAGAGAGGGGCCTCACACCTTCCCCCCCCAACACACACACACACACACACACACACACACACACACACACACACGGTCCTTGGCCACTGGGAGGGAAGCAGAGAGCATGGTCCTTGGTGACCAGTTCTCTGAGTCACCCTCTTGGATGGAGGCTGGCAGCGGGAGAGGCCCCATCTTGGCACGGCCCCGGAGTCGACGGTTTCTCTCCTCTCCCCTCTCCCTCCACTTCTGGTGTGGGCAGAGTCCTCATTTCCTTTGTTCCCAAGGCAGAAGAGGGTCAGCGGTGCAAGCAGACCTTCTTAGTTTTGCCAGGGCAGCATATTGTGGTGCTGTGATGCGGAACAGCCCTCCAGGTGTTGTGTGAACCCAGCCAGTCGCTCAAGTGAAGCGCCCTCAGCTCTCCAGATCAGAAGAGATTGGAAGGCCTGGTAGATCATTCATAGAGGAGCTTCAGGGGAGGGGGGAGTTGAGGGGGCCGGCCCCAATGCTCCTCTGCATCCAGAGGGCCCCAGGGTAGGTTCCCCCCCCCTCACTTCCATAGCAAGCCTCCAAAGAACGTCATCACTCTCTGGGAATCCTCAGAAGCTGGCCCAGCGAGGAGGCGCCAAAGAAATACCAGATCAGGAACCCCTGCGCCATTAGAGAGCCTTCCATGCCAGGCATGGGAACTGGGTAAGGGGACCTCCATATCTGCTGAACTGACGGGGACAGAATGCTCCAGGGCTGGCCAGGCAGCACGTCTCCCTCCTAACCTTGAGTTAATTGATAGCCAGCCAAGGAGCAAGCTGTTAACCAGGTGTCCTTTATGGCTTTTTGAGTGGGTTCAAGGTGCCGTTGGGAATTCTTTTGTGTGCCCTTGCGTGTTTTGCTCCTGGGGACCAACTCCTGTCGCACGTCAATGCATGTTCTGAAGCTCCAGGGTGGCTTTTCTTCAAAGGAAGACAACTTTGGGGGGGGGGAGGTTGCAGTCAACCAGAATAGAGCTGGAAGGGACCTTGGAAGTCTTCTAGTCCTATTCCATGTTTCCAACTTACTTTGTGCATTCTAACCATGGGCTGAAATAGAACCGTTGTCGTCGGTCCGTGCTATGTAAGAGCATCTAGGAATAACAGAATAACAGAGCTGGAAGGGAACCTTGGAGGTCTTCTAGTCCAACCCTCTGCTCCAGCAGGAAACCCTATACCATTTCAGACAGGTGGCTGTCCAATCTCTTCTTAAAAACTTGCAGTGTTGGAGCATTCACCACTTCTGGAGGCAGGTTGTTCCACTGGTTAATTGTTCTAACTGTCAGGAAGTTTCTCCTTAGTTTCAGGTTGCTTCTCTCCTTGATTAGTTTCCATCCGTTGCTTCTTATCCTGCCTTCAGGCGCTTTGGAGAATAGCTTGACTCCCTCTTCTTTGGGGCAGCCCCTGAGATATTGGAACACTGCTGTCGTGTCCCCCCTCGTCCTTCTCTTCATTAGACTAGACATACCCAATTCCAGCAGCCTTTCCTTATATGCTTTAGCCTTCAGTCCCCTAATCATCTTTGTTGTTCTTCTCTGTACTCTTTCTAAAGTCTCAACATCTTTTTTACATTGTGGTGACCAAAACTGGATGCAATATTCCAAGTGTGGCCTTACGAAGGCCTTGTAAAGTGGTATTAATACTTCATGTGAGCTTGATTCTATCCGTCTGTTAATGCAGCCTAGCACTGTGTTGGCCTTTTTGGCAGCTGCAGCACACTGTTGGCTCATATTTATATAGCATATCTGGGCACTGCAGGGATCGGCCAACATGCAGGACTAAAACACAGGAGCCATAACTGTAGTGACTGCAGGCAGGGAGAAACCAGAAACATAGGAAAACCCCTACCCAGAATTCTAGCCTTCCATGCTCCCCTCCTTGTGGGGAAGGGCCTAGCTCTCCACCCAAGCAACCTCTCAGTATCTCTTCCATTGCCATGGAGGCTGTCCAAAGCACATCTGCAGGAGACCACAGGGCTGAGCTACAGGGTGTTCGGCCTCCAACTGGCACCATCCCAACCAGCATGGCCTCTGTTGGGGATGGCAGGAGTTGAAGACCAAGAGATTAGAAGGGCCTCCCTGAAGACGACTCTGTAAGAACGATCCTCTCTTCACTTCCTTCCAGAAAAACCAGAAGCTTTAGACACCAAAAGAAGTGAAAGGAACACTGAGAAAACAAGACCCACAAAGAATAGCAGCATCGTGCAGATGTCAGAGAAAGAAAGAAAGAAAGAGAGAGAGAGAGAGAGAGAGAGAGAGAGAGAGAGAGAGAGAGAGAGAGAGAGAGAGAGAAAGAAGGCAGACAGAGAGAGGGAAGGAAGGAAGGAAGGAAGGAAGGAAGGAAGGAAGGAAGGAAGGAAGGAAGGGGGGAAAGAGGGGGAAAGAGGGGAAAGGAAGGAAGAAAGGAAGGAAAGGAAAGAAAGAAAGAAAGAAAGAAAGAAAGAAAGAAAGAAAGAAAGAAAGAAAGAGGGGGAAAGAGAGGGAGGAAGGAAGGAAAGAAAAAAAGAAAGAAAGAAAGAAAGAAAGGAAGGAAGGAAGGAAGGAAGGAAGGAAGGAAGGAAGGAAGGAAGGAAGGAAGGAAGAGGCAGAGAGAGAACGGGAGAGAAAGAAGGAAGGAAAGAAAGAGACAAGAGACAGAGGTGGAAGAAGAAGCAGCCGATGGGACTCTTTCCACCCTGAAAGTCTGGGAACGGCCAACGGGTGGCTGAGCAGAAGGGAGTGGTGGCCCTCTGGTGGCCACTACTAGCAACAGGAACGTTCTTTGACCGACCTCCAAGATTTTGGCCAGTTTCTTGCTATTCTTCAGTTCCAGGGAAGCCTTGTAGATGCACTCATAGCTGGCCGTAATCTCCTCCACCTTCTCCTGCAGGGTCGTCTTGAAGTGAAGGCTGCACAGGCGGATTTTATATTCCGGCACCAAAAGCATCTGGAAGGAAAAGAAGGGCCAAACGAAGACCATCACACCTGAGGTCACCTGAAGTACAGGAGGGAGGAGGGCAAACACGAAATACACCGCCTTGCCTGAGACCCCACCCATCGTTCTGCTGATAAAAAAACGGCCCGCGGGGCCTGTGGTTTCAGAGCAGAAGTGGGGAAAGGCCACATGAAAAGGAGGAAGCAAGAGGGGGCAAGATGGGGACTGCTCCCCCCAACTGCCACTCAGCACGCCAGGGTCCGTGCTTGTTAAACACACACACACACACACACAGCCTCAGCCACATTTGCCAGAGCCCCACCTTCATCTTGGTTTATCCTTGGTCGGTGAGTTGTATTACTCCGACACCAATCACCCCGAAGAGGTTTTGCACGGACAATGCACCGGGCTTTTCGGGGGCCGCTAAAAAAAAATCTACATGGCCCCCAACCCCAACCCTGTCGGACCCCTCCCGGCTCTCCCCAGCAGCAGACTTGGCTCACTCACCTGCAGGACAAACTGGTCCGGCTCGCTCAGCTTGCTGGGATCGCCCTGGTAGCTGTGGAAGCGCTGCACCTCCTGGGCGTCAGGCGCGAAGAGCAGCAGCTGCTTGAGGTGAGAGGCCTCCAGGCGGTCGCTCTCCATGCTCAAGAGGATCTGGCGCAGCTCGATGTGGGAGAGCTTGAGGTGCGCAATCAAGATGGCTGGCCGGAGGAGGAGAAGGCATCAGCGGGGGTGCTGGGCGCGCCTTGCCGAAGCGGCTTTGGTTTCGGGCCAGGACCAGCCAGGACCACATGGATGCCCCCCTCCCTCCAGAAGGGTAGCACTAAGTCTCAATTGTTTGCTCCCCCTCCCAGTGTTTTTTGAATGAGGGTGATGGCACTTTCTGCCACAGACCTGTTTATTCTTTATGTTTATCATCGAAGGTTTTCAAGAAATGACTGGAGGGCCCATTGTCCAGAGTGGCATGAGGATTCCCGCACTGGGCAGGAGGTTGGTCTAGAGCAGTGGTTCTCAACCTTTTTAATGCCGCGACCCCCCAACCGGTCGTAAGTCGAGGACTACTCAACCGGTCGTAAGTCGAGGACTACTCAACTGGTGCAGCACCGTTTGCAGAATGGGACTTTTGGCGGGCTCAGCAGGGCAGAGACAGCCTGGACAATTCCTATTGGCTTTTGAAAGCCAATAGAATTAGACTCCATTCAAGAGAGACTATTTTATTGGCTTTCCAAAGCCAATAGAATAAAAGGGAGCAGCACAGCTAAGGAAAAGGGGGAAAAAATGGCGGTCTGCGTTGTTTGGCGACCCCCGTGAAATGGTCGTTCGACCCCAAATGGGGTCCCGACCCACAGGTGGAGAACCACTGGTCTAGAAGACCTCCAAGGTCCCTTCCAATCCTCTGACTGATCTCTTACCTTTCTTCCAGGGGTTTGGGACGGTGTTGGTAACTGCAGGATGTAGTCAAAAAGATGAAGAGGGTGGCCACAATGGGGCCATCCAAACACCCCAGGTTTTTTTTTATGTGCAGCACATCCCCTTGATCTTTTTGACCACATCTGTGGACATCCCCAGCTTGGGCAAAGGCTCCGTCTACCTGTCCAGTGCCCCGAGGTCTTCTCCGCACCCTCCTGGCCCGCTGGCTGTTACTCACCTGTGTTGTAGGCCTTTTTGTGGGACAGAATCTCAACCACGTGCTTTTTTTTAAGCGGCTCCGGCAAGGGGTTCGGCTCTGGAAGAGAAACTGAAAGATTTAATCTGAGATAAGAAGAGGGTTCAAGAGGCCTTGGGAAAGAGAAAAATGAAGCTGTGGGACTGGTATGACACGTGCTGGGCACCCTGGAAGCTCCTGGCGGGCAGCCACGGCATCCCAGGGCAAGGCGGAATCTCCAAGTCAAAGGCATGAGATACTCAGAGCCCTCTTAGCTCCCCATTGCTTCTTGGGGGGAGGGAAGACTCCTCATCTTCACTGCTCACAGCCTAAACCTCTTCCCTTGGCTTCCCCAACGGGTCACCTTTGCCTTCTGCCCAAGGTCTCCCTGGCCTGACCAGCCCCAGTCCGAGGCTCAGAAGGAGAATTTGCTTCTCCCTGTTGAGAAACTCAGCACCAGGCAAAATAATCTGTCTCCAAGCTTAGAGGCAGTCTACCTTCGAAAATCAGTTCTGGATGGCAATGGTGAGGATGGTTTTGGTCTCTGTGGGTTTCCCAGAGCTACAAGGAGAAGCCCAAGCACTGCTGGCTGGGAGGGGGGGGATAGCCTTAAATTTGTGAGCCACAAACTTCCCAACGGCCGTAAGGGAGTCGCTTTCAACTTTAAGGTCCCTCTTCATATGGGAATAATGATTACAGCCAAACATATTCATTTGTTTATTAGTTAGTCAGAGAACCAGTTTAGTGCAGTGGTTACAAGGCACCCTCTCGGCCCCAGGAAGGAAGCAGTGGCAAACAAAACTCCTGAAAAACCTTGACAAAGAAACTGAAGGGACAAATGTAGTCAGTCACCAGGAGTCAAAAATTGACTAGAACAGTGGTTCTCAACCTGTGGGTCGGGACCCCATTTGGGGTCGGACGACCATTTCACGAGGGTCGCCAAACAACGCAGTCCGCCATTTTTTTCCCCTTTTCCTTAGCTGTGCTATTCCCTTTTATTCTATTGGCTTTTGAAAGCCAATAGAATAGACTCGCTTGAATAGAGTCTAATTCTATTGGCTTTCAAAAGCCAATAGGAATTGTCCAGGCTGTCTCTGCTCTGCTGAGCCTGCCAAAAGTCCCATTCTGCAAACGGTGCTGCACCAGTTGAGTAGTCCTCGACTTACAACTGGTTGAGTAGTCCTCGACTTACAACCGGTTGGAGGTCGCGGCATTAAAAAGGTTGAGAACCACTGGACTAGAAGGCCCAAACAAGTAGTTAGTGATTTCCTGGAGCTCAAGGCATTATACTTTTGATCCCCGTTGTTCTTTAAACAGCCACCCTGTCAGGTAAGGTTGGGTGGAGAGAGACCATGACTGGCCAGCGTGACCCCATCAGCTTCTCTGGCCACGGGTGAGTTTGAACCTCAGCCACCTGCCTCTTCATCTAAACCTGCAACTTGCAAGACACTGGAAGGGTCACTGCCATGACGGATATCCCAAAGGGGCTCTCCCCATCTCTCCTTGTCAGACTCTTGAGTTACCACTCCAGCGACATCTAGCGTGGCCAGAGCAAAAGCTGGGCATTATGGAGGCTGAAGTCTGTATTTATTTATTTATTTTATGAGACTTATATACCGCTTTAAGTGCAAGCACTCTCTAAGCGGTGTACACCAGTAAGCAATGTATCTATATATATTTACATTGAGCCCAACAATCTGGGTCCTCATTTTACCTACCCCGGAAGGATGGAAGGCGGAGTCAACCTTGAGCCGGTGAGATTTGAACACAGTCAGCTAAAGTGGCCTGCAGTACTGCACCCTAACTGCTGCGCCACCTCGGCTCTTATCACAGCTGGAGAGCCTGGGTGGCCTCATGGAAGAGGGGGGCGGGGAGGACCTCAGAACCCACCTGCTTTGCAAATGTGTGGATGGCTCCCCCCCTCCTCCCTCCCCCTGGAAACACTGGAGTAAAGGCTTGGCAGTTCTCCTGCCCGCCCACTCTCTGCCCAGCTGTGACCCACATACCAGCACTGGCCTTGGTTTGGGGAGCCATGGGGGAAAAAGGAAGTGATGGTGAGAGTCAGGAAAGCTCCAACCGAAAGCAAAGAGCACCCCGGGAGCAGCTGGGAAGCAAAGCGATGCTGCCCCGAGTCAGCAAGCGAAGGATGCAGCACAGAGATGGGAGAAGCCCCACAGAGCGAAGCAAATCCACTATGTGTGCAGCCCCCCACCCCAAGCTGGGTAAGAGTCGGCTGCAGCCCCACCGAATGCCCAGGCGAGCTGCTTCTACTGCCCCCTCCCCACTAAAGTAAGCCTCCTTCCCTGAAGCCCCCTGCTGTGGCAGAGACCACCGACTCACTCACTCGCTGGCTTCTGAGTTCCAAAATGCAGCTCGAGGTCCAGGTACTTGACCATGTTGCTCAGTTTGTCATAATCAGAATCCTCCCCGAGCTAGGAAAGAAGGGAGGCGCCGTCAGGCCAAGAGCCAAACCCACCCTCCGCTCTTCAAAGGGCCCTTGGTGCTGGGCTCCCTGGCCCGTGCCCATTCGGCCCAAGTGCTGGCCGCCCAGCACTTCGCATTAACCCACCCACCCCCAACCAAGCAGAGGTTGGCCCCAAGGCCACAAAGGAAGGACCTCAAGGGACCCCGAAGGAGGAGCTACTGACAAGCTCACCCGCCTCTCCCCAAAAGGCCAGGCATGCAAGAGGAATGAGCAGTTCTCTTTGGGGGCCAAATATCGCTTATTGGCCTCTCACTCCCCCCCCCCCCCACCACCACCAAAGCAAGAAGAGAACAATCTGCAGAAAAGGCTGGGGACATCTCCCTGCCCAAACAGCTTTACAACCGAGACCCCCTGGGTTTGACAGTGCCCAAATTACAGCTCGTGTGCTCTTTTCGTAACCGTAGAAATATACACGGAAAGAACGGGGAAAGCTTAGCACAGCGTTCAAAATAATGCCACTAATTGGCATAGGTTGTTGCAGGGGGCACACCCTTCAGGCTTTCCATCAGGCAGAATGGAAAGCTCAGAGGGTTCCAACAAAGCAGGGGCCAGGGTGGGACAAGGTGGGGATGAGCTGTCAGGTCTGCACATGATTTATTGCCAATTTATTGCAGGAATCTTCTCAGCTAATGGTCAGCATTTGGATAAGGGTCAACTTGGCACTCAAGGGGGATTGACCTAGTTGGCTTGTGGTTATGTAGGGATTCTAGGCTGATCCCTCTTTTCACTCCGCCCTCTCCCCGGGTCCAGCCGTTCCTTCTCCCACACGTGTACCTCCGTTGGGGGTTCTGATCCTACCTGACCCCAGATGGTGCCTTCCGAGTTCTCCACCTGCTCCCAGCGCAGCCGTTTAACACTCATGTGGTTGGACTCGCTCCTGCGATGAATACTTCCTTGCAGCATTGAAGGGGGTACACAGGGCATTGGGGGAGGAGGGGGCGGGGGAGGAGGGGGAGGAGGAGGAGGGGGGAGCTGGGCTGTGGCATGGGGGCCAGAGGGAGCACTCTGGGCCGCTTCCATGGCCCTGGGCTCTTTCTGGGGGTCACGGAACTGTGGAGGTCTGGGGGGTGGGCTGATTGGAGGCGGGGGGAGGTGGTCTGACAAGATGGAGTCGGTCAGGGAGCTCCCTTCGCTGCTGCTCAAGCCCTCGCTGGCACTGCTGCGGTCATTGGCCATGTAGCCGCCCTGGTCATTGTGGAAACTCATCTGGGGAGAGAACAGCAGGGGTGGGTAGGTAAGGCACAGGGCGTCCCAACTTCACAAGCACGTGGCATTATTTGTGGGCAGGTTCAGGAAAAGGGAGCAACACATTCAATAGTCAAATGCCACTTCCCATCTTCACCCTTAGAGAGGATGATTATTTTCAGAGTTGTTGGTCTCTAGTACTCCTTGCACCCCACGTCACAAATAACGTTGGCTAGGAGTTGCAATGGGAAGTCAATCGGGACCAGCATGTGGTTGGATCAGGCCTTCACCTTAAGGCAGTGGTTCTCAACCTGTGGGTCGGGACCCCATTTGGGGTTGAACGACCATTTCACGGGGGTCGCCAAACAACGCAGTCCGCCATTTTTCCCCCCCTTTTCCTTAGCTGTGCTACTCCCTTTTATTCTATTGGCTTTTGAAAGCCAATAGAATAGACTCTCTTGAATAGAGTCTAATTCTATTGGCTTTCAAAAGCCAATAGGAATTGTCCAGGCTGTCTCTGCCCTGCTGAGCCCGCCAAAAGTCCCATTCTGCAAACGGTGCTGCACCAGTTGAGTAATCCTCGACTTACGACTGGTTGCGTAGTCCTTGACCTACGACCGGTTGGGGGTCGCGGCATTAAAAAGGTTGAGAACCACTGCCTTAAGGGTTGTATTGGTTTTATTGATTGGACAGAGCTTTTGGGGGGGGGTCATTCTTATGCCACACCCCTGGCAAACTGGCATTTGATGGGCGCATTAAGGCCAGGACAAAGCATCTTCCTCCTGTGCTCTCCACATGCCTGTTCAAGGAGGTGTCTACCTGAAAGAGACTTTCCTGTCCTCAGAAGTTTTGAAGATGATTAAAGGTCTGGAAACTAAAACCTATGAAGAATGATTGCAGGATTTGGGTTTGGCTCGTCTGGAGAAAAGTAGGGGGTGACATGATAGCTGTATCCCAGTATTTGTGGGGCTGCCCCAAAGAAGAGGGGGTCAAATGATTCTCCAAAGCACCAGAGGGGCAGGACAAGAAACAATGGATGGAAAGTAATCAAGGAGAGAAGCAACCTGGAATTAAGGAGAAACTTCCTAACGGTGAGAACAATTCATCAGTGAACTAGCTTGTGTTCAGAAGTTGTGGGCGCTCCAGCACTGCAGGCTTTTAAGAAGGTGGCGAGGTGGCGCAGCAGTTAGAGTGCAGTACCCCAGGCCACTTTAGCTGACTGTGTTCAGCAGGTCAGCGGTTCAAATCTCACCGGCTCAAGGTTGACTCAGCCTTCCATCCTTCCGGGGTAGGTAAAATGAGGACCCAGATTGTTGGGGGCAATGTAAATATATATATATACATTGCTTACTGGTGTACACCGCTTAGAGAGTGCTTGCACTTAAAGTGGTATATAAGTCTCATAAATAAACAAGAAGAGACTGGACAGCCACTTGTCTCAAACGGTTGAGGTTCTCCTGCTTGAGCAGAAGATTGGATTAGGTCCCTTCCAGCTCTACTCTGATACCTGCTTAATTCCTCTTGAGGTGTCCACTATTTAAGGTCAGAAAGTCAGGATGGTGACTACAAAGGTGTATTTGAAACTCTGCTGGCTTTTTCTGTGTATTCCCTGCTTCAATCGTAGTCGTGGCCACCATCTTGACTTCTGACCACATCCTGTGGACACCTCTTATTCACCCTGGAGAGGAGCTGCTGTTTTCCCAGGTGGAACACACAGCGGCATCTTCTGGCCTTTAGAGCCAAAATCAAGGGTTTCCTTTTTTTTATTATTGGAAGCTGAAGGAGACAAAAAATAATAATTTGTAGCTGCTTAAGACACCCACTTCAGGTTTGCAAAACTTCTTTTTGAAATAGGTCCCGGTCCTTTCCACATTCAAAGTGTGCCCCCCTCCCCAATAGACAACTCAACACCTAAGAGGCCCAGTTTACCCTCTGCTCCTTTCCAGTGTTTCTCAACCTTGATCATTTTAAGGCATGTGGACTTCAACTCCCAGAATTCCACAGCCAGCGTTGCTTTAGACCAAAAGTGCTTTTAGACCAAATACTGCTTTAGACCAAAAGTCCCCAATCTTGGCAGTTGGCTGGGAAATTCTGGGAGTTGAAGTCCGCAAGTCTTAAATATTGCCAAGATTGAAGACCTCTACTTTAGAGGATTATTTTGGCCTGCAGACTTCCAATTTGGCTGGTGAAATCTTTCAGTCTTGTGTCTGTATTTTAACTCTCTTTCCATCTGTTAACCACACAGCCTTTCAAGTGGCATTTTATGTTTCAGTAAACAAAATAAAGACACATTTTGGCTCCCCCCCCCAAGCCTGTTGTTTTTCTCTTCCTTTTGATGTTTACTAGCACACAGATGGCTCCACATTGTCAAACTGAAAAGTTGTTACAACCGATCCCATAAATATGTTGCCTGTAAGAAGAATCCACACACACACACACACACACACACACACACAGAATAACAGAGTTGGAAGGGACCTTGGAGGTCATCAAGTCCAACCCCTTGCTCAGGCAGGTAACCCTATACCATTTTGAACAAATGGCTGTCCAATCTCTTCTTAAAAACTTCCAGTGATGGAGCACCCACAACTTCTGGAGGCAAATTATTCCACTGATTGATTGTTCTCACTGTTAGGAAATTTCTTCTTAGTTCTAGGTTGCTTCTCTTCTTGAATAGTTTCCATCCATCGCTTCTTGTCTTGCCTTTTGGTACTTTGGAAAATAGTTTGACCCCCCTCATCTTTTGTAATTTATCAAATGAGGGAGTGATCCAGGCCTTGGACCCTGACCCAGAGCCTTCGGGTTCTCTTGCCTGGCTTGGCATTAGCCAGAACTGAGCACAATCTGTCACATCAACTGGGACCGTTTGGAACCCAAAGATCTTAAAACAGCTCCAAAGAAAAGTCCCTTCCAAGTTGAGTGAGGGCCACAACTCTGCAGATCTTGGGGTTGCCTATGGAAAGATGGACTCCTGGAATATTTTTCTTCTTCCCAGATTCACTTCCAGGTCTGGGATTCCTCAGTGGCCTCCCATCCCAGCACGAACTAGGCAGGAGATCAGCCAAGGCTTGCAAGATGCTTCCATTCCGTCCTCACACAGGAATTTGCATTCAGGAGAGAACTGAGGTCACCCAGATCTTTGTGGACTGGTCTTTTGGGGTTTTAGCAAACATTTTTGTTTCTGCAAGAGCGTCTGAAGGGCAGTGCATGGGCGTGGAACCTGTGGATGGTTCCTAGGTGCTGAGAAATCAGACACAAAGGCACCATCTGCCTATTCCCGGTGCAATAATGCTGGAGTACAAGAATGATAAAAGAGATAAGCAGGGCCTGCCTCAGTTTCCAGCCTGGGGAGGCATGGCGCTGCGTTTGTGCTGTTTGCAAGAAAAGACTGGAAGACCCTTTGTCCAGAATGGCATGAGGATTCCTGTAGTAGGCAGCAGGCTGGACTGGAAGACCTCCAAGGTTCCTTCCAATCCTAGGATTCTAGTGCAGGGGCAGGCAACCTTGGCTCTTTTATGACTCGTGGACTTCAACTCCCAGAATTCCTGAGCCGGCATGGCTCAGCTTGGAAACCTCTCCCTTTCCCCTCAGCGTGGCTGGCTCAGGAATTCTGGGAGTTGAAGTCCACAGTCATAAAAGAGCCAAGGTTGCCCACCCTGGTTTAGGTATTATTAAGAATATCAAGAACTATTAGCAGAGTTATGATAAAGACAATCATGAAAAGAGTAGACCTAGGCCAGGGATAGGCAAACCTTGGCTCTTTTATGACTCGTGGACTTCACTCCCAGAATTCGTAAGCCAGCATGGGGAACTATGCCCCTTCATGACTCGTGTGACTTCAAACTCCCAGAATTCCTGAGCCAGCATGGGGGGGAACTTTGGCCCTTCATGACTCAGTGGACTTCAAACTCCAGGAATCCTGAGCAGCATGGCTCAGCTTGGAAACCTCTCCCTTTCCCCTCAGCCATGCTGGCTCAGGAATTCTGGGACTTGAAGTCCACGAGTTCATAAAAGAGCCTAGGTTGCCTACCCCCGGCCTAGGCTATCCAGGAGCTCGTTCCAGTTACTTTTTAGTAATATTACAGGTAGTCCTCGACTTATGACCACAATTGAGTTTTTGTTGGTAAGCGAGATCATTATTAGATGAATTTTGCCCCATTCTATGACCGTTCTTGCCACAGTTGTTAAGTGAATCACTACCGTAGTTATGTTAGTAACCCCGTTGTTAAGTGAATCTGGCTTCCCCATTGACTCTGCTTGTTAGGTCACAAAAGATAATCACATGACCTTGGGACACTAGAAGCGTCATAACTATGAGTCAGTTGCCAAGGGGCTGAATTTTGATCACGTGACCATGGGAATGCCGCAGTGCTCGTAAGCATAAAAAACTGTCAGTCGCTTTTTTCAATGCCGTAGTAACTTCGAACAGTCACTAAACCAGACATGTCAAACACAAGGCCCGGGGGCCGGATGCGGCCCGCAAAGTGGTTTCATGTGGCCCACGAAGCCATCCTGGAAAAAGTGAGGGAATGGCCCCCTCTGCCTTGGCCCTGGCCCAGGCCGGCCGGGAGCCAATGTACAATTTTGTGGTGGCCATCTATGCTGAAACGCATTCAATCTTAGCTCCACAAGGCCATCTGGAAACAGCGAGGAACCAGCCCCTGCCGTGTCACCCCCGCCCTCTGAGTGCATGCTGGGGAGGTGTCACCCTTTGTGAGGAATGAAGAAATGGATCATTGCCTGGAAGTGGCCAGCAAATGGCCCTCGCCTACTTCACATATCCCGCTTGATGGGCTCCTGGGGAGGGGTTTCAGCAGGCAGTGAGGCTCCTCCAGTGGACCATGCCTTGGCGCTTGCCCCAGTCCCACCCCCTTCTGCCAGACACCCTCAGATCTGTCCCACTCCTGCCCAGGCCCCCACAGGCACCCTTGACACGAACGATGTAGAGCTGGCCATGCCCACACAGTAGGCCACACCCACTCCATCCACACCCACACAGTAGGCCACACCCACCTTGGCCACACACCCCCAAGGGCAACCGCAATGCTGATGCGGCCCTCAATGAAATTGAGTTTGACACCCCTGCACTAAACGAACGGTTGTAAGTCGAGGACTATCTGTACTTATTTAGACCAGTGATTCTCAACCTTTTTAATGCCGCGACCCCCAACCGGTCGTAAGTCGAGGACTACTCAACTGGTGCAGCACCGTTTGCAGAATGGGACTTTTGGCAGACTCAGCAGGGCAGAGACAGCCTGGACAATTCCTATTAGCTTTGGAAAGCCAATAGAATTAGACTCCATTCAAGAGAGTCTATTCTATTGGCTTTCCAAAGCCAATAGAATAAAAGGGAGTAGCACAGCTAAGGAAAAGGGGGAAAAAATGGCGGATTGCGTTGTTTGGCGACCCCCGTGAAATGGTCGTTCGACCCCAAATGGGGTCCCGACCCACAGGTTGAGAACCACTGATTTAGACATAAGACACAAGTGGGGAAAACCCCTTATTGGGAATTCGGCCTTGGGCGGTTTTTCATCCCAGAGAAAGGAAAGATTTAGGCAGGGCCCTCCAAGGAGAAGCCCCCTCCCTGCAGACCCTTCCACGCTGGCCCCTTCAGCTGGAGAAACGCCTCCCACCTCCTCGTAATCGTTCTCAGACGCCAGGAAGTCATCCACCAGGCTGATGCGGTGGCCCAGCTGCTCGCTCAGCGCATCCAGGAAGCGGTCCGTGTCCCGGCTGCGAGGCGGCCGTGAGAAGGTGAAGAGCTTCCTCCGGCGAGACAGGGGGCTCAGCTTGGGCGACAAGGCCGGGCTGCTGTCCAGGCTGACATAGGGGTTTGAGTCCGTGCTGCAGGGGGAAGGGAGGCCACCAGGCGAGCGGTAATAGCAAGGCTGCAGGGTGGGATCATTCTGCCAGGAAATAGTCAGTCCTGATTTTCGGGGACCTGCAGAAAATAGAGAAAGAGACACACAACCCTTTGCAGCACAATGGGCAGGAGGTTGGACTAGATGACCTACAAGATCCCTTCCAACTCTGTTTTCTATTCTATTCTATTCTGTTCTGTTCTGTTCTGTTCTGTTTCGTTCCATTCTATTCTACAATGCCTGACAGTTAGAACAATTAATCAGTGGAACAACTTGCCTCCAGAAATCGTGGGTGCCCCACCACTGGAGGCTTTTAAGAAGAGGCGAGACTAGTGGTGACGAACCCATGGCACGGGTGCCAGAGGTGGCACGCAGAGCCCTCTCTGTGGGCACGCAGGCCGTCGCCCCAGTCCTAGGCCTTCAGCTGGGTTTTAAAAAACCTTTTTGCTTTAGGCCTCCGCCGCCGTGTGCAAAAAAAAAAAAAAAGGTTCAATCAGTCAATTTCAACTTCTCGCAGGAAAAAAAAGATCTTGCAAAGGTGGAATTGATTGACTGAACTTTTTAGTCCCACCCAGTCTGCCGTTACCACCACAGCCACGCCCACCCAATGGGCCACACCCACTCGGCATTCGACGATGCATAAGTGGGTTTTGGGTTGCAGTTTGGGCACACGATCTCTAAAAGATTCGCCATCACTGCGCTAGACAGTCACTTTCTGAGATGGTATAAGTCCTCCTGCTTGAGCCATGGGGCTGGACTAGAAGACCACCAAGGTCCCTTCCAGCTCTGCTCTATTCTATTCTATTCTATTCTATTCTATTCTATTCTATTCTATTAAGATTCTATTCTATTCTATTCTATTCTAAGACTAAGATTCTATTCTAAGATTCTATTCTATTCTATTCTAAACAGAAAAGTGAATTTCATTTCCTTGAAACAAAAGACCAAGCAGAGGAAAAGAAGAAATATCAGAATATTAGCTGCCCCTGAACTTAGGCAATTTGGAGAATCTAGTCCAGCAGATAGTGTGAGGGGCTCGATGCATTTTTGAGGAAATAGGAGGAAGAGAAAAACCTTTTGAAATGATTTCCAAATGACCAACTTTTTTTTTCCAAATATTATTTGATGTTCAGTTGGGGAAGGGGATAACCCAGTGGCTCTCAACCTGTGGGTGGGGACCCCATTTGGGGTCAAATGACCATTTCACAGGGTTCGCCAAACAACGCAGTCCGCCATTTTTTCCCCCCTTTTCCTTAGCTGTGCTACTCCCTTTTATTCTATTGGCTTTTGAAAGTCAATAGAATAGACTCTCTTGAATAGAGTCTAATTCTATTGGCTTTCAAAAGCCAATAGGAATTGCCCAGGCTGTCTCTGCCCTGCTGAGCCCGCCGAAAGTCCCATTCTGCAAACGGTGCTGCACCAGTTGAGTAGTCCTCGACTTACGACCGGTTGGGGGTCGCGGCATTAAAATGGTTGAGAACCACTGGGATAACCGCAAGAGAAGCCATTTCGTTCTGACTTTCAGTGTTACCTTGTGGCAAAAGGGGACGGTTGTTATTGTCTATTGGGTGAACCTCACTCACATTTATGACGAACCTGTTTGCATTTAACTAAATTTTAAAAAGAGAGAGTCTACAAATCAGTATTGATTTGGACCTTACAGCATCACAAAGTCAACTCGGTTGCAAGTTCCTTCAGTTCTGATCTTGGATCTCAAGCAACCAGGGAAAAAAGCTCCGGTTCTCCCGAACTGATTCCAAGTCCAGGTCCCTCCCACACAAACCCCCAAAAGTTGTCTTCTGCATCCCAGAAGACCGGAGGAGTTACCTGCAGGCTCTGAAGCCAGGGAGGCTGTCCGGCACGCAGGCAGGTGGCCCGGCTTCCCTCTGAACCCAGCAGTCAGGCGGCTTTCCAGTTCGGCATAGACTGCCGACATCTGCGAGCAGAAGGAAGGGAGCCAGAGGTTGGGCCCAGTTTCTGCTGACCCTTCTCCCCCAGCCCCTTCTTAGCCTGGGCCCTCTCAACATTTGGGGGTTCGCTGCTGACCCTTCTCCCCCCGCCCCCTTCTTAGCCTGGGCCCTCTCATCATTTGGGGGTTCGCTGCTGACCCTTCTCCCCCCGGCCCCTTCTTAGCCTGGGCCCTCTCATCATTTGGGGGTTCGCTGCTGACCCTTCTCCCCCCGCCCCCTTCTTAGCCTGGGCCCTCTCACCATTTGGGGGTTCGCTGCTGACCCTTCTCCCCCCGCCCCCCTTCTTAGCCTGGGCCCTCTCACCATTTGGGGGTTCGCTGCTGACCCTTCTCCCCCCGCCCCCCTTTTTAGCCTGGGCCCTCTCACCATTTGGGGGTTCGCTGCTGACCCTTCTCCCCCCACCCCCCTTCTTAGCCTGGGCCCTCTCACCATTTGGGGGTTCGCTGCTGACCCTTCTCCCCCCGCCCCCCTTCTTAGCCTGGGCCCTCTCACCAGTTGGGGGTTGGGGGTCTCTGGAAGAGACGTTCCATCTCCGGCTTGGCGCTCTCCGGGAGCTAAACGGCTGGGCACCTCAGCGGCTTCACTGCAACCTGGGGAAAAGATGGGGGATTCTTTGCAGGGATAAGGGGCACCAGGTCCCCTGAGCCCCATCCGGAAAGTCTTCAAGACGGATGGTTCGCCATGACTACTTCATCGGAATTTATCTGTCTAGTTTAGCGAAGAGAAGGACGAGGGGGGACAGGATAGCAGTGTTCCAGTATCTCAGGGGCTGCCCCAAAGAAGAGGGAGTCAAGCTATTCTCCAAAGCGCTTGAGGGCAGGACAAGAAGCAACGGGTGGAAACTAATCAAGGAGAGAAGCAACCTAGAACTAAGGAGAAACTTCCTGACAGTGAGAACAATTAACTAGTGGAACAACCTGCCTCCAGAAGTGGTGAATGCTCCAACACTGGAAGTTTTTAAGAAGAGATTGGACAGCCATTTGTCCAGGGTTTCCTGTCTGAGCAAGGGGTTGGACTAGATGACCTCCAAGGTCCCTTCCAATTATTATTACTATTATCATCATCATCATCATCATCATTATTATTGGGTTTTATTGGCAATGTTTGGATTTGTAACTGAGTTTGCTCTTGGGGCCAGGGGGCAGGTAATTCTTTACAAAGGATATTTGGGCGTAGCAGAAGTTGAGGGCTTCCACGGGTCTAGGAAGCTGCCTCCACCTATGGTAAATAACGAAGAAAAATAATTCAGGTAGTCCTGCACTTATGACCATACCCGAGCCCAAACTTCATGATGCCAAGTGAGACATTTGCTCAGTGAGTTTTGCTCCATTTTACGACCTTCCTTGCCACCGTTAAGGGAACCACTGCAGTTGTTAAGTTAGCAACCCGGTTGTGAAGTGAGTCTGGCTTCCCCACCGACTTTGCGGGTCAGGTCGCAAGAGGGGAATCACGTGACCTTGCGACTGCCATAAATACGAGTCAGGATCTGCCAAGTGCCTGAATTTGGATCAGGTGACCACGAGGAGGCTGCAACGGTCCTTAAGTGTGACAAATGGTCATCAGTCACTTTTTCCAGTGCTGTTGTAATTTTGAACAGTCACTCAGCGGGCGGTTGTAAGTTGAGGACTTACCTGTAATAAGCAATCAGGGGGTGGAGCAGCGCAAATGCCCATTCTGATCCAGAGAAGGAAGCAAAAGAGGGATCAGGGGCCCTTTGGCTCAGAGAATCGGTCTGACGCCCCCCAGCACCAGTCCCTTCTCTGCATGAAGCACAGCTGGGGAGAGCCAAGGCCAGGCGCGGGAATGATCAAATCAGAATCCGGAATGTGATTGGAATCTCTGTGATTGTCTTGCCTCACCCCCCCACAGATTAAGGCAAATCCAGAGCTCCTCCCGGGTAATCCTCTGATTGCTCGGATTAAGGAAGAGGAGGGGAAGGGGGGGCAGTGCGTGAGAAAGTCCAGGTGGCCGAGTGAAAGTTCCAGATGTTCTCCCCAAAGACGAGTGGCAGGCATCTGTTAAGCCCGTCGAGACATTGTAAGTACAATCCCTGCCATCTCAACATTTGTAGAGGAGGGGGACGCAGTCAACACGTTGTTGCAAGGCAGGTGAGCAAGCAGACGGTGGTTGTGGGGTCATTGTGTCTGATCAATGTTCCCCAAAACCTCTATCTACCAAGAAGGGATATGGCCACCCTCCTCTACCTCTAGAACAGTGGTTCTCAACCTGTAGGTCAGGACCCCATTTGGGGTCGAACGACCATTTCACGGGGGTCGCCAAACAACGCAGTCCGCCATTTTTTCCCCTTTTCCTTAGCTGTGGCTACTCCCTTTTATTCTATTGGCTTTTGAAAGCCAATAGAATAGACTCTCTTGAATAGAGTCTAATTCTATTGGCTTTCAAAAGCCAGTAGGAATTGTCCAGGCTGTCTCTGCCCTGCTGAGCCCGCCAAAAGTCCTATTCTGCAAACGGTGCTGGACCAGTTGAGTAGTCCTCGATTTACGACCGGCTGAGTAGTCCTTGACTTACGACCGGTTGGGGATCACGGCATTAAAAAGGTTGAGAACCACTGCTCTAGAAGGCAGGGAGTAAACAAGGGAAGTTGCTGGACAAAGATGAGGAAAGAAGCCAAAGATCACCACTGGAGCAGCCCCACAACCTACCCCGGGCTTCACTGTTCTTGGGGCTATGGCCACGCAGACTCTTCTGACACCCTGGACCGGTCCGTAGGGAACTCTGAGGCTGTTCGTCCACTTCGGCTTCAGCTACAGCTGGGAAGAATAAGCCAGTATCTTTGCTTTAGACCCCCCCATCATAATCCCATTGTCTGTCTGAAAGAAAGCCAGTGTCAACGCTGCGACTGAGCATGGCTGCAGCCATTTTCCTGCTCATTCTGGGTTGCCACAAAGAATGGAGGGAAGAGGGGGTTGCCCAGGTGCTTCGCTAGTCATAATAATCTTTCGTCCCGTGGGAACCAAGGTCATCGGCTGCTCCCGAGCCTGCAGGCTGGGCGTTGTGAAAAAAAGCCCGCCAAATGATTGCATTGCATAGCTTTACGGGGGGGGATTTTTTTTTAACTTTGTCTTGGGGAATTGTTACGTTTGTATCCAGGCTTGGAAATCTCCTCGGAATGGGACCACTTGCCGCAGCCAATTCACCACGGGGCAACTGGCTGCAGAACAATTCAACGATTTTATTTAATTGTTTAAAATAATTTTTTAAAATATTTTCATTTTTGTTATTTCGTATTTCATTTGATCCCTCCTTCGGCATCCTGTCTTGAAAGATTCTGTTCCACTATTTCTTCGATATTAGTGTAACCTTTGTCCCGTGGCAAGCTGTCCCGCAGTAAGCTGGTCATGGTGAGTTGGCTGCTCCTCTGCTGCCTCCATAGATACATGCCTCTTACATACATACATACATACATACATACATACATACATACATACATACCTCTTCCCGCCCTCTCCCCACAGACCCGCCCCTCCTCCCAGGCATCTGGGCTGCTCTCTGGCTTAATAATAATCTCCTTGGAAGCAACACAGGCCTTTGCCTGTAAATAACAACTCCCCAGCTGAAGATTAAAACCCTTCATTCTAAATTTACTCTGATGAGATGCATACCCACCATCCCTGAAAACGTGCAGCTGGGGCCCAGGTTGCCACGGCAACTCAAGGAAATACCCTGCTCGAAGGAGTAGGGGCGAGTCGTTCACGGCAGAGCCCGGGTGATGCGCTAATAGCCTCCTGCCAGGCCACCCTGTTGCCTTGGCAGCCGCTCTCTTCAGGGGCCGGACAGATCCTGCGCAGACCCGGGAGAGCAGAGGCACCCGACGACGGGGCCCTGGCGCGTCTCCCACTGACTCCCAGCCATGCTGCAAGGATCGGGCCCACTGCCCGTGAGGAGGACCTGGAGCTCCTGGGTGGGCAGAGGCGCCTGGCTCCCTCCCTTCCCTCCTCCGGCGCCTTTCTAGCTTCTGACGGCTTATTGCAGTGGTTTTCAACCTGTGGGTCGGGACCCCATTTGGGGTTGAACGACCATTTCACGGGGGTCGCCAAACAACGCAGTCCGCCATTTTTTCCCCCCTTTTCCTTAGCTGGGCTACTCCCTTTTATTCTATTGGCTTTTGAAAGCCAATAGAATAGACTCTCTTGAACAGAGTCTAATTCTATTGGCTTTCCAAAGCCAATAGAAATTGTCCAGGCTGTCTCTGCCCTGCTGAGCCCGCCAAAAGACCCATTCTGCAAACGGTGCTGCACCAGTTGAGTAGTCCTCGACTTACGACCGGTTGAGTAGTCCTCGACTTACGACCGGTTGGGGGTCGCAGCATTAAAAAGGGTGAGAACCACTGGCTTATTGGGACCTAAAACCTGCGCCTGGCAAACTCCACCAAACTTCTTTCGGGGAGAACAGGAAGCCGGCTTTCGGGAACCACGTGTGCTTCTTCCCCTGCCACATCTGGGTCTGAGTGGGCAAATGACAGGCCCACGAGCCAGGCTGGGTCCCCTAGATGCCCAGGCCACCCAGAACCTTTGTGCGAGCTTCCTCTTCTTAGCAAACTGCTAAGGATTCCTGGACCATTCCTTGGAGAGTCTCCCTCACCCTCCTTTCCAAAAACCATCGGTGCCCACTTACCTTTTTTAACTTTGTGTAATATTTTGTTGTTAGTTTGGAGAATACGGACGGGCATATACATCTTTTTCACAAATTAAACATCTGCACACCCAAACATACATTGCAACCCACAGCTCAGGCACTATGAGGGCACAAACAGCCGCTGGGCAGTCCAGAACTGGCACCAGTGGTTGAGACTCACCAGCATCGGATGTCCCACTTGCCAAGGACTTGTAGCCAAGGAACCTGGCGATCTTCTGCTGGCAGTGGGCCTGCTCCTCGTAGGTTAGCAGCTGGTAGATGAACTGCCAGATCACCTGCTTGGAGGGCGTGTCCAGCACCGGGTAGACATCCACAATCAGGGTGTCGATGTTCCTGAGTGGACAAGGAAGGAAGCAAAGACCTTTTTAGAGCAGGGAAGAAAATCCAAATCCCGGGATTAGAGAAGAGTTGGAAGGGGCCTGTAAGGACCCACCCCACTTTGCATCTTAAGAAGACAGAACTCTTGGAATAATTCTTCCAACAGGAATCCTTTATTAAGAGAAAATGGTTGCAGGGGTTCTAGACAGGACTTGGGGTCCAAGCTCTCCCATTCGAGGTTTTAAGGGGTTCCCCAGTAGCCCCACTCAATCACCCCCTTCTTCCAGCGACAGTCTCAGGCATTGCACTCCCACCCCCTTTTCCTTTCTGCCGGCTGGATGGAGACTTCAAAGAAAACTACATGAAAGGTAATAGCCCCATTCTTATGGATAGTCCTTTTGGCGATATCCACATTCAGTCGCTTTGAAGTGTACTGAAGGAAGTGAGGGCCATAAAGCCCCTTTGTTCACCCCCTTCCCTTCCTCGTATGGCAGAAGGCAGAAATGGGGTTTTTATAATTGATAACTAGAGATGAAATATAATTGGATTCAGTCCATGAACACGAAGCCCCCAAACATCCAATCCTCGGCTCGGACACACTGAATGGAGAGGCTCCTTCTCCGGTCACTGGACCCACTCTTGAATTGCACTTTGGTTTGGCAAACTTTTGCTACTGATCAGCAGGAATCTGCCTTCCTGACACTTGAGATTATCAGAGACAGTTTAAAGAATTTTTGGGGGGAGGGGGGGGAATACAATGATAAGTTTGGAATCACCCTGCTCTCTAATACTGGATTAATACTGCAGATGGATCCCTGAAAACTAAGATGTGTTCAAAAATGAAATAGCGGCAAAACAGAACAAAAGAGTCGCCTTACAGAGCAGTTGGGTGGCATAAAGATTTAATAAATAAATAAAAGCGCCTAAATAAACAAAATCTCTGGAAGAATTCTGGGTATCAGAGACAGCCTGCAATAAAGGTTGGGGGGCTCCCCTGTCTTTCTTTCCCTCCCCACTGAACAAATGTGATCAATATCTGCCAATCATGTTTTTCAGACAGGGGATGGGGAAGAGCTGGCGGGAAAGGTTGACCGATGGCTGGATGATGGGTTTCACCCGTGTTTTATGTTTTGCTTACTTGCTTATTATTTAGTTAACTCAGTGCACTACAAAACTTCGCAATGGTTTATAGCAGTGTTTCCCAAACTTGACAAATTTAAGGCACGTGGACTTCAACTCCCAGAATTCCACAGCCAGCATTGCTGGCTGTGGAATTCTGGGAGTTAAAGTCCTCATGCCTTAAAATTGTCAAGTTTGGGAAACACTGGTTTATAGGAAAGCAAATTTACTTTACAACGCAAACGTGAGGCCTTAAAAACATAACGCAGCAGCTTAAACAACAAGCAGCAATACGACAATGGCATAATTATTAAGAAAAATGCACACTTAAAAATAAATAGTTGAAATTCTTCTCAGGTTTATAAATTTCTTTTAAGAGCTGTAACTATTAAGAGGAGAACGTTGTAATTCCCTTTAGCCAAGGCTTCTGGTGTTAACTGTTTGTGACTGTATTTTTCTTGTGTTTTCTTTTGTTGCACTTGCATTTTGGTCTGTGACTGTAAAATAAAAATTATTATTATTATATTATTATTATAGTTGAAATCAAAACTTGGATAACAAAGTCAGTGTTCCCTTGGTGGCAACAAAGAAGACAAACTTTCTCGGATAATGGTATAGACCCGTGGTGGCGAACGTATGGCACACATGCCAGAGGCGGCACTCAGAGCCCTCTCTGTGGGCACGCATGCTGTCACCCCAGCCCCGCCTTCCCCCACGGCCCCCTCCTCACCTGCAGCCCCCCCGGAGGAGAGTAGCCCCCAGGCGTGGCCCGCGCGGAGCAGCACAGCCAAGGACATGGCAGACAGGCAACAGGGACAAGACACCGCCCTTGTGCCCCATTGCGTGCAGATGATGCTGTGGGGCGCGGGCAGAGGGCTTGATTGCCATGGTGCTGCAGGGTCGCCTGAGTGACCTGCGGCGGGCCGTGGAGGCGGTGGGTGGCCCTGTGGGTGGGCAGGGTGGGGTGGGGTGGGGCAAGCAGGGGCAGGGTCCCTGCCAACTCTGTTATTCTATGTTCTATGTTCAATTTCTGGGAGAACAGACATTCATACTGAAGGAGATGTTTTCTCTCTCTTGAGTCTAAACTGCCGGGGTTTTTAAAAGTAAAGGTTTTAAAAGGGTTCCATATTTTGCCCGGAAGTGAATTGACAGAGCATATAATGCCTTACAACACAAGAGATAATATAGTTTCTGTGGACATATCAACTGATAAAAAGTATGTCTGTGTAATAGTAGGTGGAAATGACCTTGAGGGACAGGAGGAAGAGTTGCAGGCTAGACAACCATCATGCAAAATGTAGCTCAGCCCACAGAAGGAAAAAGGTCACGGGAAATAATTTAGAAGGGATCCTCCCTAGTTTTCCAGAGAGGAAAAATATGTTCCCTTACTGTAACCCAGGGGTAGGCAAGCTGGGCTCTTTTATGACTCGTGGACTTCAACTCCCAGAATTCCTGAGCCAGCCATGCTGAGGGGAAAGGGAGAAGTTTCCAAGCTGAGCTATGCTGGCTCAAAAATTATGGGAGTTGAAGTCCACGAGTCATGAAGGGGCCATAGTTCCCCCATGCTGGCTCAGGAATTCTGGGAGTTGAAGTCCACGAGTCATAAAAGAGCCAAGGTTGCCCACCCCTGGCTTAGGCATTATGCAGAAAATCAAGAACTATTTAGGCAGAGTATGAAAAGACAATCATGAAAAGGCCAGGGGTAGGCAACCTTGGCTCTTTTATGACTTGTGGACTTCAACTTCCTGAGCCAGCGTGGGGGAACTATGGCCCCTTCATGACTCATGGACTTCAACTCCCAGGATTCCTGAGCCAGCATGGCTCAGCTTGGAAACCTCTCCCTTTCCCCTCAGCGTGGTTGGCTCAGGAATTCTGGGAGTTGAAGTCCACGAGTCATAAAAGAGCCAAGATTGTCCACCCCTGCTGTAACTTTACAAAAAAAAATAGGGCTAGTCCTTCTTGTCTGGACCACCTCAAAGATCTATATCTGGCAAGATGTGTAAAGGCAGCTTCCAGAACTTCTGCTGCAAAACTGTTTTGCAGGACAGTTTTCAACTGCAGCTCTTCTTCCTGTCTCCCAGGCCATTCCCACACAATGTTACACCCTCAATCTTTAAAGCTAAAGGCCTAGGCAAGTTTTTCACGCTACCTCCATGCCAGAGAAAAGCTTTGCTGAAGTAGACTCAGACATTCTGCTGTGAATGGAGCCTCATCAACAGCTCTGGGCTCCTGCCCTGAACTGCAAGCCCCACAATTCATCCCCAAAACTGGGTGGTGCTCAGTCTAAATGCAGAGCCCAAGCAAGAAGGAGCAGAAGAGAGCAGAATCTTGCGCATTTTCCACTTGGACAAATGGATGGAGTCACCATCACTTCACCTGTGCTGGAAGAAGCTCTCCAGTGCTTTGCATACTGTGTAGCGCTCTGCTGGGTGGTGCTCAGTCTAAATGCAGAGCCCAAGCAAGAAGGAGCAGAAGAGAGCAGAATCTTGCGCATTTTCCACTTGGACAAATGGATGGAGTCACCATCACTTCACCTGTGCTGGAAGAAGCTCTCCAGTGCTTTGCATACTGTGTAGCGCTCTGCTGGTGTGAGCAGATGTTCCAGCTGCTGGTGGAAGGTCCTTCCCTGGATCTTGATGCTGGAGGGCAGGATCTCAGCGACCCACTGCAAGGAGGTGAGGGCTGAGGAGGAGCTGGGTGCATCAGAAGATTCACCATCTAGACACGGAAAGCAAATCTCTCTTATGAAACAGAAGACAACGCTGATTCCAAGCTCTTTGGAGCCCATTGGTATGATCTGATTTTCAATCAGAATAAATATGTGTCTTTGATTCTGTGTGAAATATACAGATGGTTTCTTAAGAAATTGCAGAGGGAACCTTACTATTATTCTCGTGCTGAGTACAGGTAGTCCTCAACTTACGACCACAATTGAGCCCAGATTTTCTGTTGTTAAGTGAGACAGCTGTTAAGTGGTTTTTGCTCCATTTTACAACTTTTCTTGCCACAGTTGTTAACTGAATCACTGCAGTTGGTAAGTTAGTAGCCCAGTTGCTTAGTGATTCTGGCTTCCCCATTGATTACGTTTGTCAGAAGGTCGCAAATGGGGATCACATGATCCCAGGCACAGCAACGGTCATAAGTGTGGACCAGTTGCCAATCATCTGAATTTTGATCTCATGATCATGGGGATGCTGCAAAGATTGTAACCCTGAAAAACAGTCATAAGGCACGTTTTTCAATGCTGTTGTAACTTTGAATGGTCACTAAATGAATTGTTGTAAGTCGAGGAATACCTGTACACGCTTAACACTGAAAATATATGCTTTTTCAGTAAGGATTACTTAGGATATGTATGATAACACTCTCTGTTTCATCGGTGCTCAAATATATCCCTCACAGTATGCTGTAATGTTCCATTATGCTGCTTCCTTATAATAATAATAACAACAACGTTGGAAGGTACCTTGGAGGTCATCTAGTCCAACCCCCTGCTCAGGCAGGAAACCCTACACCATTTCAGACAGATGGCTGTCCAGTCTCTTCTTAAAAACTTCCAGTGTTGGAGCATTCACCGCTTCTGGAGGCAGGTTGTTCCACTGGTTAATTGTTCTAACTGTCAGGAAGTTTCTCCTTAGTTCTAGGTTGCTTCTCTCCTTGATTAGTTTCCCTCCGTTGCTTCTTGTCCCGCCTTCAGGCGCTTTGGAGAATAGCTTGACTCCCTCTTCTTTGTAGCAGCCCCTGAGACATTGGAACGGTGCTGTCATGTCCCCCCTCGTCCTTCTCTTCATTAAACTAGACATACCCAATTCCAGCAGCCGTTCCTTATATGCTTTAGCCTCCAGTCCCCTAATCATCTTTGTTGCTCTTCTCTGCACTCTTTCTAGAGTCTCAGCATCTTTTTTACATCGTGGTGACCAAAACTGGAAGCAATATTCCAAGTATGGCCTTACCAAGGTATTGTAAAATGGTATTAACACTTCACGTGATCTTGATTTTATCCTTCTGTTAATGCAGCCTAGCAACATGTTGGCTTTTTTGGCAGCTGCAGCACACTGCTGGCTCACATTTAAGTGATTGTCCACTAGGACTCTGAGATCCCTTTCACAGTTACTACTGTTGAGCAAGGTACTGCCTATACTATACCTATGCATTTGGTTTTTCTTGCCTAAATGTAGAACCTTACTTTTTTCAACATTGAATTTCATTTTGTTAGATAGCGCCCAATGTTCAAGTCTGTCCAGATCGTTCTGTATCTTAAGCCTATCTTTTGGAGTGTCGGCTATTCCTGCCAGCTTGGTGTCATCTACAACTCTGATGAGTTCCTCATCTATCCCCTCATCCAAATCACTGATGAAGATGTTGAAGAGCACTGGGCCCAGAACAGAGCCCTATAGCACCCCACTACAGACTTCCCTCCAGGTAGATGAGGTTCTATTGAGGACCACATGCTGAGTACGCTGGTCAGTCAACTACGAATCTATCTGGTGGTGATGCTGCCTAACCCACATTTTTCTATCTTATCAAGTAGGTTGAGGTCTACTTTATCATACCTTACTGAAGTCCAAGTAAATTATATCCACAGCATTCCTCTGGTCCACTAATTTTGCCACCTGGTCAAAGAATGCAATAAAATTTGTCTGGCATGATCTGCTTTTGACAAACCCATGTTGGGTTTTGGTAATGACTTTGCCTCTAGGTGTTTGCTGATTCATTGCTTGATTATCTTTTCCAGAATCTTCCCAGGTATTGAGGTCAGGCTGATAGGTCTGTAGTTTCCTGGATTCCTTTTTTTTTCCCCCCTTTTTTGAAGATGGGAACGACATCAGCTCTTTTCCAATCCTCTGGTAGTTCCCCAGTGCTCCAGGATCTTTGAAACATATAATTCAGTGGTTCTGAAATCACATCTGCCAGTTCCTTCAGAACCTTGGGGTGTAATCCATCTGGTCCTAGTAATCTGAACTCATCTAAGGTGGACAGGTGCTCACTTACATTTTCTTGCCTATCTTAACTTGTGTTTCTAATCTGTTTTTTACAGTATTGTTTTTGATAGGTTGGACTGTTTTTTCCCTTTGTGTAAATACGAATGTTTCTCAGCTTTTCTTAAGCTTCAGTTTTGGTCTATTTTTTTTTATTGTTCGAACACTATTATGATCTCCATTCCTTGTTCATCCAGTGGAACAGCCCTTTTATTTTTCCCACGGGATCAAACAATCTTTCGTGATTGTTATAAAGAATATATATAAAGAAAATTGGACCTAGTGACATGTAGGCTGCTTCATTTATAAGAATCATTATAACAATAATTGGCATGTTTGAAAACAGAACCTGTAAAGACATTCCCATTTTGTAACTATGAAGTGGGAACAGAAATTCAGCAGGAATCTCTTGCTGTGTGGCCTCAACCACCAACTGAGGATGGTTGAACTATCATGCAACTTCCTGGTGTTTTCAAAGGTCTGGAATACCCTGACATGGGCTTTAAACAATCCGAGGACCTAGTTTCCGGAGCTATTAGCTTTAAAGCTTAAGGAAGGGGGGGGGAAACATCTGGGGAAAGAGAGCATGAAGAAAAAGGAAGACAGCAAACTAACCTTCCAAGATTATGACCAAATCTTTGCTTACCACTGGAAAAGCTAACAATGCCTTCTTCAACCACGAGGGTGGGCATTGCCCCGCTGCCTTGGAGCATGGAGACCACCTTCTCATGGGAACAGTTCCTGCAGAACAGAACACAAGATCAATCTGGGACAGAAGCAGCACCAGGAGGGCTCCGCAGACAGGACAGCCATTGGCAAGAGTCGAAAAGTTGTGTCCAAGCCAGCTAAGGGTTAGAACAGGGGTAGGCAATCTTGGCTCTTTTATGACTCGTGGACTTCAATTCCCAGAATTCATGAGCCAGCATGGGGGAACTATGGCCCCTTCATGACTCGTGGACTTCAACTCCCAGAATTCCTGAGCCAGCACGGGGGAACTATAGCCGCTTCATGACTCGTGGACTTCAACTCCCAGAATTCCTGAGCCAGCATGGGGGAACTATGGCCCCTTCATGACTCGTGGACTTCAACTCCCAGAATTCCTGAGCCAGCCTGGCTCAGCTTGGAAACCTCTCCCTTTCCCCTCAGCGTGGCTGGCTCAGGAATTCTGGGAGTTGAAGTCCACGAGTCCTAAAAGAGCCAAGGTTGCCTCCCCTGGGTTAGAAGGACATCAAACCCCAGAGATAATCATGGGGAAAAACAAAAAAACTGCTAATTCACCTCATATCCAGGCCATTCAGGAACAGGATTCTGTCGCCAGCTTTCAGGGATGCTTTTTCAGCTGGACTCCCTGTGAAGACAAAACAATAACAACAACCACCCACCACTCTTGGAGGACTCTAAACGCTGCTCTATTTGCAGAATCTGCTGGGGTCACAAAGGCACATCTCTCCTTTTAGCTGATCCCTCCACGCCCAAGGCAGTTCCAGCAATTCCAGCACCATCATTTTTGCATAAAATCACAAGATCCTGGAAGGAACACCCTCAGTAGCTACCAAACCAGACTTTATATTGAGCTTCATCTTTCATTATTTGGAAATTGGCTTGATGGTGGTTTGACCCTACAGGACATCCATACTTCCCATTATCCCTCATTTTGCAAAGAAGGTGTATCCTGAAAAGCCAGACTCCATTTTGTAACGTAATAGAAACATCTAGAAGAATCCAGCTTGGTCTGTGACACGTGTTCTTCTGAAAACAAAATCTACATTCCATAGATAGCATCGATGTTTCACCTCATCCTGTTTTTAAATAAAGCATCAAGATGTATGCAGATGGTCTGGTTTATTAAAGGATAGAAGGATTTAGCTGCATGTCGAGCTACACACAGGGTAACATGTTGTGAGGACAGATTATTCACAGTCCCAGAGGAAGAGATTTCTCCAGAATTTATGCCCCGCTCAGGTTGAGAAACAGCCCCAAAGTGGCGATACTCTCTCACACCTAGGATTTATTTTATTTTATTTTTATGAGACTTATATACCGCTTTAAGTGCAAGCACTCTCTAAGCGGTGTACACCAGTAAGCAATGTATATATATATTTACATTGCCCCCAACAATCTGGGTCCTCATTTTACCTACCCCGGAAGGATGGAAGGCTGAGATGTTGGAATATCTAGATGAGTCAACCAATTTCACTCATAGATTTCATGACCCCAGGCCTTATTCAGAGACATGGGTGCCCTGAGTCCAGAGGGATGAAATGGTCTCGCCATGGAGGAATTCTTACTCCGTGTTCCCACCTAGTGTAAATATACACAATCTGAAGCCATCTGCAGCTACCAGAAGTGATCACAGTAGGTAGTGTAGATTTATTTGTGTAGAGCAGGGGTAGGCAATCTTGGCTCTTTTATGACTCGTGGACTTCAACTCTCAGAATTCCTGAGCCAGCATAGCATAGCTGGCTCAGAAATTCTGGGAGTTGAAGTCCACGAGTCATACAAGAGCCAAGGTTGCCTACCCCTGGTGTAGAGCAAGAAAAGGGTGAAATTCCTAGGAGATCACGCTAGAATGACTTAAACTGAATTAAAACTAACAAGATTTCACTTGGATAAAATTCAAATGGAATGAAATCACATTTGATTTTTGTTCTGGTTTTACCCGTTCTCCTGCCCTGGGCTGCTTTTTCTTTGCAGAGGTTGGTAGACGAGGAGGAGAGGTTCAAAAAATCAAGATGGGGCCCATCGTCATGTCAACGAATCTGTTTTTTTCACTTGCTGGAGTGACACCTGGATTTTGTTCAAAGGACAAGCGCAACCCTAAAATACAGTTGCCTGCTTCTGAACAAGGCACGTGGTCAAGTACTCAATTTGGTGAAAAATTCACCCATCGTCAAGAACCCGAAGGCATTTCTAAAATATCTGACTCCCAACGAGGTTTGCCCTGTAAATGGAAGTCTTTGCCAAGAAATGAGGGTTCCTGTAAGGACCCACCCCATTTTGCATCTTAAGAAGACAGAACTCTTGGAATAGTTCTTCCAACAGGCATCTTTATTAAGAGGAAATGGTTGCAGGCGTTCTAGACAGGACTTGGGGTCCAAGCTCTCCTATTCAAGGTTTTAAGGGGTTCCCCAGTAGCCCCACCCAATCACCCCCTTCTTCCAGAGACAGTCTCAGGCATTACACTCCCACTCCCTTTTCCTTACTGCCGGCTGGATGGAGACTTCAGAGAAAACTACATGAAAGGTAGTTCTAACCATTCTTATGGTTAGTCCTTTTGGTGATACACACATCCAGTTCCTTTCTTCAGAGAAAACTACATGAAAGGTAATAGCTCCATTGTTTTGGTTAGTTCTTTTGGTGATACACACATCCAGTTCCTTTGAAGTGTATTGAAGGAAGTGAGGGCCATAAAGCCCCTTTGTTCACCCCCTTCCCTTCATCGTATGACAGAATCCAGAGAAGGCAGAAATGGGGTTTTTTATAATTGATAACTAGAGATGAAATATAATTGGATTCTGACAGTTCCTCTTACCAGGCAAGATGGACTCGATCCACACAGGAGCGTGGCCACGTAACGTAAACCCGAAGCTTCTACTGCCCTTGTAGACCCGGACAGTTCTGGGGAAGGAGAGCACACGGTAGTCCTTACACCAAACAGGGAATCCAAAGGGAGCAACCCAGAACTTTCCCCGCTAAGCTGTTTGCAGAGGAGGGATCGTTGAGCCCCTTCTCTGCCTCTCTTGACACGGCTGTTTCTCAGTCTTGGCCACTTTAAGACAGGTGGACTTCACCTCCCAGAATTCTGGCTGGCCGGAGAATTCTGGGAGTTGAAGTCCATCCGTCTTAAAGTGGCCAAGATTGAGATACACCGCTTTACATATAAAAAATCCTCTCAAACTGAGAATCTTTGGAATTTTGTCTTTAACTGGCATGTTACGCTGATCTCTTCTTTTTCTTTTATTAAAAGTTTTAAAAATTTTATACAATATATATCCCAAATCCCTCCCCCCCTCCCCCACTTCCCCGAGCTGATTACAGGGTTACAAATAAACAATCATAATCTAACTAACATTACCCAACTATACTAACAATCAAATCCATAACATACTTTAACTCCTTATCAAAATAAATATTAACAAATTAAAAACGAAAATAATAATATAATTAAACCATAATACTAAAAATAATATAAATTCAACCATATTAAACTCTTAGTAATAATGTAAAATTTTCTCATAAGCTAGATAATACTTTTTAGTCTCATATTTATTCTGAATATAATCTATCCATCTTCTCCAAACCGAAATGTATCTTTCTTGTGAGTAATCCTTCAAATACCGTATATTCCGGCGTATAAGACGACTTTCTAAACACTTAAAATCTTCGCAAAAGTGGGGGGTCGTCTTATACGCCGGAAAAATATTACTCAGCAAGTTTTCTCTTCCCCCCCCCCTCTCTCTCACTCAAAAAGAGTCCTAGGGTTATTATTAAAACCAGCCGATCAACTAAAGATATCTCTGAGAGTACGATAGGCATTCTCTGGCTGTTGTGACGGTAAGATTTCCTGGAGGTTTAATCCCCATTCTATAATGCTACATTGCAAACCGTCTCCTCTCTTCTTCCCTCCCTTTTGCATCCCAATTCCTTGCCCACCCCTCCAGAACTGCGGATTGGTAGTGGCCATCCCCTGATTAATTCATTCAAAGGAAGTAGAAAGGGATGGCCCATGTAATGGGGAAGGGGGGAAAAGAATTGTAGGGTGGTTTTTTTATATAATGAAAACAAACCTAAGCATCTGCGTCCATTCGAGGCACTTTTCAGTGCTTCTTCATGCAAGCTTTTCAGCGTTTACCTCTCACTGCCGGTGAGAGTAGCTTGGGGAGGCGGAGCTTATGGGTCTGGAAGGGGAGGGGTGTCAGCTAAATTCCTCTCGGAGTTAAGAAGCAGGAATGGAGTGGGGACAGAAAACAGCTACACAATCCTTTTGCCCGAGCTTATGCAAGCAGTTTCTCCCCCCCCCTGCCTAAATAAACTTGCATGGTGCATTTGTGGTGTTATTTATGACAGATCCTGGCTGGTCAATCTGGCTCCCATCTATAAGTACTGTAGTGCACTGAGTTTTAATAACAAATTAAAAGGAAAGCATGTACTCCCCCCCCCATTACCTGAAAAGGGGGCAACTTATCACATTTATGGAAATGCAAGTTTTCGAAGGGCGAATGCCTTTCTTACTTAGCTTATTAACTGCTTCCTTTCCTTCTTCCCTAAACATTCTGGCTGTCTCCAATTTCATTCTTGGTAGTGTTGCTTTAAAAAACTGCTGAGAAGTCCTTTTGCAGGCAGGGCAATTTTCATCAAGGTGTGTGTGCGATTGACAAGGCAGAGCCTTTGAAAAACAGGCAGGCTTTCTGCTCACTCAGCTTGGAGAGGCTGTGGAGTATTCGCAGGGTGGAAGACTGAGAGGAGGAGATCCCTGTGTGCAGCCTGTTTGCTCCAAGCCAAAGCTTGCTACGGGGGGGAGGGCAATGGAAGGGACCCAGGGAGTCACACGCATGCCTACATGTGCACGCACACACCCTGAGCTACTCATTTGGACTTACAGGTGGCCAATGAGAACTCAGAAACTGTGCTCCCTTTCCCCCTCCACTCATGGAATTAGCTTGTCCATTTTTTCCCTAGGGCCTATACAGGAGTAGGCAACCTTGGCTCTTTTATGACTCATGGACTTCAACTCCCAGAATTCCTGAGCCAGCATAGCTGGCTCAGGAATTCTGGAAGTTGAAGTCCATGAGTCATAAAAGAGCCAAGGTTGCCTACCCCTGGCCTATAAGATGACAGGAAGGGTTGGGCAGGCAGGGAGAGCTGATCCACCCAATCCAAGCAGGCTTTGTATACAACAACCAGCTAAGGTTCATCGCTTGCTGTGATTGGCTGGTTGTTGTATACTGGGTACATACAGTACAGCACCAGTATCTGTACCAGTTCATACAGTACAGCACCAATACATACAGTACAGTATACAAATGTCCAATAGTCAAGACCCTATCATGGCTCCACCAGCAAGAAGAAGGAAATATGAAGCCAGTTTCAAACTTAAAGTTGTAAACTTTGCCATGGAACATAATAACTGCGCTGCTGCAAGACAATATGGAGTAACAGAAAAGATGGTTCGGGACTGGAAGGCAAATGAAAAAGCATTAAAGAGTATGCCAAGGGGTAAGTGTGCATTAAGAAGAGGCACCCCACATTGGCCAGAACTTGAAAAACATGTAGCAGACATGGTGAATGAGCATCGCCAAAACGGTTATGTAGTGACACGAAATAAAATACGTTTGTTTGCACTTCAGTGGGCCAAATCTAACCCAGATCACAGCAACAGATTTAAGGCCACTGCATCCTGGTGTACTAGATTCTTGGAAAGGCATAATATGGTACTGAGGCAAAAGACGAAAATTGCACAAAAATTACCTGCAGATCTTGATAGCAAAGTAATTAGTTTCCATCAATACATAATACAACAGCGCATTAAACATGGCTATGCATTAAGTAGTATTGGAAATATGGATGAAACTCCAATGAATTTTGATATGGTTGGAAATAAAACTGTCCATCAGAAAGGTGAAAAAACAATTTTAATTAAAACAACAGGACATGAGAAGTCCAGTTTTACAGTGGTACTAGCATGCACAGCTGATGGTGCCAAACTGAGACCAATGATTATTTTTAAAAGAAAAACAATGCCAAAACTCAAGTTCCCTGTTGGTTGTTTTGTACATGTGAATGAAAAAGGCTGGATGGATGAAGAAGGGGTAAAGCTATGGCTTGATAATGTATGGAGCAGGCGACCAGGTGGACTTATTCAAAAACGTAGTCTACTGGTGTGGGATATGTTCAGGGCTCATTTAACTCCCAGCACCAAGCAAAAGCTTGCAAGACTAAACACAGATGTGGCAGTTATTCCTGCAGGATTAACATCGTTAGTACAGCCACTGGATGTATGCCTAAACAAGCCATTTAAAGATCGCATTCGAGAACAGTGGAATGAATGGATGGTTAGTGGCGAAAAGTCATTCACAAAAGGAGGAAACATGCGTGCTCCACAATTGGATGTTTTGTGCAAGTTTGTCATAAAAGCCTGGAATGATATTGATGCAGAAACAATAATCAAGTCTTTCAAGAAGTGTGGCATATCAAATTCATTAGATGGTATGGAGGACGACTACTTGTGGCAAGATGAAGAGGAAGCCGAAGCTGAGACCACACCATCTGATACGGAATTCGATCCATACGATGACTGCCTTGCAAATGTATCACAAGATGTCATTGATATTTTTATGATATCAGATGATGAACAGGATGATTTTAAAGGCTTTTAAAGGGAAAGTATCATGCCAGCAAAACCTATAAAAATAGCTTGCAGTTATGATGGGCGTTGCTGACTCGCCAGGGACTTGCCCGGCACTTGCTCTCTCTATTGTTTGTTATCTTCCTCCTATCATCATCAGTTCCAGTTTGGTTGACAGCTTAGAAAACAAATAGCATGGCAGCTCCCATGGGTTTATTGTCTTATCCTTCCTTTCAGCTTTAGAGTGAATTAGGAAAAGTTTAATCACTTGCACTGTTTTATGTTTACATGTTTGATGACAAACAGCCTTATGTTTATAAGTGACAGTTTTCCTGCTAAGTACCTTTATGCCATAAGCATTTGAATTAAAATTACCATATTGAAATCAAATCTGATGTTTTTTAATTTTTATTTGGTGTGCGTTGAAAGAGGGGTAGTCTTATACGGCGAGTATAGCCCAAACTCTATATTTTAACTGGAAAAGTTGGGGGTCGTCTTATACGCCCAGTCGTCTTATACGCCGGAATATACGGTAAGCGGAAATTTTTGCCATTTCTGCTAAATTAGACACCTTGAGTAGCTGATCTCTTCTTTAGCAGCCATTTCAAAAAAAAAATCCCCACAATCCCTTTCACATGCAGTAGGATTTTGTCCTTCAGGTTTCCACATCACGTTCAACTCTACAGGTTCAGTTTTCCTAGTCTGCCCTTTCTCACAAGGCATGTATGAGGTCTCCACCGACTATACATAAATATATCCAATAAACTTTCTTCTCCTCTCCTTTCCAAAATGGCCTAAAAATAAGCTCTCTACATGATGGCACAGACTCTTTAGACCAGTGGTTCTCAACCTTTTTAATGCCGCAACCCCAACCGGTCGTAAGTTGAGGACTACTCAACCGATGGTAAGTCGAGGACTACTCAATGGGTGCAGCACCGTTTGCAGAATGGGACTTTTGGTGGGCTCAGCAGGGCAGAGACAGCCTGGACAATTCCTATTGGTTTTTGAAAGCCAATAGAATTAGAGTCTATTCAAGAGAGTCTATTCTATGGACTTTCAAAAGCCAATAGAATAAAAGAGAGTAGCACAGCTAAGGAAAAGGGGGAAAAAATGGCGGACTGCGTTGTTTGGCGACCCCCGTGAAATGGTCTTTCGACCCCAAATGGGGTCCCGACCCACAGGTTGAGAACCACTGCTTTAGGACCTTTGGGGAGAGACGGGTTCCACTCTAGAATCTGCCTCGTGGGGAAGGGGGTCTTCGCAGATCCTTACCTGCAAGCGGCCCCCGTCCCCACATTGCTGCCAATCAGAGCGGTGGACTTCCTCAAGCTCTGGCAATTCTCCTCCTGGCACCGGGGCACTGAGCTGGCCCGGGTGGAGACCAGCAGGCGCTCATGATGGTCCTCGCTGCGGCTGCGTCTCAGACGGTTGGCTGGCTGCTCTCTCTTGGCTCGGCACAGCGTGCTGATGAGACTCTGGGACACCACCTCGTCAAAGCGCTGCCGGTGTTTCCTGGGGATGAAGATCCTGGAAACAATGAAAGGTGACCCGGGTTAGGGAAGGGCATGGGGGTTGAGGCCAGCCTGCTTGGCTGTTGCTCTCCAAAAGGCACTGGACGCATAACCCAAAGCAGCTCTTAGAGAAACTCAGAAGTCTGAGAAGAACTTACAAGGAACGGTTACAGGAACTAGTCTAATGAAAAGGACTAGGGGGGAGATGATAGTCGTGTTCCAAGATTTGAGGAGCTCCCACAAAGACGAAGGGTTCAAACCATTTTCCAAAGCACCAAAAGGAAGGCAAGAAGCAATCGATGGAGACTAATCAAGGAGAGAAGCAACTTAGAAGGAAGGATAACTTTTTTGACAGTGACAGCGATCAGCCAATGGAACAACTTGCTTTCAGAAGTGGTGGGTGCTCCATCATTGGAGGCTTTTAAGAAGAGACTGAACAACCATTTGTCCGAAATGATATAGGGCAGGGGTTCTCAACCTTGGCAACTTTAAGACGTGTGGACTTCAATTCCCAGAATTCCTCAGCCAGCAAAGCTGAGAGTTGAAGTCCACACGTCTTAAAGTTGCCAAGGCTGAGAACCCCTGATATAGGGTCTCCTACTCAAGCAGAAGGTTGGCCTAGAAGATGTCTGAGGTCCCTTCCAAGTCTATTATGTATGTCCTTTCTTCTCCTGGACACCAGCACTCCCCAACCTCCAGGAGCACTGCCTGCGTGTTGATCTGGCCACTGGCTGGATGTGCCCTCAAGGCTAGCAAAGGGAGATAAGAGGAGCTAGCTGCTGGCACAGAGATCGGGGACAATCGTGAGCCTTGGGCTGTTCTCAATAACAAATAGGAAGCGCATCGGCCCACGTGGGTGACATTGTGTATCGGCCCACGTGGGTGACATTGTAGTTTGCAAGATGGCTGCAGAACGTGGCTGAACTCCCAGATGGTGGGTGGGTTTTTTTATTATTATCATTACAACCTGACAGCGAAATCAGCTCCTCAGACCCCCATCCATCCCATCCCTGAAGGTGTTATGGTTGGTTTTGCTGCAAGGGGTGCAGACGCCCACCCCAGCCCTTCCCCCTATGCAGAACAGCTGAGCACCCGGTGCTGGCCTCTTCCTGTTTCTTCTTGGCTGGGGTGGGGATGTTCAGGACCTCCATCAATCACAGCCCTGGTAGGGGAACAAAACTCTTAATGTCTGGTCTCCAATAGATGCTCTCAATTGTTCTAAGTGTCAGGAAATTTCTCCCTAGTTCAAGGTTGCTTCTCCACCTTCCTGCAGTTCTCCACCTTCCTTGCCAAGCATGTTCTTGGGACATTCTTCTGACAATTCCCAGTTCTTGGATTCAAATTCTATCCTCTCATAATGGGAAGAAATGTGATTTAAGTACCAGAATGGCGAGAGGTGCTCGGGTAGCTTTAGGTACTGTATCCATCGATCACCAGCATTTTACTCAAGATCACGCAAAGTACTAATACCGCTTTATAAAACCCTAGTGCAGTGGTTCTCAACCTTTTTAATGCCGTGACCCCCAACCGGTTGTAAGTCGAGGATTACTCAACTGGTGCAGCACCGTTTACAGAATGGGACTTTTGGCGGGCTCAGCAGGGCAGAGACAGCCTGGACAATTCCTATTGGCTTTGAAAGCCAATAGAATTAGACTCTATTCAAGAGAGTCTATTCTATTGGCTTTCAAAAGCCAATAGAATAAAAGGGAGTAGCACAGCTAAGGAAAAGGGGGAAAAAATGGCGGACTGAGTTGTTTGGCGACCCCCGTGAAATGGTCGTTCGACCCCAAATGGGGTCCCGACCCACAGGTTGAGAACCACTGGTCTAGTGAGACCACACCTGGAATACTGCAGCCAATTCTGGTCACCATATAAAAAAGATGTTGAGACTTTGGAAAAAGTTCAGAGAAGAGCAACTAAGATGATCAAAGGCCTGGAGACTAAAACATATGAAGAATGGCTGCAGGATTTGGGTTTGGCTAGTCTAAAGAAAAGAAGAAATAGGGGTGACATGATAGCAGTGCTCCAGTATCTGAAGGGCTGACACAAAGAAGAAGACATCAAATTATTCTCCAAAGTACCAGATGGAAGAACAAGAAACAATGGTTGGAAACTGATGAAAGAGAGAAGCAACCTGGAATTAAGGAGAAACTTCTTAACAGTGAGGACAATTAACCAGTGGAACAGCTGGCCTTCAGAAATTGTGCATGCTCCATCACTGCAGATTATTAAGCAGATTATTAAGCCATGCTGACTCAGGAATTCTAGAAGTTGAAATCCACAAATCATAAAATAGCCAAGATTGCCTACTCCTGATATAGATTCTCCTGCTTGAGAAGGGGGCTGGACTAGAAGACCTCCAAGGTCCCTTCCAGCTATTCTATTCTATTCTATTCTATTCTATTCTATTCTATTCTATTCTATTCTATTCTATTCTATTCTATTCCTACATCCTGTCTTCTATTCTATTCTATTCCTATTCTATATTCTATTCTATTCATTCTTATTCCTATTCCTATTCCTATTCCTATTCCTATTTCTATTCTATTCTATTCTATTCTATTCTATTCTATTCTATTCTATTCTATTCTATTCTATTCTATTCTATTCATTCCTATTCCTATTCCTATTCCTATTCCTATCCTATCCTATCCTATCGTATTGCTGAGCCAGTAGAAGAGCTGCTTCTCTGGACCTTTTTTTGTTTTGGCTGCCCTTCCTTCTTCCTTTTCCTGCTGTGCTAAGAGAATCGAGACATTAATCCTCTTTGCTCACTTAAATGCCTTCCCTACTTCTCACCTAAAGGACGAGGATCCAGTTTTGGAAGAGTGCTGAATGAACCTCCAACTTTGCAGCAGAATCAGAGAATTGGGACGGGACCATCCAATTCAAGCCTGCTCAACACAGGAATCCAAATTAAAACATCCTGGACTGGATGCTATCTAGTTTCTGCTTCAACGCCTCCAGGGAAAATGAAATACCCACCACTGGCTCCAATGTCACATTTTCCTATTACTAGGATTTTTTTTTTTCAAAAATTCAAATAGAGTCTGCTTTTCTGTAATTGATATTCATTCCATTTCTGGCACTGTGGAATGAAAAAAAAAACAGTTTTTGACTTTCTAGGTGACCTCCTTTCAGCATTTCAGATTCCTTCTCAGTCTTCTCCTCTAATGAAAAGAAGGACTACAGGTGACATGATAGCACTGTTCCAATATCTGCGGGGCTCCTACAAAGATGAGGGGGTCAATCTATTTTCCAAAGCAACAAAAGGCAAAACAAGAAAGAATGGATGAAAAAAACTAACCAAGGAGAGAAGCAGTCAAGAACTAAGGAGAAATTTCCTAACAATAAGAACAATTAACCAATGGAACAGCTGGCCTTCAGAAGTTGTGGGTGTCCATCACTGAAGGCTTTCAAGAAGAGACTGGACAGCCATTTGTCTGAAATGGTATAGGGTTTCCTGCCTGCGCGGGGGGTTGGACTAGATGACCTCTGAGGACACTTCCAACTCTATTATTCTATGTTCAGACCAAGCTCCTTCAACCTCTCTTCAATATTTCTCCCCAGTTTTTATGTGGTAATAATGATGAACATTCTTTGATTTTTTGAGCCAGGTGTTGTTATGCCACCAGCCCACATTTAACTCACTTACTAATCAGCACGTGCTCTCTCAAATGTTTTGGTGAAGGCATTTTGTGTCTCTCAGCATTCCGATAATCTATTACAGAAGTTAGCCAAGCAGAAAATGAAGTAAAGTTGGTCTATTCTTACCAAATCTATACCAATATGGTAATTTTCACCTTGTTTTCAAGGAAATCATATACCAATCTCTTCGTGATCTGTTGTAGAATTTTCCTGGTACAGATGTCTGATTCCTTGGACTATAACTCCTCGGATCGTCCTTTCCCCCCCCCCCTTTTGGAAATAGGGATATAATCACTGCAGTGGTTAAGTTAGTAACCCGGTTGTTAAGTGAATCTGACTGCCCCATTGATTTTACTTGTCAAAAGGTCACAGAAGGTGGTCACATGACCCTGGGACACTGCAATTGTCATAAATATGAGTCAGTTGTCAAGAGTCAGAATTCTGATCACAAAACCACAGGGATGATGCAATGGTCGTAAGTGTGAAAAATGGTCATATGTAATTTTTTCAGTGCCACTGTAACTTTGAACAGTCACTAAACGGTTACTGTTGTAAGTCGAGGACTACCTGTATCTCCTTTTTTAGGAATTCCCAACCATCTCGAGTTCCTTTTCTTGTTAACTTCTACTTATCTTTTACTGCTCTTGAATTTACTAAAATCTCCTTTTTTTGAAGTCCAAGGTACATGCCGTAGATGCTAGTGTTATCTTCCGCGGGGGGGGGGGGGGAGAAGCAGCATCTCCCAATCATTTCCAGGTCCAGGTCCCCTCCCTTAAAGGTTGCCAAGACTCTTTTCCTGAGTATTAGGCCAGGATGGGAGTGAGCAGGAGGCTGTTTGGCCTGGCGCTGAGGGAGACATTCTTTTGTTCTTGTCCTGGCCTTTAGGGATTAGAATAGAATAGAATAGAATAGAATAGAATAGAATAGAATAGAATAGAATAGAATAGAATAGAATAGGAATTAGAATAGAATGGAATGGAATGGAATAGAATAGCATAGCATAGCATAGCATAGCATAGCATAGCATAGCATAGCATAGCATAGAATAGAATAGAATAGAATAGAATAGAATAGAAAATATGGACTGGACTAGAAAAGAATAGGAAATAGAATAGAATAGAATAGAATAGAATAGAATAGAATAGAATAGAATAGAATAGAGTAGAGTAGAGTAGAGTAGAGTAGAGTAGAGTAGAGTAGAGTAGAGTAGAGTAGAATAGAATTGAATTATGGGATAGAATAGAAATACGAATGGAATAGAAATAAGAATAGAATAGGAATAGAATAGAATAGAATAGAATTATGGGATAGAATAGAAATAAGAATAGAATAGAATAGAGTAGAGTAGAGTAGAGTAGAGTAGAGTAG